TGAGCAGTATGTCTGGGAGTCCCAAGCTGGTGGGTCATTCACTGTGACGAGGGATACCTCTGGAGAGAATCTTGGTAGGGGAACCAAGATAACTTTGTTCCTCAAGGAGGATCAGCTTGAGTATCTTGAGGAACGCCGTTTGAAGGACTTGATAAAGAAGCATTCTGAATTCATTAGCTATCCAATTTCTCTTTGGATTGAGAAGACAACTGAGAAGGAGATCTCCGATGACGAGGATGAGGAAGAGAAGAAGGAAGAGGAGGGTAAGGTTGAAGATGTGGATGAAGATAAAGAGAAGGAAGAGAAGAAAAAGAAAAAGATCAAGGAGGTATCTCATGAATGGTCGCTGGTAAACAAGCAGAAGCCTATTTGGATGAGGAAACCTGAAGAGATTACAAAAGAAGAATATGCTGCTTTCTACAAGAGTCTTACCAATGATTGGGAAGAGCATTTGGCTGTTAAGCACTTCTCAGTTGAAGGTCAGCTGGAGTTTAAGGCTATTCTCTTTGTTCCCAAGAGGGCTCCTTTTGATCTATTTGACACAAGGAAGAAGCCTAACAACATTAAACTGTATGTCCGTCGTGTCTTCATCATGGACAACTGTGAGGAGTTGATGCCAGAATATCTTAGCTTTGTCAAGGGTATTGTGGATTCTGAGGATCTTCCACTCAACATTTCTAGAGAAATGTTGCAGCAGAACAAGATACTTAAAGTCATCCGGAAGAACCTGGTGAAGAAGTGTATTGAGCTGTTCTTTGAAATTGCTGAAAACAAGGAGGACTATAATAAGTTCTATGAAGCCTTTTCCAAGAACCTGAAACTAGGTATTCACGAGGATTCTCAGAACAAGACAAAGCTCGCTGAATTGCTCAGGTACCACTCCACAAAGAGTGGTGATGAGATGACCAGCCTCAAGGACTATGTTACCAGGATGAAGGAAGGACAGAATGACATCTACTACATTACTGGTGAAACCAAGAAAGCTGTTGAGAATTCCCCCTTCCTGGAGAAGCTTAAGAAGAAGGGGTATGAAGTGCTCTTCATGGTTGATGCTATTGATGAATATGCTATTGGTCAGCTTAAGGAGTTTGAGGGAAAGAAGTTGGTCTCTGCTACCAAGGAAGGCCTGAAACTTGATGAGAGTGAAGATGAAAAGAAAAAGAAAGAAGAATTGAAGGAGAAATTTGACGGTCTCTGCAAGGTGATCAAAGATGTGTTGGGTGACAGGGTTGAGAAAGTGGTGGTATCCGACCGTGTTGTTGATTCTCCTTGCTGTCTCGTGACTGGTGAATATGGGTGGACAGCCAATATGGAAAGGATTATGAAAGCACAGGCATTAAGGGACAACAGCATGGCTGGTTACATGTCAAGCAAGAAAACAATGGAGATTAACCCTGAGAATCCCATCATGGACGAGCTGAGGAAGCGAGCTGATGCTGACAGGAATGACAAATCTGTGAAGGATCTCGTTCTCTTACTTTTCGAGACCGCGCTTCTAACTTCTGGATTCAGCCTTGATGATCCCAACACTTTCGGTAACAGGATTCACAGGATGCTGAAGCTTGGACTGAGCATCGATGAGGATGCTGCTGATGCAGATGCTGACATGCCTCCTCTGGAGGATGTGGACGCTGATGCCGAGGGTAGCAAGATGGAAGAAGTTGATTAAATCCGACATAATTATCTTTTAGAAACAGGGTGATTGAAGAACAGTCTTCTACTATGTTTTTGTTTTTAAATTTTGATATGTTGACAATTTAGGTGCGATTTCTTGGATTAGTGTATCTACTTTGTTTAAGGTAAATTTTGGTGTCAGTTTCTGGCTAATGAGTTTATTGTTCTTCGTCTAATCGTGATCATGCATCATGCTTTTTAAGTTATCAGGTCTAGATAAGAGGATTCTCAAAAAGAAACGTTTTTTTTTTTTTAATAACCTTGTCTTTTTAATCGATATCTTAAATATTGAATAAGTAGTTTTTTACTAAAAATTATATTGAAACTGATTAAAAAAATGTATTAAAATTACATTAAAAATTATTTTAAAAAGTTCATTTTTTATTGATTCTTTTACTAATGTTTATTAAATAATAATTAACTAGTTATCTGTATTATTACAAAATTCGCCGTCAACATGCATATTTTAGATTTCTATTAAAAATTCTCATGTAACACTTTTTATCTCTAATCAGCGAGACTGTTCTGATAATGGTGTAGATTGCAGAATGGTGTGAATCAAAGGCAAACGGACAAACAGGCTTGTGTCTTTGGAGGCCTAAAAGAAAAGGACAAACGGTATAAGGATTATCTTTTTGGGTCAAAAAACAGTATAAGCGTGAGTAGATAGAGGGCCTGCTGCAAAGGTGCAAAGGCCCATGCCAAAAGACAGTTTCTTCTTTTCTTCCCTGGACCAATATAGATGCTTGCTTTTTTCACACTAAATCATTTTCAAGTACACATTCAAATCATGATTTGCACTTTCTGAGTTAATCCTTTTCGTTAAACTCATTTTTCAATTTCTCACTGGTTCTGAAGAGCTATTCTACAACTTATAAAATCCCGATTACTTTTTCACGGTTCAAGAAAAAAATTATCTTTATTTTTTTTCTAAAATTTAAATTATTTGTACTTTATTTACATATATATCAAATAAATAAACAAGGCCATGGATATAAATTTAAACCTATGTTGAATATTATTTTATTTTAATATCATTCCCTTGTATATTTTTCCAACCGATTTGAAAAAGTTAATATCGTACAAAATGAAAATCATGATTCGAAACTACCTCCCACGTTATGAGATTTGAACATTGAATCTACAAGGAATAATATCTAATGTCGATCACGTAAGTGTCTCTTTAATTTTTTTAACACTTTTAAAATCAAATATTGCAAGTATATTATTTTGATTTTTAAACTTAGTTGTATTTGTATGAACATAGTTCCCATCTATATAGTTAAGGAGCAACATAAGATAGAAGAACTCAATCATGCGTTTTTCAATCACCATTCGATTACGAACATGTTTATGCATTAAGCTGTTCAAGCAAAGTATAACTATTGTCCAAATCCTCTTAAAAAGTAAAAAAGGATTTATGAGAAATACTCTGATCAACATAAGCCATTACAAGAGGCAATGCAATGCTATTGAGGATGGAGTGAGTCTTTAAGGCCATTGAAGAAAGATGAGTCAATAGGCATCGCATGGCGCATTCCGGTGTAACGGTGGCGCCGGCACCTGAAGGAGCCAGCATGTGTGGTGGGTGAACATAGACAATTTTACCTCCCACTAGAAGATTTCCTTGTCACAGATTTAGTTGTTGGTGATATTAGCATATGTGAGTGCTTCTTAACATCATCCGTATCCAAATCCGGGATTTTTATTCGTCTACAACTTGGCACTTTTACATTGATGAAAAAGGCTTTTTCCTGCCCAGGCTTTTTTAATTCACAAGTTAACAATAAAATAGATCCCTACTCTCATTTGTTTTAGCACATCAACATCTAAACAATTTAAAAAGATAATTGATTAGACTTTACATCTTTGTATAATATTTTAGATGTTTAGAAACTTTAGAGCGGGTTACCTCATGAAGCATTTATGTTTCCTTATTCTGTTATGATTTTCTTTGGGCGTTTCTATATTATACATGATTTGCACGTCAATAAAAAAATAACAAATTAAAGGTGTGGTACATGTGTAAATGCTAGTTGGCCTAACATGAAGTTATCTTTCATGACAAGATGCTTGATTGGTTTCCCTCAAGGAAGATTTCTAAAATGTGTATGGGTATTTTGTAAATGGAGTAGGGAAAATAATCCAATGAAGACAACGTTGGATTGAAGGTTGAATCCTTAAGTGACATACACCTAGGAACTTGAGAAGGGATGTAGAAACCGAGTCCTTTGTGGATGAATTGTTTGCTTCACAAGAGGCTTTGATATTTGCGTCCTGTTTTGCTTCCCTCAAGAGATGAACTAATGAAGATTGGATTGAGATAACATGCTGCGCTTTGTCAGCAAAAATCTTGTGCGTTAACAATTTATAACCACAAGTTTTTTTTTTTTATCAAACGCAAAAAGAGGGTAACAGAATGATCTGCTGGCATTTTTCAGCTCAACCTAGTTGGACATAAAGATACTAATATGTGTCCTTTCCCTTTTGTGCTTCATTGCTGATTTCACCAAATTGCCACTTTTCAAGTCGTGTTGACCAATTTGTCATAAGTTCACACCTTGGTGTTGTGCTTCTTTAGGAAATTATCTTTGTTTTTCACCAGTTTTGTTTTTTTTTTTTTTTTGCCACTTCGGCAATTTTAAGCTAATTTTACTGCCTTGACTTGTGCCTTCATGTTGCCTGTTGCTTCCTATTATTTTGCTTTTTCTTGGTTGGTTTGTCCATTTATGGTGACATTTAATCGACATTACATACTAACTAAGGATTTATACATATAGAGACATAATCAACAGCTTGCAACAATTGAGTTTCCGTGTGACGAGGATGTGAATTGGGAGGATGAAATATGGCTAAATAATTTTCTCATGCATTTTCAAGCTATGCTTTTTCTGTTGAGCATGTAAGAATAACATCATTTGGATAAATTTATTGTCTCTTTAACTAGAGTGTTGAATAATGAAACAATAAACAGAAAAAATTTATTAAAAAGACTCATTGAAAGTTCATTAAAAACCATGATAGAAGTATATCATTAATAACATTCTTTAATAAACTTTAAGAAAAAAATGTATTTGAGGACATTGGTTAGCATTTTCTTAAATTTATTTAGTTGTTGGTTTTATTTTGTCGTATATTCTAATACTGATATGATGAAATATGGTATATGGATCATACATGTTCATTCAATATCAACCTAGCCTAACTTGTGAACCTCACTCCCATTACACCATGTAAGCACACTATGAATATATATTTTCCTTCAAATTAAAGTTACAAGTTTCACAGCATTGCAGCAGTCCCAGTCGAAATATTCTGGTAAAAGGCCCAAAAGTAGCAGGTATGCATTATACTAGAGATTGGAAATTTAGTTATTCAAAAATTACATTTTCCCTAAAGAGATTTTTATCTCTCAGTATTCAGATGACAATAAAAGAAAAAATCATGCATACAAGCAATCCACTAATTTGAAAGGTTATGGGATACATTTCTTAAAACCAAGTATTTAATGTAGTTTTGGTCACTGGTGAGCAATTCTGTACATGTGCAAACTCACTCGAATAACCCATGTGAAGTATATTACACCAAAGTATATTAAAAAAAAAGGAGAAAAAAAATTGTGGGTATTATCAAGTGTATAGATATAACCAAATAAGATTAATCAATCCTCTTAACTTTTGTCTCGGCTATTTCTACCTTTCTAATCCTTGTTTGCAAAGAGGGCAGCAGGATGTAATTTTTAGCCATTGATCCACACATTTTAGGTGGAACATATGGGAACAGGGCAATTGTCTAACTTCTTCTTTGTCTTTGTACTTGGCTAAGCAAATGCAGCATTCCTGTCAGCACACCAGAACGTAACAAACTTAAATTCAATAGCATTGGAAATAGGCCAAAAAAAAAAAAATGAATGAACCTTAAAAGCAAATACCCAAATTGAGAGAGAGAAAAATAATGCTACTCACACAACCAATTGAAATTGACACCAAGGCCAACTATAGATTGGGTGGCTAAATGAATAGACAAGTAAAAACAGTTGCCACTTTGTGTCTCAATTGGATTTTGGAGTAGCATTTTTCATTATATATAATATATATGAATGGTGACACTTACAGGATATTCATTGATCAATTTTTCGCTGCCATCAGAATCATTGCCCAGCTCTAACTTGGTACGAGCTTCTTTATGTCTCCAACTTGGAAGTTTTGAAATTTGATCTTCAGAAGCTCCTCTATCAGAAGAGGCCATGTTCATGTTGTAACCGAGGAGGCTGCTAATTAGTGGCACACAGCAACATAACAACAGAAACAGTAGGAAAGGGAAAGAGTAACAAATTGCATTCCAAGCAAGTAGAGTGATGCATAGCACATGGAGTCTTGGAGCTTGATGAAAAGATCCAAAACGTGAGTCAAAAATCCAAACATTTCCCATCACAAACCATATGGCGAAGAAAAGCTCTAGTGAAGTCCGGCATTTATTCATTAAGTGTGACATCCTGTACACACTAAGCAAAAAGGTGCAAATTACAATTACATTTTAAAATTTCACCCACAAAAAATTGCAGGGCTCGAAATAACATGTTTCTGATTGAACTTGAATAAATGAATACGGAAGTTATTCAAAACAAGATAATACAAATAAGTTCAAAATTAATTTTTCAGTTCCAACTTGGTACTGTTCAGGAAATTTCACCTTTTTTTAAATTAGATATGGAGGAAAAAACTGGTAACATTGGTATCTTAGGCTTTTCATTTTTCACGTGATTTATATCCTTAATTAGATTGACAAAATTGCAATAAACAAAAGATTCTACCGTGTCTCAATAGGAAATGCCACGAACTTATAACAAGGAAAAAGGCATGTTAGGGTATGTAAGGAAAAAGGCATGTTAGGGTATGTGATTCTTCCAAACCCCTTTTAAGGGGATAAAGTAAAATTATGATAACTTTATGATTACTTGACACTTGGTATTTTTCGATCTTTTAGCAATCCAATCGGTTTTTGTCGAAATTAGTTGCCAATTCAAGGAGAACAACTTTTTCTTCTTATACAACAGTTATATTCATCCAACAAAAGGATGGTATCAAACTTTTCTAGCAAATTTTTAAGCATACTCACGTAATTAGTACACTAAAACATTGTTAATAAGTGCAATTACCCATCAATAATAACAAATTGATTAAAAGAAGTTCTTCAAGATTGAAGTGCAAAGATACCTGGTTTCTTCATTGTTTCTCTGCTGTTCCATATCAGAAAGGCTGAGAGCATCTCCTTGAGTGGTATAATTTTGATGGTAGCGACCATAAAGTAGCAAGAGATTAAGAATACAACCAATATCATAACCAGCTATCCATATTCTCATAGGCCAAACTGGTCTCTCCCTCTTGGAACTTGACAAAGTTAATGTTGTAATGATTATCTGAACAACCAAGGCAATAAATTCCAACATCATCCAAGTGCTAGAATTGAAAGGGTTAGAGCCAAGATTGGACCTTGATCCATTTTGGTAATGAAAAACTCTTCTTAAAAATGTAAACCATCTAGCTCTAGATATTCTCATGGCCATCCGAACCAAAAAGGAAGGTGGGGTGGCACGTGTAGGCCTGTTTCGAGCACTAGCCACTCTATCTTCTCCTGTTGCAGAATTTGAAGAAAATGGAACCATGCTATGCTCTTGTGGATGAAGGAAGCACCGAGAATTCATTGTAAATGTTCTCTTTTGAATTAAATCAAATTTACCAATTCCTAATACATGAAAAAAAGTTACCCCTTTTGCCTATATGTTCAGAATTAAGTCCACAAAAAACACAGCTTTACATCAAAGAACTTGAAATTGAGGCACCCCAATTGAAAAATTTGATGGATGGAACTAGTACCTTCACTGGAAGATCTTTTTCTGGGTCTGCACCAGCTTAAACTCCTAGCAACATAACCAGAATAATATCACAAAAGACTCCAATAACGCAAACCTTTCAGCAGCCACATACTGCACAGAAAAAGCTTAAGAACTAAGAAGAGATAAGATATGAAGAGGAGATGGAGCTGAAGAACTGTATATAGAAAGATGAGAGAAAAGATAAGGGGAGGATTGGTGTGAAGGGTATGTCAGGAAGGTGAGGTTGTGCTTCAGAGGGTGACCAAAAATCAAACTGCATAGCTTTGCTTTGATTCTAAGGGAATCACAAGGTTTGGAGGGAAGTTAACAGTTGGCCAACTTCCTCTGGGCAATATTTTTTATGAAGCCAAACTCAGAAAGCAATTGGAGTTCAATTTCTCATCTTTTCTCTCACTCTTTGTTTTTATCTCAATAAAAAAATTAACACAAACGCGAAGATCTTTTTTTTTTTTTTTTGGTCAAAATAAGGTAATAAAGATGGTCTCTCTTTGAATTCAAGTGGATAAGACTTAAAGTGATTATCTGATACTTACGTCTGCTAAGTGCTGGCATTTGTTTATGTTATGGCCAACAAATATGCAATCTTTATATGATAAATAAGCCATAAAATTGATTTGAATTCTGGCGGGTACAGTTGATACTTTGGAATTATATGGTAAACGGTTGGCCACCTAATCCAACCAACAGTTTGTGTCATGTTGGGGTAGTGTGGCCCTCCTTCCGTCTAGGAATAATTGCTATTAGCCACACCACTCCAAACCTTGTTTTTCACCTGTTGTGATTTGTCCTAATTGAAGAAAAATCTTAGGAGTTTCGTTAACAAAGAGTGAGATTATTACTCACAACATTTGTGCTTTAAACTTTACGTAATTGTATGGCCTCACCTATGTTTAAACAGCCCCACTAATGTTTTTTCATATGAAAATAAGATGAAACTACTAATTCTTTGGTATAGATGAATGAAGGTAGTGTTATATGAATAACAACAATATTCTTTTACAACAGAAACTACAATTTTTTTTTATCTATAATTAACATGTCTTTGTCAAAAAAATTGTTTGGCAAACAGAATATCAGTTACCATTTTTTCAACAGTCATAAGATTGACTTACAAGTTCGTTCTTTTTGGCCCATAACTATGAAATCTTCTAGTAGTGAAATTATCTTGTTTGATCAAGCAAGCTGAAAAGGTCCACATCGTCTAATTAATATGGGAGAAAGTAGGCCTAACAGAAGTAAAAACAAATCTTTTGTTTAATTTTTTTGGTTAATTTTTATGAGGTGCATAAGTAAACTTAAAATAGAGTTAGTACTCTTAGTCATTCAAAAGGCATAAATTAAAAGGATTAAAATTGAGTTATAAGAAGACACTTCAAATAAAAAGTTTGTTGATAACGGAGAAGTTGATGGGGTGACAGAGATGTTAACAACATGTTCTTCAACTTTTATGAATAATAAATAGATGAATAATTAAAAGGAGAAAAAAAAAGTATAGAATTGTCAAGCAAAATTATTATTTATATATATCTTGTCAGAAGAAATCCAAATCAAAACATGGGCAAGTCTAAATTAGAGGCCAAAAAGTTGACTGGTAAAGGTCAAACTCATGTGTTGTCAATTAACTAATGGTGCAAAGTGTACAAATTTCAAACATAAATTTTAGATGTTGCTTCCTTAGGTCTTAATAGCACAGAGAGAAATCAATTCCGGCTCAATATTAACTTCAAATTCTGAAAAATAGAAATAAAAATAAAAAGGTTCCATCATCATGTTTAAAATCAGCATAATTTATATAAGGAACCTCACCTCTTAGCAATAAACATGCTAAAGAGCTTCTATATCAATGGACCATGTTCCTTGAATGATTAAAATTGGACCATGTGTTAGCCACTAAGAATTGCCAAGTGTTGATGAAGTGGCTATATTCCAAAGAAAACATGTAATTAACGAATAAATCACGTCTTTTAAGCTTCTTTATTACGTATTTGAATAAAATTTGACCCTATTTGGCGGTGAGACATGCAACGTGTAAATTATTGACATATCTTGCAAAGGAAAGCAATCACTTTTGGAAAATTGATATGGAATGGGAACAATTGAATCCTTTCTAACTCTCTCTTTATTTATTCAGATGAAAACAAAAGATTGATTACGTTAATTAGGAAAGTGTGTAAGAGCATACCATTATCCTCCAAATTTCATATGCTTGCTTTTTGTAAAGACTACTATAAATTCTCAACTTCTAGAATAGACCAAACTTAATCTTTTAACGGTGTACGTTAAATGTTAATAATACAATTAAATGCTAACAATCCCATTAAGTATTGTATTAATAATTATAATATATTTATTCTAAATTTAATATATACAACCATATAATAAATTATGTGCTGATGAAAATATATAGACTATATTTAAACTGTATTTTATAATAAAATATTCAATAAATGATTTTATTATAATTATCTTTGATACATTTTATTTTGAATTATAAACTATATTGTCAATTTTAATAAACATATATATTATACTAAAATTATTGTTTATAATAAAATATGATTTAACAAAATTGAACTTCTTAACATATTTTTAATATTTTAAGTTTTAAAATATTTACATAAACTCATGCAACGCACAATTATTATATCTTGTGTTACACGATTTTTTGTTGAAAAAAAAAGTGTATTCCACAATTTATCCCTCTATAGTTCCAACTATGTAATTTCTTGATTGGAAACTGTTTGACCAAATTACGACAACATATTTGGAGGGTCTCTCCAATGGAAAGTGCATGTAGCATTCTCAATTTACCTCTATAAATAACTATAACTTGCTTCACTTATTTGGTTAGGTTAGATTTGTGCGTGCTATACAAATATTCTATATAATGTTGTGTAAAAGTCACATAAATGCAGCTTCCGAATTGGTCTTTTTAGTGTACATTTAAGAGTAGTTAATTCAAAATTATTTTTAAAAATTTACAGTGTTTAATATTATCAATGTATTGAATTTTATGAATTTTTAATAAAACTTGTTTTCTGTCGTCAAGTTTATCATGAAACAGCTTTAAAATAAATTAAGAAAATGTTGCAAGCAAGCGATTATAATAATCAACAAACAACAACTGATCTGCAACAAAATTGACAACAATAATATAGATTTTCCCTGTTTCATTTTTAATAGAAAAATATTGAAGAGTAAATTATTCTTCCATTTTCCATGTTTTTACTTTTACTATCCATTGTTACTTTTATTAAGAACAAAAAACCTGCAAGCAAATTCGAAATATTGTAAAATTTAGCAGATTGATTACCTGAACCATTACTTTCGATATATTTTTAGTTACACACCATTCATATCCTTATTTCAGTAATATATTATAAAAACCACATCCTTATTCTGTTAATGGCTTTTGGACTTGTTATCTTTGTACCTTTGGTTGGTGTGGCCTTTGGGCTTTCCATATATAAATCCCACTTGACCAAAACATAAAAGATGTGACCAAAAAATAATGAATGTATTTTATGTTATATTTCAATCACTTAAACATCTTTTGGTCCAAATTTTCTGTGAATTTTTGTTAGTTCTTATTTTTTATTATAATTTATTAAATTCAAACTTTAAAAAGATGTAAAGTTTTCTTTTATTTTAAATTTTATTCAATAACCAAAACTTGAGTGACTAAAAAGTTGTTATATGTTAATTTAAACTTACAAATGAATTAATGTTTTAAGTTTCTTGCAATCACAAAAAATGTTTCGTGATTGTGCAGGAATGACGTTAACAAGGGGAGGATCTCAAATATTGATACTTTATACGATGCATACATTGGTATGTTGTCAAGCACAATATTTTATTATTAAATACTACTTTCACAATGAATATTTTATTATGTATACATACATATCGTTAAAGTCAATGCTCACTTCCTACAGCTACAATTCATAGCTGTTATCCTTATTTTATGTCAATTTAATTAGTTGATCCTTTGATTGATTCTGCAATCAGATTAATTACTTATGAGTTACAACATGAACTGCAGAAGTAACTTCTAACTATACTAATAACATTGTCACGTCACAAATCCATGTGTCCTCTTGTTTGTTCAGCTATTCTTATTAACAGCAGAAGAAATCATTAGTCCACAGAGGAGGTTCCAGCTAGCTCTCTTTATAAAATTTTTGGACAAATTATATTTTTGGTCTTACACATGATATTTACTTTTAATTTAGTCATTATATGAATTAATTTAATCCTTATATGTATAGTTATATTGAATATATATCCTTGTCATTTGTTAACAAGTTTATTGTTCAAAGATAAAAAATGTTAAAGAAATAAATTCCTATAGAGGACTAAAGTGGTGAAACTTGTAATATTGAAAAATCGTTGGTTTTTATCGTTATTAAAACTATGAAAAAAATAAGAATATGAGGGTTCAAATTCCATAATGATGCAGTTTGCCTCCTTTTTTTCACTTCCCATTTATTGATCTCTTGTAGGTTTCCCCAAAACCCACCTTAATAGTGGATTTTTCCTTGAAAAAGTAAAAAGAAAAGACAGTAACCAAACCCATCTCAATTGCTAAATCCAAGATACTTGCAGGGAATTTGGTATTAAACAGCCTTACATGTGTTTTTATTTTTATTTTTCTCTTTTGGTACAAAGAATAGAAAAATTCATGAAGGAATAGAATTCAGGACTAGTGGACAGCACTAATACAACTTTCGAACACTGCCACAAAGTGAAAATATTTGTGACCCCTAATGGAGGAAAAAGAAAGGTCCTATTAGTCAATTATAGTAATCTAATGACATAGATAAAATATAATTACAAACAAATGACTAGCCTAGGTACAAGCTCCATTACTAGAATGACAAACAACAATGTAAACATACACTATCATTGAAATAGATAGAGGCTTAGCTTGCTTTCAGCTTGACCCCATCATCAAGTTCTCCCAAAACAAATTCAGCATATAAATCCTTCAGAGCAATCATTACCGTGGTTATCAGTGGCCCCATAATAGCTCCCTGTGGATTCAACAAAAGCAAACAATATGTGTGTCTTCAGAGCTTAGCACGGCATTAGAAAATTGATTTAAAATCAAGTTAATCACGTAAACCAATCTAAATTTTAGAACAAATATACATATAGGTGGGAACTTTCATGTTAATCTATGACAATGTGTGAGGTTATTAGTTCAAATTGCTTATAGAACAATTTCAGAACATCAAATCATGAAGGGTAACAATTTACCTCTAGAGCTGACGGAAACAAGGTCATTCCCCCAATGATGCTTAGCCCAGTAAGATATGCACTGTAACCAGGCAAATCTTCCAGAATTTCAGTTGCCCCATAATCCATGAGGACAAGGTGAGTAACAGATAAGACAATGGCCACTACGTATCTACCTTCTAGCACAAGTTGTATAGCTGCTGGAATTGTTGCAAGCCAAGATGGAAGTATTGGTAGCAAAGGGCTAATAAAGGCAAAGACAGTTGACACATACAAGAAATGTATTTTGTATAACCTAAATAAAAGCCAAGTCAAGCATCCTTGGAAAAATGCAATCTCAGCAGTGGCCAAAAGGACTCCTGAAATGGCTTTATCCAACACTTCAACACATCTGACCCTAGCTGAGTTTGAGATTGGAAGCATGTGCATCACTTGTTCTGTTACCCCACCAGACTCTGATGTGATGAGATAATACAAAACCCAGAAAAACACCATTGTCTGAGACACAAAATTGAAAACCTCAGCAGCTCCAGAGATTATGGAATTCAAAATGGAAAACACAAACTTTGTACCACTTCCAAGCACTGTTGTACTACTAGCTAAAACACGTTGACCTACATCCATTCCTTTAATGACAAATCCCTTAGCCTTCTCAACCAAATCATCTTGAGTGATTATAAGCTCACGAAAAAGGGTATCGAGTTCAGTATAAATCTGGCTCCATTCCCTATTTCTAACTCTACCCCTCAAACTCAAGAGTTTTTCAGTGAACGGTGAAGGCATCATTGAAACTGCTGAATGCTGAGAAGAGTTAGCAGCACTAGTTGTTATCACAAATTGCCTAATACCGGTCACAAATTCAGTCATATTGTACTTCATTGCCAACCCATCAATCTGATCAGACACGGTTTCATAAAACTGAGTAGTGTACCTATCAACCATTCCAGCAACATCATTCTCCTCCATCCACTTCTTCACACCAATTCTCTCAGCATAATTGCTCTCTTCCACATGCAATTTCAGCGAAATCACTGCACCTTTCCCTTCACCACCAATCTTGTAGGAGAAAAACATCACCACAGTCAAGAACCCAACAATCATACCAACAATTAATCCAACGGCCACAATGGTTTTCAACCTTCTCAGTATCCTTCTGGTGAAAAACGCACCAATTGCAGTGCGGCCAAAGCTAACACTCCCAAATGGAGACAAAGTGGAATCCGCATTGTTCGAACTGAAAACAAAGCCTAATACAAGAAGTGACAAAGACCCAACACCACCAAGCCTCTCATAAGCAAAAACAAACACCCCAAAAGACAAGAGCAAACGAAGCACAGTGGAAAATCCCTTACTTTTCCTTGAAGAGGCGTTCTCAGCCTTTGGTTTCCTGAGAAGAAACCTGAAAGAAGCTTCTCGAATCTCAACCAGGGTAGCAACAAAGACCTCGAAAATGGCGAGAGGAACAGCAAAGAGGGTGTGGGTGAGGCCTATTTTGAGGGGTTCAGACCAAAAGGAAACGATGGTTTGGTGAATGAGTCTGAGAGGGATAGAACAAAGCACAGCCCATTGAAGGGGTTTGAGGTATTGTTCGAGGAGTTTGCAGAGAGTGTAGAGAATGAGTATGGCGAAGGCAAGGCCAGCATGAGCCATGGCTATGTAAAGGGCTAAGCGTACCTGAGAGTCGCCGGAAAGATTGAATTTTTGGCCGGCGTTCGGCGGCGGTTGCTGCGGAGGATCCGAGGTGGGTTTTCTGACGGATGCGGATCGGAACATGTCTTGCCATGGTGGGGTGGTGGCAGAGTTTGGGTCAGAATAGGGGACAAGGTCCATGAGACAGAGTCAGAAAAACCAAAGTACAAATAGAAAGTGGATAAATACTATGTTTGTTAATGAATAAATGTGTGTGTTGGATGTGCCTTTGGTGTCAGAATGAGTTACGAGTTTGACTCTCACTCACTTCTATTATAAAAGAGAAAAAGAGAGAGATGCTTCATCAATGATCAATCATTTGATTTGCAAGTTTTGGGTGAAAAAGTGCACTCTGCAACTTTTTAAACTGAAAGGAAAAAGAAAAAAAGGGAATTGGTTCTTGGCTTCGTGTGTTCGATTGCATTCACGTTGCCTCAAAGTCATCCCTATCTTCTTCTTCATCATAACTAAATTATGAGTTTACGTAAGGCGTTAATTAAGCATTAATTAATAGTATCTTTAATTACTCTACCTCTTAACAGTAATGTGTAATGGGGCTATGAACTGTACCTTTTTTCCTTGGAGGTTTCTTTCTATCGTTAACCATAAGAAACTTTGTTTTTGGTCATGGAAGCATAAGAAATTTTTTGGGCCAGTTGGGCTAGCATATCTTTGTGGCCTGGCCCGTTTTTAATTTTTGTATGTTTACATCAGTATTGGACCATTACAAAATTTGTACAATAATTTGCAGCACTAAAAATATATAGATAGCTTCAACTTTTAGTGTGTGTGTGTGTAAGAACACTAATGTATATCACATTGCACATCTAATAATAAGTTTAGTTGGATGGAACCACTACTTGAGTTGAGATAAAAATAGAATTATCCTGGATGATTGTTTTTCTTTTAATTTTACAATAGTTGTATTTCTATAAATTCAAAAGAATTAAAAAGATGGAGCAATTAAGTTGATTTTAACTGGTATAAAAAAAGTTTGATTTTTTTTACCTTAATTTATTTTATTTTCTTTGATTATAAGTACTTAATAAAATTAATATTAATTTTAATAAATTTAATAATATCAACGTTTATTTATTTATTTTCTTTTTCTAGCTTTCTTCTCTCTTCACATCACATAATCTATTATATATATATATATATATATATATATATATTTTTTTTTTTTTTTTCTATCTTTCTAGATGTAGATACTCCAAAGGTCGTCATTTTTCATTGAAAAACTTATTTAAACTAAAAAATAAATAAAAAAGCTTATTAAGAAACTTATTCAAATTATTTTATTTAAAATTATTTATATTTGTTCAAACTAATATATTGATTGAGTAATTGATTGGTGATTTTTTTCCATTTTAAATTATGAGCTATTTATTTGTCGGTGGGTTGTTATACAGAAAGTAAATTTTAAAAATACGATTTGGTATAGTAAATAAATTTAATGATATACACCTGTTCATTCTTCAGGTTTTGGAATTTTATTTGGGGGTGACATTCGTTTTCTAGAAAGTAGTTTATGTTCTGACCAATTTGAATTTAGTTAAATAAATTTATTTAAGAAAGTAAAGCATTTTAACATTTGTTTTTTCTTAAGATTTGAAAGTTAGACTTTATTTAAGATAAACTAGTTCTTTGTTTCATGATTTTGTTTGTGAATTTATTTAAAAAACTTCGAGTTTCTTTTTTTAAAATATTATTATTGCAATTTGGTTTTATAAACATATCTTACATTTTATTTTATGCACCTTCTTGTTCTTACCTTTCTCTCATAGATAAAAAAAATGTAAAAGTAAATCCTCCATTAATCTTGGTAAAAAAGAAATTACGTTAAAAATCTACCATATTAATTTTCACTTGCATGCAAATAAAAACAACCATAGGTAGTAGATACACAGTATTACACACTTTCTCTCAAATGTTTCTGTGTAGTTTAGTTACTAACAGCAAAACAAAGAGACTAATTGCGAATAATGTCAATTCGTTTTCGAAGACAGAAGTAAGCAAAGATGCGAAAGCATAGAGCCATGGCTAACAAAACCCATACTTCAGTTAAGCCTCCTTCCAAGTTTACAGTGTCAAATGATGGTGAACTCTGCAGTGTTCTACACCCTCCCTCGCTTTCACACTCATATAGTTGCTCTCCTGAATACTGCACTTTCAGAAGAAGTCTAAATCCATAGTACACAAACGACAAATACTTCAACCACTGCATCAGCTTTGGCACGTGCTGCAACACAATCAACTTTCTTAGTGTTGCATGTTTTTAATATGAAAAATAGTCATGCATGAAATAGCACCACCCTTCTAAAACAAACTAGTCATGGTTTATCAAACTTATGAATTCATTCTAAACAGGATCAAAAGTTGATAATTAGCACGTTTAATTTAACAATATCCTATCTAAGTTTCTTTATGGGAATTTTTCATGCTATATAGCACCGAGTTCTGTTATTATGAACTCTTTGTGAATACCTGAACATAGTAGCCACCTGTGAGAAGAAATAACATTAGTATCAAAGAAGCAACCATCCCTGCTCTTTGAATGCTCATAACAGCAGCTCCAAAAAGTTCTCCAGCCCCCTATTAACAACAATGTATTCATTAAAGCTTTCATCAAATGATGACCCATTAACTTTTTTTGAGTCTTGACACGGCTTACTTGACTTGTGATAGCTATTAACAGCACGGCAAACAATGTCAAGAAGAAGCACGCAACAGTCCTTTTAAAGCCAGCCATGAAGTATAGGATTAGCATGAAAAAAGTGGGATAGAAAACATGTGCCACCATGTCACACAGAGTGCTGCTTGCATAGTATACACTTAGTCTGTACATGTCTGCTTTTCTTTCTTTCACCAAGTAGACATTTTCAAAGGGAAAGACATAGACTGCTCCAAAAAGGCATGAAGATGTCCAGAATATACAGATATAGAACATCAAACCAACCTGCAGCAATGATGGTGATCCATTTTAATGTTAATTAGAACTAGAAGATATTTTTGTGGAAAAGTTGAAGGTGGATAGATTCGCACAGCTAAGTCTTGTGATGCGTGTGAACAGCAATACCATGGAAACTACCTGATCTCTAAGTTGAGCCTCTGTATTGGTTGAAGATTTCCACCAAAGTAATCCCAACAAAAGTGCAATGCCAAGTGCTTGAACTAGTCTTAGTTTATCAAAATAGTCCTTGCATCTTGCTCTGAATGTTCGCTTATAAAGAATAGTGAATTGGTCCAACCAACTCAGTGTCCAATCCTTTTTAACCTGAATGGCCAGCTGAAGATGTTCTGGTGCGTTTGTTGCTCCGTGATTTTCTTCTTTTTCTTTTGGCTCCAGTTTGTCTTTATAAATGAGTTGTAGACGCTTACATAATAAAAGGAACATTTATTAAGTGAGAACGAGATAGGACATATATATAAAATGTATAATGAATAATCTTACTTTAATAATAGCTTTTGAAGAATCAGCTGATTCTTGATCTTCCAAAATATCTTGTGGAACGCTTATGTTATTCGCTTGTCCAGTTGCCAAGTCAAGCAAGAACTCTGCAGGATTCATTGGTATTTCGGGGATGAACCTCAAGGATGAAAAGTACTGCATCGTGTCCCTAGCCTTCCCATAGTAAATGGGATAGCCTTCTGATATCAGTAGTAGTTTGTCAAACATGTGAAAAATTCTGCTGGATGGCTGATGAATTGTTGTGATTATGGTCCTTCCACCCTATAGGCAAATCAACAGTATTTTTCAGGACATATTACGAATTGCATGGTTTTGGACACACAGCATGTTGTGATTATTGATACCTTGGCAAGTCCCTGAAGAGTGAAAAGGAGTTTGTTTGCTGAGGTGGAATCAAGGCCTGATGTTGGTTCATCAAGTAGCAAGAGTGAAGGATCAACAAGAATTTCGTAGCCTATGCTGGTTCGCTTCCTTTCTCCTCCTGATATGCCTTTGAGAAATCCTCCACCTATTTTTGTGTGGCGACATCTATTGTTGTACAAGAGATTATTCAGGGAAATAGTTTCATTTATTTCTTTTGTAGTTAATTTCACCATTAATTCAATAATAATATGTGAGATCAAATGTACACCAATTAATTCAAAACACACCTTTCAAGGCCTAGCTCCTTGACAGTGGTCTCCACTCTTGCATATTTTTGTTGCTTGCTCATATTGGATGGCAGTCTTAGGAATGCAGAGAAGATTAACGTTTCTTCTACTGTAAGTTGTGGGAAAAGCACATCCTCTTGTGTCACAAATCCAATCCTACAAGGCAAATAAAAAATGAGAATGAAAAGTCCAACATTAGCATATATTTATGCTCTATGAAAAGATCAAGTACATGTTACGAAATGGATGTTAATGTGTAATGAAGGTTGCCAACCTCCTCTTGACAGCTGGATTAAATCTAACATCATTATAAGTTATTTTCCCCTTTACATTCTCAAGTAATCTTCCTCCCACAACTCTCAACAAGGTTGTCTTCCCACTACCAGAAGGACCCATCAAAGCAAGAATTTCACCAGGGCCAATGCTTCCTGTGATACCCTTCAATATTTTCTTGTATTTATCTTCATCCACATGTTGTTGTGTGGCTACTTTTGACATCATTGTCTTCACAGGGTTCTTGGAAGCTGTTTGACTATTTCTCACCTTAAACTCTACATCTTCAAACTGCACATTAATGAGAAGCTTGAGAGCAAGTGAAAGAAATCAAAACTACTAATTAAGAACAAAATATTGTTGATAACACTATTTTGACTGATTGAAATCAGCTTTCATTCTCAAGTGATGAATCATCAAGACTCTAGATTCCATTTCTTGAAAAACTAAGATTTTAATAAAAAGAAAAGCATTGCTCTAAAAGTGAAAAAACCAAATGTTGTAGAATTGAGTCATTTCTCTCCACCTTGAGATATATGGGGAGGGGTGGATCTTGGTTGAAACTAGAATCCTCAACTTTTATGTCAATCTCTGAGTACCTATTCGGAAGGTATGCCTGAGACATGTACTCCATGCTATGACCAAAGCCATTGCTCCCTGCAATCTGCATGGAGCCCGTGGATGGGGGTGACATTGGCATGTCTTCAATCTCATCTTCTCTTCCGTTCTCCATGATCTTGGATGCCAATGAAAACTAGGATGAAGCCAAGTCTAATAATAGAGTTTAGATGTCATGAGTCAACTGTATTAGACCAAGAGCTTGCCTATATATGGAGACTGAATTTTGGTTGGTGTGCCACATACTTTTCATGGCAAGTAAATTTCTTGGTCCATGAAAGGCATGAATGTTTGCAGATATCCTCCTTTCAATTCAACCATTTTCATTTGTCAAAAGAACATGTCAAGAGCATGAGTAAAATTGGCTTGGTTAAGTAACTGAACATTTATGAAATGCAATTTGGCATTCTATCATTTAGATGCGACTACTCTCATTCAAATAGGAACAATATTTTACAAAGCATTAAATGAGAAAATTATGTGACTGAAATTAAACAGTTGCGTCCATAGCTGGGATGCGATTTTGTAGGTTCGGGGAAGTCTACAATTAGGACTAGTCCCTCTTGAATATCATTTTCCCCTTTAATGCTAATTTTTCCACTAGTCTAGTAGTTATGGATTGAAATCAAACTCCAGAGCATGGCCTTGCACTTGTTTGGATTTCTGTTCTGTAATAAACAATATAAATATATCCTAACATCTGTTCTGTAATAAACAATATAAATATATCCTAACAATTTGAAATCATCTAACGTTCTTTTATTTGTACCTTAAATTACTGAAAAATTGCAGAAGTTGGGTTACTGCAATAGGTTATCCTTTTATATCAGTTCTGTGAACAAGATCAAGACCATCAAGAGTAGGTGTACTAGTGTGATTTTGTGAGTCCATCCAACTTGATCAGATTATGAATTGTTTGTAGAAACTATAACTCAAAAACACACATTAGATACTTAAAATAGCTTTTTTTCATGCAACCTTTGTTGCTATTATTTCCATTGCTTGGAGCATTATTCTGCAATTTTTGTTGTTTTAAACATCAGTTGCATATTTATATCCATGGTTTGGATTGGACATGTTACCCGCTATCATATATGCTTCTTTTTTTCACATCTTGTCTAACTTGACTTATTGTTCTTCATGAGTCCTTCATGATTCGTATTACACGATCAGTAGCCATATTTCACTCCATTTTAACCAAGTAGAATACAATTTTTCTTTCTTATTTTGCTTGTGTTTTTGTTGAGGCATGTGGGGTTTGCTATGATTACCCTTTCATACTCTATACTCATAGCAAGCCTGTTTGCTACTAAATTATGTTTTTCCAATGCGGAAAACAAAATTATGTGACTACAAAAATTACTTCAGAATACACCTGCATTCCAAGTGAGATATATTACATCAGTCTAACTCTTATTTTTTCTTCATGCATGATTTTATTTTTTTCAATTATCTGTACACAAAACAAATAAGCATTATCTATGAGGTCAGGTATCTCACAACGCCATTATGCTGGGCCAAAAGAACTCAACATTCGGCAGCAAAGACCAATAGCACGGTCATACTTCTGCTGAAGGTGTGCACTTGCTACCTATTCCTAATTCAATTATCTCTTGACCACACTCAAGTGCTAATTCTGCTTCAATTATCCACCAAAAAAAAAAAATATATTGTATATAATACCTTTCTATGTTGCAAAAGTGATCATGATTTTTATGACCCTAGTAACCTTTGCAAGTATTAGACAAATTTCCTTGATTACTTGTATTGTTTTGCATCAAAAATTGATTGAGTTGATTTTAGTTCCTTCAACTTGTTTCTCTGGACATATATGTAAGGGCAGATTTTTATTACTTCTAAAAACTCTTAATACTCCAGTCACCTGTTAAATATAAATTAAATCAAAAATTTTAAATTAAATATAAAAATTTTAAATTAAATATAAAAGTTTTGAAATTTATATTAGTATAAAAAATTTTGTCGATTAAATTTAGAAATTAGGTTTTGTTACAATATTTTATAAAATTTAGCTTCATAAATCAGAGTCAATAGGAAAGGCAAACTCATTCAGCCGTTTATCCTAACATCACAATAAATTAAGGATAAGTTTAAATATTTATTAATTCAGGTCTTATTTATTAAAAAAAAGATCTTTTAGGTTTAAATATAAAAAAAAATTTAAAAAAATACATTAATGGTTAAATACTTTTTATATCTTTGTTTGTTGTAAGATTTATACTAATTAGATATTTATCTTTTATCCTTTAGAGTGGATATATTTATTTATTTAATATATAACACACGAATTTAATTATTTAATAGATGAATATTTTAGAAATAAGAGTAAAAATTTATAATATATAAATATTTTATTGGTCTTAATAAATTAAGTACTTAATTTTTATAAATAAGACTAAAATATTTAATATATGAAAGTTTATAATATGAATTTTTATAAAATTAATTAAAATAAAAAAATTATAAGAACCTTAAAGGATAAGCCGTAACGGAAGTGGCGAAGTCCTGTCTTTTGCAGACAAGGACATCCAAGTGGACGTAACTGGCAGTGTTGGAAACGGCCTTAATAGCGTTATAGATGGGGTGGAAAAAATGAACAGTATGAAGATGACACTACTAACTACAAATTTTATATAGGAAATTTCAATTGGCTATAAATAGTGTGTGTTTGCATTTGTTCCTTAACCAAAACCATCCATGGGGCGATTCCTTGTACTGTCTTTGCACTTGTTCCTCTTCCTTCTTGCATCCTTCCATTCCCATTCCTATTCCTTAGCTCATTCCCACGATACCTTTACCTTGCTTCAATTCAACAACTCCTTCACTGTTAATTTCACTCATTATTATTATCCTGATTTATCATTTGATTGCCCACGTCCATATCCGAGGACAAATACATGGAAAAATGGGACAGACTGCTGCTCATGGCTTGGGGTCACGTGCCATCCCACGTCGGGTCACGTGATCGCACTCGATCTCACCTGCAGTGGGCTTTCTGGTAAAATCGAAGCAAACAGTAGCCTTTTCCGTCTCTCTCATCTCCAATCACTCAATCTCGCTTTCAATAATCTCTCTCAATCTCCATTGTCGTCTCTCTTTGGAGGGCTTACGAGTATGAGTATCACACATCTCAACTTGTCTGGCTCTCTCATTGAAGGTGAAATTCCTATCCAAATCTCACACCTTTCAAAATTATCCTCACTTGATCTCTCTTTCAATTATGATTTAAGATGGAAAGAAAGGAGTTGGAAGAGGCTGCTCCAGAACGCAACACTTTTAAGGGACCTTGTTTTGGATCGTACAGATATGTCTTCAACTTCAATCAAACCAATCAATCTCGCTTCATCTCTCCGTATCTTGCATCTTTCACGATGTCAGTTCCAAGGATCAATTCCTCCCTCTTTCTCTAACCTCACCCGTCTCACTTCCTTGGATCTCTCACGGAACGAACTCAATGGTTCAATCCCATCCTCTTTCTCTAACCTCACCCGTCTCACTTCCTTGGATCTCTCATGGAACAACCTCAATGGTTCAATCCCATCCTCTTTCTCTAACCTCACCCGTCTCACTTCCTTGGATCTCTCAGGAAACAACATTGGTTCAATCCCATCCTCTTTCTCGAACCTCACCCGTCTCACTTCCTTGGATCTCTCATGGAACAACCTCAATGGTTCAATCCCATCCTCTTTCTCTAACCTCACCCGTCTCACTTCCTTGTATCTCTCATCCAACAAACTCAGTTCAATCCCATCCTCTTTCTCGAACCTCACCCGTCTCACTTCCTTGTATCTCTCAGGAAACAACATTGGTTCAATCCCATCCTCTTTCTCTAACCTCACCCGTCTCACTTCCTTGGATCTCTCATGGAACAACCTCAGTTCAATCCCAGATATGTTTGGTGGGCTAATCAATTTGGAAGCCGTCCGTCTCAATGACAACAAATTAGGAGGACAAATCCCATCTTCATTGTTTGACTTAACTCATCTTTCTCTTTTGGATTGTTCTTATAATCAATTAGAGGGCCCTCTGCTTACCAAAATAACTGGCCTTTCTAACCTAACTTATTTAAGCTTAAATAACAACTTACTAAACGAGACAATTCCCTCTTGGTGTTTGTCTTTGCCATCTTTGGTGCAGTTAGATCTATCCACTAATCACTTCACAGGACATATAAGTGCAATCTCATCGTATTCCTTAGAGTATCTAGATTTGTCCAGCAACAAGCTGCATGGAAATATTCCACAGTCAATTTTCAGTCTTGCAAACCTTACTCACTTAGATTTGTCATTTAACAACTTGAGTGGTCTTGTCTACTTTCCACTCTTCTCCAAGCTTCAAAATCTGAAAACTATTTCCCTTTCTCAAAATACTCAATTGTCATTAAACTTCGAATCAAATGTAAATTACAGTTTCCCTATCCTAAGTGCAGTGAAGTTATCTTCTTTAGGTTTAACTGAATTTCCTAAACTCCGAAGAAAATTGTCGACTTTGGGGCTTCTCGATTTATCAAACAATAAACTTAATGGAAGAGTGCCCAACTATTTATGTGAAATGGATTCATTACGAAATTTGAACCTCTCTCACAACTTTTTGACATCCACGTGCCAATTCTTAGAGAATCAAGAGCTCCAACACCTTGATCTCAGTTTCAACTTGCTGGCTGATGACATTTCTTTGTCAAAATGCAATGCAAGGGAACTTGCTATTCTCAACTTGTCCCACAACAAGTTGACTGGCATCATTCCGCAGTGTCTCGCAAACTTATCATCACTTGCAGTTTTGGATCTACAGGAGAACAAACTTTACGGCACTTTGCCAAGTGCCTTCTCAAACTCCATCACTTTGCTGAATCTCAATGGCAACAAGATAGAAGGTTTTTTACCTAAATCGTTGTCCAATTGCACAGGATTGGAGGTTCTAGATCTTGGCAACAACCAAATCATGGATACATTTCCCCATTGGCTTGAAGCTATGCCATATTTGAGAGTACTAGTCTTGCGAGCAAACAAGTTGCACGGTCCCATTTCCAATTTAAAGGCTAAGCATCTGTTTCCAAGTTTAAAAGTTTTTGATATCTCACACAACAACTTCGTAGGTCCAATTCCAAAATCCTACATGCAAAAATTTAAAGCTATGAAGAATGTAGTTCAAGATGAAGCGGATAGCAATCCGCGATACATTGAAATACCACTTAGCATCAGTTACATTAATCGGGGTGAAATTATAAGCTTCGACGATATTTTTTTCTATTATTCTATGACTATAACAATAAAAGGTGTCAGCGTTGCACTCGTAAAAGTTCCCAAAATCTTTGTAAATATTGATTTGTCAAGAAATAAATTCGAAGGGGAAATTCCAAGAGTTATTGGAGAGCTCCATGCACTCAAAGGGCTCAACCTTTCTCATAACAGACTCATTGGCCCTATTCCTCAATCCATGGGAAATTTGACAAACTTGGAATCATTGGATCTCTCCTCAAATATGTTGAATGGTGAAATTCCTACAGAACTATCCAATCTGAACTTTCTTGAAGTCTTGAATCTTTCTCAAAATCGTCTTGTGGGAGAAATACCTAAAGGAAAACAGTTCAATACATTTTCAAATGATTCATATGTAGGAAATTTGGGGTTATGTGGATTTCCAATGTCAATAGACTGCAACAACGACCCCAAACATGGTCCTTCACCTTCACCAGCCTTCTGGAATGAACAGAAATTTGGATTTGGTTGGAAACCAGTGGCCATAGGATATGGATGTGGAATGGTATTTGGGATAGCCTTGGGATGTTGTCTATTGTCAATAGGAAAACCTCAATGGCTCGTGAGAATGGTTGGAGATTTGCCTAATAAAAGAGCAAAAAGGAGGACGAGGATGACGACTCATGAAAGAATGCATTAATCTGGATGTCATGATTAAGCATGTCTTATAATATTGTATTTTCTTTCATTTTAGCTCTACTTTTCTTAAAAAATAAATCCATGAGTGAACATCTCCTTCTAACTCTTATGTATCTATTCAGCTTTACATGATGCATCGCAAGTTTTCTAGTTTTATTTGGAAGTGGTGGTTCTTAGTTGTTTCACAAATTATTATCATTACATAATCGAGTTCTTCCTTGACATATATGGATGTTTTTGTGTCTTTTGGAGAACAAAATATCAAAATTTCATGGACATCTACCGTAATTGTCATCCAAAAAACATCCCGAAACACTGCAAGTACGCTAACATCAAGCAAGCATGTCTTGAAAGAAATTAGGGAGTAGGGAGTTTCAATTGGAGAGCTATTTTATCCAAGAACATTAACACATGCTATGCGCAAATGAAATTGTCTTTGGGTACGCATGAAAGTTTTTGTATTGCCGCATAACCACACAAACATAACCACACATATATGTTTGTGTATATACACACACAAGAAAATACAGTAAATTGGAGATGTAGAACGAAAACAATCAATCAGAGGTAAACAAAGAGATGATGTGTAATGTATAATCTGCACACTTTCACTGTCCCTGTTGTAAAAGAAAAACAAAACAAAGGAATATTTGTTATTATTATCTTGTTGGCATCCCTGTACAATTCTTCATTTTAGCCCTTCAAATCACTTTCCCCTCTTTCAAAATCCTTTATGCCATGTTTAGATGAAATAAAAAATAGTACTATATATGTATATACATATATATATACAAAAGTAACAAATTTTAAATTAGAGTTAAATAAACATTTTTACTTTTCACATCTTGTTTTAAAAGAGTCAAATCTCTTTTGCAAATATTATTTCTTAGAATTAGAGCTCATTTGCTTAAGCTTTTAAAATGTTATCTAGGAAGTATTAAAAGAATAATTATTTTAAAAAACTATTTTTTGTTGCAATAAGTATTTTTAACTTTGAAAATCAATTATAGCCAGTGAGTTTGTCGTGCATTACACGGTACTGTTGACTTAAAAGGAATTTTTTAAATAAAGTAAAGTTATATTGCATGATTATTTTTAAATTTTATAAATTAAAAAAATATTTTTATTAATAAAAATAAATATTATATTAAATAGACTAAATTAAAAAATAAGAAATAAAATACAAACTATTCAAAATTTAAATTAAGATTGAATTACAAAATAAATATTGAGTACAAAAAAAGCCAAATAATATAACAAAGAAAATAACAAATCCTAAGAGTACTCTTATTTAAGATAATTCTTAAAAACATTGTTATTTGAGAATGAGAACTCACATGAAGAACTCAAAATAATTTTTAAAAACTTTTTAATTTTGGATTATTTAAGAGCTTTAAAACATCACAATAATCATTTTTAAAGTAGGAATTATATATAAAAAAAGAGAGGTTTTCAAAGGCTGAAATAAATAAGCTCTTGTTCATCTTCATTATACTTTATCTTTATTCATTTCTAATCATTCGTTTAACTCATGTTTGATAATACTTTATCATTGATTTTCAAATTTTACCCAAATCCCAACTAAATTTGCAAATTTGTTATATCTTTGCATCACCTAGTGCACAAAACGGTTAAGGTACCAACCAGTTGGTGGGATATCTGCAAATATAGATTTTAGTTAGAGTAAGATGAAACTTTAGCATCAACCTTAAGTGATGATATCTTAATCTTATCACAAAAGAAGTTGCATCCACGAGATGAGGCAATCTTACCTAAAACCCAAGAGCACATGACGGTCGTTGCTACAACTGTATTGACTGTTTCTTAATCATACAACAAAATAACAATATTTCATGATGTTACCTTAACTTCCCCGTAAATCAACAGTTCATCAATTTCAAGTATACAAAAAATTTAGACAGGTGTTACTAATACCCTCACCATGAGTTCTACCACTTTGAATTGAGAAACACGTGTTGCTAAATTGTTGGTGTCACACCAAATGCAATATTATTATTCTCGTAGAACACAAAGTAAATTCCCTTAACTTCCCTTTTTCTTTTTCTTCTTTTTCTTTTTCTTTCATGTTTTTGGAAAACCCCTCTTTGAAGAATGTCAATTTTCTGTTACCTACATTGATTGTATTTTAAGCAACATGGCCTAATAATTCATATTTATATGCCCCTTTTTTTTTCTTTGCTTTTGTTTTGGTTTCTGTATCTAATTTGTATTACGAAGAGTGTCTGGCATTTTGATTGAACATGTGATCCAAGTCCATGAATATGCCAGATTGTTATGGGGTGGTTGGATTCACTGTGGGGTGAACAAGGACGAAAGTTTATTAAAAGGAAAGACAGTGATGCAGGCGAAACAGGTCTATTCTGAATTTCTTAGCCGAGTTTTTTTGCATGCAAATGAGTAATTTTTTTTTAAATCTAATTTGCATAATTTATATCAAACTCTCGTTTATGCCTCAATTGTATTCTTGATTTTCTGAAGAGATTTCAACTATCATATGTTAATATCGTTCTCTCTTGTCTGTGAAATTATATTTTATCTTTAAAAATCATTGGATACTCCGGTTTTGATGGTTACGTTACTTTAATTCTTTTATAAAATTTCATTGTCTTTACGGTTTATGTTATGCTCTATCATGATTGCATCACATGGTATTACTGATCAGAGACTTTCTCAGACCAATTTGCATTTTTTATTTGAACTGATACTGCTCTGTTTATGTTTCTGCAAATTTGATTGATGTTCTCACTAGGGAATTAAAAAAAAAATGGACACCACCTTCGATCTTCCTTTAGAACCTCTTCGTAAATTATTGAAGCTATGTTTGGAAAATGTCCATCTTGCTTTCACTCTTCCTCCTTTAGGATCTGCTCATTCTTCTTTTACTATAAATGTAAATCAGTTCTTCTATGAACAAAACTTAGGTACAATTCGTAAGATGTTATTAATAATGTTTACCAATTACAACTAGCGTTTTCACCTCAATAAAGGTTCACATTTAATGTTGTCATGGGTTATCGATACAAAACTCTAATTTTAATTGGTAAACACAATTGCACCTCAAGTTTTTCGTTCTTTTATCTCCTCAATGTTTAGAAGCTTCCCAATCGCAATGATATATGCTATTGCTATTCATTACAATTGATGCTAATATCTTTGCTCCCAATAATATATCAATACAAACTAGAGACTTGGTGTGTACTTCAGCTAATGCTGGTTCTTATGATACAAATGATCAGGTAGAGGACTGGAGGAACTCAGAGCTTCTCTCTACAATGAGTTCCGAACATCAGAAGGAGCAAAGCGACAACAGCAAAGATATTGTGGACCAGTGGTGGCACTGACCTTCAACTTTATGGTTGCAGTTGGGATTATCATGACAAACAAATTGGTCCGTAAAATTTGCTTCTTTTGTTGCATGTATTTTATGATGTGATGACCTACTGCAAAAGGATGAAATGCTCCAACTAGACATTACCTCTTTAGAATTTCTGCCTATTGATCAAACATTCTGACACGTACAATATGCATATAACTATGTTAACAGGTGATGGGGAAAGTTGGCTTCAATTTCCCAATTTTCCTCACATTTGTTCACTACATCACTGCATGGATTCTCCTTGCCATTTTCAAGGCACTTTCAGTGCTTCCTGTGTCCCCTCCATCTAAAACAACTCCATTCTCTTCTTTGTTTGCACTGGGTGCCGTTATGGCTTTTGCCTCTGGCCTTGCAAACACCAGCCTCAAGTATAACAGGTTTCTGCTCTTTCTTTAACTTGTTCATAATAAAAGATTTAGAACTTCGCTGTTTTCTGACAATCCAGTTCATGCAGTGTTGGTTTCTACCAAATGGCTAAGATTGCTGTTACTCCAACAATTGTTCTTGCTGAGTTCATTCTTTTTAGAAAAACCATTTCTTTTAAAAAGGTTAAGAATTATGCTCCTTTACTTCTTTTTCTTTACTTCTCTTTCACAATCACAAAGCAGTTCAAATGTGTGAAAAAGGACTAGTCCACCCCCTTCTTTATATCTTTATGAACTAATCATGTCATTGCAACGATGCAGGTTTTGGCTTTGGCTGTCGTCTCAGTTGGTGTAGCAGTTGCAACTGTAACAGATTTAGAGTTCAATTTATTTGGTGCTCTAATTGCAATTGCATGGATAATCCCAAGTGCCATAAATAAGATTTTGTGGTCTACTTTACAACAGCAAGGCAACTGGACAGCTTTGGCGTAAGTACTAGTACTCACTACCGAATTGCTCCTTGGTAAAATTAAGTTATAAATACCCTGACTTTGAATCTTTCTCATTGTAGGTTGATGTGGAAGACAACCCCCATCACAGTTTTCTTCCTAGGGGCTTTGATGCCCTGGATAGATCCACCAGGAGTCCTATCCTTCAAGTGGGATGTGAACAATTCAACTGCCATTTTGGTATCTGCACTCCTTGGTTTTCTCTTACAGTGGTCAGGTGCCTTGGCATTGGGGTGAGATAGATAGCCATCCTCTTCCAACAAGAGGCTGATAAATAAACTATTTTTGACACACAATGCTAATACCCTTCCTCTTCCTTTAATATGGTTGCTACTTGCTGAGGGATAAGATTAGCCGGCTAACATCACATTTATCAATCATTGCAGGGCCACTTCTGCTACGACCCATGTTGTTTTAGGACAGTTTAAAACCTGCGTAATTCTGTTGGGAGGATATCTATTATTCAACTCAGATCCTGGGGTTGTGAGCATTGGCGGTGCTGTTATTGCTCTCTCTGGGATGTCAGTTTACACAACAAGGAATTTGCAAGAGTCCCAGGAAAATACAAGCAAGCAACTCCCAAAGCAAATTTTGCCGTCATCGAAGACGAAATCAACAAGTGAAGAAAGCGCAGATTTGAATGTAAATACTACCACTACCACCATTGTTGTCTGAGTCGCATAGTTCGATGACTACAAGAAAACCAAACTATTCCAACACTAATCTCACGACCTTTGTTTTAGCAACTCAGTGCAGTCAAGACTTTTTTTTGTATAGACGACAGATCAGTCACAATGATGAAAATATGAAATTTTGTTGAGATTATTTTAAGGGTAATTTTCCAGAAAATCCTGTCAATCTTTTAAATCTCTTGAACGGAAAAAGTAGGCTCGACGAAATGAAGATCAAGGGCTTTAGCACACATTATAAAAGTTCATTGATCACCAAACATTCTAAGATAATGAGTAGCATCGGCAGAAAAGATAAGCCTAAAACTTAACAGATGACATGTCTGATAAGGTGAGGAAAAAATTAGGAACAAGCACGTTCTTGCAGAAGAAAACCGAAAAAAGAATTACATATGGAATATTACGGTTTCAAGAAGCTGTCACACAAGGGCTGGCCAGACAATAATTTCTCTATAATTGGTTGTGTTGAAAGAGAAATTTGAATCAAGCCGTATAGAAATTAGAGTTCAAAAATTTCAAACCAAAAGAATCGGACAACATAAATCCATAAACAAGTACGTTCCCCCATGCAAAATCAGGTCAGCCTTTCGAAGGGCTAGACAACGAGACCTGAAATGTGCTACTGAAGAAAATAGATATCACAGTTGTCATGCTCCAAATAAAACTGTATAATTCAATGTCCTCTGATATCAAAATGTAATATACAGGTGAGAATTTAGAACGGAAAAATTGGCAAATCTCACCTGCTAACTCTTGGCTTAGTATATTATCACTAGGAATTACTAAGTTTCTTATACCAACAACTAAATGTTCTCTCGGGGGTAAAAGAAGAGGTGAGGGATAAATAAACTGAAAGCTCAAAATTAAATAAAGAAAAACCTGCAACTAGCACCCTTCAAAATCGTTAGCACCAAATAACTCCACCAAAAACAGTTACTAATTTTCTTTTCTCATTCTTTGGCCGCATTTTTATTTACACTTCAGATCAGGCCAGTGTTCATACTTCCTGGATCTGAGCACATCACATGTGCATTTGAACATTATCGCACCAAGAAAATGTTTTCCAGCCTAAAAATTAGAATTCCAATTGACATGTGCAGGCTGAGGCTGCTGATAAGATCCTGAAGGGAGGCCTACAGTTTCAACAGGGCCAGCGACAGCCTGAGACTGTTGCAAAAGAGTTGAAGGTGAAGCTACTGACTGCCCTGCTTGATAGATTCCAGCAAATGCCCCATGAGCAGCTTGTGTTGCGGAGAATGTGAGATGTTGTCCCTGAGGGGCAAGGTTATACAGAGAATTAACTTGCAAACTGGATATATCTTGGCCTGGTGCAGGTATCCACACTGCAGAGCCTTCATTCTAGAAAAATAATATAAAACCATATAAAGTTTAGTGATAACAGAAAGTCCAAGAATTTATTTTCATGTTGATGAAGCAAACGTAAACTCTTAATAAAATTAGATTGATGGTTTTGAAGCCAAAGACCACCGTATAGCACAAAATTTCCTATTTTATCAAGAAAGAGGCATGAATGAAATAAAAGGACATTAATAAGGAAGTAAACCAACCAGCTGTCCAGTTGTATAGATCTGATTTTCCTTCAACTGAGACACTGCAAGATCATCACTTCCAGTGGAGCTTCCAGTATTCACTGTTGGACTAGGTGCGTATCCTACAGGTGGAGTGATGAACGATCCCGAAGGAATTCCAATATGAGCTGTATTTCCCGTGTTTGCTCCTGCCTTGAATTGAGGGATAGGGATTTTTATCCCAGCAGCTGCTGGTAGATACATATTGCCAGCTGATGGCTGTTGAGGGAAACCATTATGGCTTAAAAATTGGTGTATTGGAGACACGTAAATAGGGGGGTAATAGTGGCCATATGGGAAGAAGTTAGTAGGGTATGGTGGCCTGAAAATAGAAACCGACTGTGGAGACACAGGTATAGAGCTCTGCAGGGGTGGAGTTGGGCTAGGGGATACAACCTGAGAACTTGCATTCTGCAATAATAATAATAATAGAAACACAAGGAAAAAAAAAAAAAAAACAAAATCATATAAAAGGAAAGAAATACAGTCATAATTAAAAATATTAAATTGAAAGGAAAATACCTCCCAAACATACCCAGGACGATATATATATATTCAAAGAATTAGGGTGGTAAAAAGGAGGGGTGTGTGAAGATGCAAAACACACCAGAAAACTTGACAAATCTCTGTTGAATCTCATTAAAAAAAATCAACATGTACATTCTGATTCCATAATTCAAAACCAACTGCTAATGTTTTAAACTGCAAAAGCTTCATATACCAACACAAGAAAACTTTACTTTCATGACTTATTTTACAAAGTACTGTTCTCACTTCTCACAACTGCTTGATATCTCTTGGATCATCTATGATGAGTAATCTTGTCAATTTCACTTCATATTTCATGAGGCATTAAGTTAAATGTCCAGATGGCTCATAAAATGCCAGGCCACATTAGCCCATCAGTATAACTGATGCTAAAAACTACTGATCAGTTCCAACATTGCTTCTACTTTTGTAAACCACAACTGAAACTATGTATAGGTTAGAGTAGAAATTCATGCTGTACAGTAAATTATGTACATTGATAAAAATACAAGCACATTTAAATGTAAACATATGAAGAAAAACACCGAAGATCACAATGTAATCCAAGAAACAAAACATAAAAGCAGGGCAGACTTTTGTGTGTTTATGAAGGGAACCATAAAGGTAGCTAGGCATAGTCCAAGATAGGTAGAGTCTAGACATAACACATTCCTTGCATGTTGACAAGAAATTACTGAATAATAGAAACTGCAAATATGACATTTAAATGTAAGCATATGATGAGAAACATCGAAGACCACCATGTAAAACAAGAAGTACAACATCCAAGCAAGGCTGATTTTTCATGCTTCTATGAAGCAAACCATAAAGGTCGCTAGGCATAGTCTAGATAGGTGGAATCTAGACACAACACATTCCTTGTTTGTTGAAAAGAAATAACTGATAATAGAAACTGTGAATGATAGTAGGGGCATTAGATATATTAAGTTCAATATTAAGCATGCAATCGGCAAGAATGATGTCCTTTCCTGATATAAACATTCATTTTATTGCTGATTTCCCAATCATAAAATTCAGGGAAATCAACCCAGAGCAAACAGCTTCAATATATAGAAAAACAAAAAATCACACTAAAAAATACAAAATAAACAAATGTTTTAGAATTGGATTCTTCTCTTGAATGAGTAAACTAATTTGCCAAAGCAGTAAAAGAAAGTATTAAAACATGGAAAACACAATTTTAATAAATATTAACCACAGGAAGATCTTAAGAAAAAAGAGGTAAGAGTGTAGAGAAACTTACAACAAAGTTTGGAAAACGAGATGTATCTTGTGACTGAGGCTCAGTTCCCTCAAATTGAATTTGCTGGGTCCCTAACATTGTGGACATGAAATTCAAACCATAGTTCTGAGCAGTTTGAACAGTTGGAATTGGATGGGCCTCAGGAGCCAACAAATTTTCCTTCTTTGGTTGATCAACCTTTGTGTCAGTACTAGTTATAGAATTGCCTTCTGTTGCTGGTGTCTTTTCAATCAAATAAGATGAAGAATGTGGATAATCAAGATGATCTCCTTGTTCAGTCAATGACACACTTTGGTTGCTACATCCAAACAAGAAAGACCATCAACAAAACAGAAATTACAAGAGCACACATTGACACAAGTAATACCTTTGGTAACAGGAAGAGAAATCAATTAACTACACCAAAATAATTCATGAAATAAATAATAATTGCCAAAGGACATTGAAAAAGGTATAATACTACCTCCAAAGGTAACCTTACCACCACTTTTTTACACCACTTAAAAGGGCATGACAGGAAACAGAGAGGGATCTGTGATTTGATGAGCAAAAAAAAGCAACACAAGAAGCATATGAATTACAAACCTAGAAGCAGCAGCTTCATCATTCCCTAGTGAAGCAGCAAGAGCAGAAGGGCTATTGTCACCACCAGTTCCACTGCTAGATTTTTCACTTGGGCCAAAAGTATCAAAGCTTCCAAACGTCAGACCACTTTTTAAAGCCTTGGGTACTTGGAAATGGTTTGGAAAAGTAACATGTTGCCTCATCTCTGCTGAAGATTGCACACAAGCTTCTGATGTTGAAACCTCTGTGACATTAGCTGTTTCAGATGCATGAGAATGAGTAAAAGGCATTATAAGGGACATAATTAAAGATATATTGAAAGAATGGAGAGAAAAAAAACTTGTAAAAAGTTAATTCTTGATTTTGTTAGGAAGATTCCTTCCAATATCGAACAGAGTATCTCAGCAAGTAAAATTTTGGGGTTAGCTCATGGAAGCAGAACCCAAACAAGTGACATGGCTTATTTAAATTATAGGCTTAGTCAGGCAGCTTCTCACTTAAAATACCTTCAGGAATGGTTTCAAATGTTCTTCTCCTGACTTATTTCCTCCTATTCCTGTGGGCTTTTCTTCACTTTCTCTTCTGAGAATTTACATTGTCCTACTTTCTACAATAGGGAGACCAATGATTGTATCCGTATGGTAGAAAAAGTTTGATCAGAAAATTCAAGGAATACTTCAACCAATACCCCTTGTACATCAAGGGAAACAGGATATGTAAAGCAACCCTATTAGTAGACTTAACAAATATAGAACAAAACTTTACCTTGGGGTGGCTGGCTACTAGAACTAGAAGATGGCCTCAACGAACCATTTAGTGATGAAGAGGATGAAACTTGAGAGGGTTCCAAAAACTGATTATTTTCAACTTCATTTGACTTCTGTAGGGCATTTATTTTGCTTGTTGAATTCATAGACTCAGATTTTTCATTCTTGGGTGCTGATACATCATTAACTTCATGAGGAACAACTTTATTTGCTTGAACATCTTTTGGTCCAGAAGATATCCAGTTACTCCCAACTTCCCGACTAATAGCACCACTACTACCAGGATTCCGGGAGACAGATGATGCTACTACAGGATCCAAAGAAGAATAGACACCAGATACAGAAGTTTGTAGTTGATCAGACCTTGACAGAGATTTTCCCTGGTCAGTACTGGTAACTGAGCCAAAGGTTGGAGTAGTGGAAGAGGCTGCTGCAACAACAGCAGCTTGAGGTTGAGCATTTTCTTGATAGCCAGTGTCATTAGCATCACAACTACTTTTAGGTACACCACCTATGGGAGATTGGCCAGCAGAAATATGACCTGACTTCCCATTGGATTGATTTGCCACAGCATGCAGTGCAACAGCTGAAACTCTGCAGTTGAAGAAAAATCATTTTAAAGAGGATGCATGTAACTATGAAATGAATAAGCAATGCCAATATTAACACTGGTGTATTTCTTATCACACCAATGAACATCTTCATATAAAATATATTTTAGCAATCCAATCATCGAATCATGAGGTATTATCAAGTTGATCATGCAAGTCAAATTTAAAGCAAGTTGGTTATCAATAAATCCAAAAATAAGTAGGTTCTTACTTCTTGTAGTTATTATATATTAAACCTATGAAATAATAAACAATAAATTTTAAGCATGATTTACATGATTTGATCTTTTGAATGAATGGTAAATTTTGTAAAAACTAAAACAATACCTTATAAAAAGTTATTTAGCATTATAACTTAAATGTGAGACTTGGTTGGAATTTTAGGTTCAAAAGGAAAAAAAGAGTGAAGCTATTTTCAACTTTCTTTCTTTTACTTTTGTTTGTGCCTTGCCTTTCATTCTATAAAATAAGGAAAAGATAAGCTGATTCTTTGCAACATAATATATTCTCATAAACATTATTAATTCACTGAATTAAACAAAGTAAAGCAAATATAAATGAAAATGCAACCTTGTGGTTTGAGATGTTGTACTAGTCTTAGTTTTCTGCAAAACTGGCTGGGTAGAGGGAGCATGATTTCTCTCTGCATTGTGATTGACTCCATTTTCCCTTCGAATAGCAAGGTTCCTCCCACCGCCACCATCTAAACACATACATTTGCAAGACAGTACACTGATAAGCTAACAAACTAACCAAAAAATTGCTAATTCTTAGAACAGTTCTCTGTACTAAAACAATGTTTTATATAGTGAGCAAAAGAAAACTGAAAGTGAAACAACAAGAAAAGATAAATGGTGGGGAGGAAGAAAATTAATAACAAGGCTCAAAGTCGAGCCTCTAAAAGATGGGGAAAAAATTGTACCAGGAAAGTTGGAGGAATTTCCTCCTGAAGCACCCCTTCCCCCCCTCCCTTGTCCACCTTGCTTTAACCTATACTCCTCCGAAGCCCTGCCGCTCAATCCCTGCAATGATAAACTTAAACACAAATCACTCAGGCTAAGAAATATTAAAGTGAGAAGGATGGGAAAATACAAGCACATTTACTCACTTATAACTAGACATATGCAATTACAACACACACCAACAAAATAAACCCTATACATGACAAAACAAGACCCAGATCTTTCACTCAGCATATATTGCATGATCACACACTTTATACAATTTCAACATGGAGTCTGCCAACCACTCTGCTCATAAAATGACACAATGGCAGATCATGATACAAGGAAAGCTTGCCTAGCATGTCACAACAATCAAAATAATGATTACACCATGATGATTACTGTATAAAGTATAAACAAATGAAAGATTCGTCCATTTCAATAGATCTACTCATTAGCACAAAGAGAAGACTTCAGCACTTTACTGGATAGGTAAGAAATTAATCTGATTCAGCAACTCAACTTTCGAGAGCTGTCACAAAAAACCAACCGAAACATTGAAACAGAGCAAGTAACCGCAAGTGGGGAAGGGGTAGTACACAGAACTTCAAATTGGGGGAAGAAAAAGCATCTTACCTCCTTCTTTCGGTCACGTCTCCTTCTCACTTCATGAAAAGTATCTGAGAACAAAAAAAAAAAATAATAATAATAATAACTCAATAAACCATTAATACAAGGAACATTAAAATAAAAAAAAATAAAAAATAAAGACAACAACAACAACAGAATCTCCAAGATGCCATAAAAACATTTCTTTCCCAGAAAATGATTAATGATTACGATGCATAAAGTGCTCAACCCATTAATTGAGAAACGCGAGTGAACAGAAAGCCTGAACGATACCAACAAACCAGAAGAATTAATTAGGTTATATTCAATAACTAAAGCTAATTCCTCATCACAGAAACGCAAATCCCATTCTGTAAGCTTTTATCTCACTGAAGTGCTAACACACAATCTCGTTTCCACGCATTGAATAATAAAAAAATAAACTCTCAATGTTCAAAGAGCCACACAAATAGCTTCCTCGCAGCTTAACACAAATCACCAAAAACACTAAACATTAAAAATAGGTTAAATTAAATTAAACTAAAAGTATGAACTAAACTTCCACAACCATGAGTTAACAGTAAAGTGGAGCTTCAAACTCGTAACCATTATGCTCATTCATTTATCGAGAAAGAGAAAGGGAAACAGTGTATCTACGAATGAATAAAGAAAGAAAGAGGAAAGATAAGAGAGAGGAGAAATTGGATCGCGAGGAAGGAGAAGTGAAACCTAAATAGAGAAGCTTCTGAGCGGTCTCATTGGGATCCATAGAGCATTCCTTGAGGACGGCGTAGATTTCGTCGTCGGTGTGCTGTTTTCCGGTGATCTCTCTGATGTCTTGGATGATTTTGCGGACATTGTTTGGGATCGGAACCCTAGAATTCGAAGACCCACCACCGCCGCTCATCTTTTCTGTCTGTAACACAGCAACGAAGGAGGGACACTCTCTGTTTCTCAGACTTATTACAAGAGAGAGAACACAACACAATCACTTTGAATCATTAATATACTCCAATTCTTTATTCTTTTTCCTCTTTTTCTTTTTTATCAATATTCAATTCAAATTACACTACAATTTTTGTTTATCAATAGTTTATGAAGCTCTGCATCCTTCATCGTTATTGCATGTTGAGAAATTGTGTATTTGCACAATGAATTTTTATTTTTTATTGACTAGGGAGTAGTCGAAAGAGAAGATAAAAAATGAGAAAGAGTCATGATATAACAAAGAAAAATATATATTATATAAAAAAATCGTAAAAATAATACAAGAGCTTAACTGATTTACTAATAAAATGAACAACCTAAAATAGATTTAGAAATATATCAATAAATTTATAAATGTAAAAATTATTATTAATAATATTAAAATAAACATATATTTACTTACATTTTAATGTAAAATTATACATGATAATATTTTTTAGTTAATCATGTTAGTAAAACAAAACTTAAAACTAAAAATTATCAAGGATAAAAAATTTTATAAAATATAAAAACTAAATAAAATTACTTAAATATAAAGAAATATTATACTCACGTTCTCTAAACTAGACAATATAAATAAATATATATATATATATATATATATATAAAATGAATGATATGATATAAAAAATATAAATATTTTAAAAGATTTATAAAGAAAATAATATTGTACTTAATTAATTAATATTTTATTGCATTTTTATGTATAATAAGATAATAGGGTATTTGAGTTAGGAGAAGAGTGTTAAGAAGGGACGGAAGAGGCTTAAGGTGGATAGACGCACATGACAATTTGTGAAAGGTGAAATTTTTTTTTAGAGATATTTGAAAATAAGAAAATTAGAGTAGGGTGAATCATAAGATTATTGAAAAGAAGGGTGATGGGAAAAACAGTTTGCATTGTACAAAATGAAAGTTAGAAGGTGTGAGAGGGGTGGAGGGTCAAGGTGAGTGAATGCTTGTGACATGAAGAAGAGATTGAGTTTCGTAACAATGGGTAACGTGGGACAGTGAATATGTCTAAATAAAGTCAATAAACAGAAAATTACAAAACAAGTTTCGATTGTGTGTGTAAAGGTTTCGAGCATTGAAACTGAAGAGAGATTGTAACCAAGATAGAAGAGAAAAGTAGTGTTAATAGTGGAGAAGCTACATAGATATGGTGAAGGTGAAGGGTGTGGTTATGGCCAAGAATGCAGGGTGGGTACCTAAGAGTGCAGTATCATAACGAGTTTCATGTTGACCCAGTGCTATAAGGTGGTTGTGAGAAGGTTACTCTCAATAGTGTGACTAACTGCCTTTATCGAGAATCATGTCAAGGCCATTAACATGGGTGATGATATGATTCTATTAGAAGAGAGGTTATAAGATAGTTTGTCTAAACTGTTTTATACAATTAATTGGTGACATATGGTATGGTAGTTGTTAATAGTGAATGAATGATGACACAACTTCTCGAACACATGCACTAATTAATCAATGAAGATATAAAGATTTATATTGATGATCTCGTATACTTAATCGAGATAGTTAAGGAACATGAGAGAGAATTATTTCAAGGAGTATGACGGTATCATAGTTCAAATACTTCATCGTTGTAGAGTTATGACGATACTTTATTAGATTTGAGAATGAAAGTTCAGATAATTGTGAGAAGGACTGTGATCTAACATCAGTAAGCATAGTAAAAAAATAATGACCAAAGATGGTGGGGAGAGCACAGAGGAGGAACAGGAGGTGGATTATTGGGGCAAAATTTTTTATGATTCCATATTAGACATTGCATAATATTAGTAAGAGTTTGAAAGTACGAAATCAAATCTATAGGCTTTATTAGTAGATTTTCTTATAGATCAAACAAAACTAATCAATATTGAGTTAAAGACTATATTCCCTTTAATCTAATGCTGTTGTTGAGATGGTAGTGCATAAAATAATTAATATTAGAAGTGCACTTCGCATGACGAGGAGGAAGAAGCACGACTTCAAGCTCTGGGTTCCATCTAAGCTTTGACCTAATATTTAGAATATATATCTTGAAAGTGGCTTACAACAAAGTCTTTAAGAAAAAATAATCCCTTAACATATATTATTATTTTTCTTTAGAGTTATAATGTATTAGAGTACTTTTTGTATTTTAAATTTATCTTTAATATAATATTAATATTTAAAAAAAGAATATATTTTAATTGAAAAAAGAAGGACATTATTGTCTTCATTCTAATTATAATGGACAAAGGATTGGCATGTAATTAGCAAATTCAAATATGGAATAAGGTCAATAATTTTCTTGTATTCATGTTTATTTGTTTCATTTTAAGATTACAATTTTTTTAGATTATAATGTCAGATAAATAAAATAAAATAATACTATCCTATTATCTATGTTTAATCTTTAACCGGTATGTAAAGAATAGTTTCTTCTATTTTATAAATGATATTATTTAATTATATTCTAACGAAAAAATTATGATTCACATATATAATATTTTTTAATCATTATTTGTTAAAGTTATAGTATAAAAATTAATATTTTTAAAATAAGATTATTATATTAACCAAAAAAATATGAATCGTTTTAATTTATTTTACTCCGTCTATTTCTATCAATGCAATCATAGCCGAAGTTTGATGGTTAGTTTCATACGAAGAAACATATACCGAACATGACATGAATGACCAATTTTTAACGACTTTATTTAATATTTACTGAAAAATGAAAGGAAATAGCTTTAATAATTATAATTATTTTTTCACTTATCATTGCGAGACACACTAGAAACTGATACCTATATAGTTTAACATTTTCACAAATTAATTAGAATTATTAACTTTAAATAAGAAATTTCAAAACCTTTGCAAATGCACACTTTGTATACTTGAAATGAATTTTTTTATATAAACACAACGTTGTAATTGGGCTGAAGAGCCCAATAAGAAGTGAAAGTGCAAAGCACATGCTATGATAATACGACATCGTTATGGAGAGTGGAAAGCAAGAGCCAAGAAAACGGCGGAGTCCACAACGGTTGATAGTAGATTGCATCTCCATCTGTTTGTGCTTGACAATTGACACATCAGAAGGGAACAGAACAAGAACGAGGAACCTCTTTGTGTGTGTGTCGTGAATCTGAGTCATGGGTAGCAGCGATTTGAGGTACGAGATTGCACAAAACGCTTACATCAAGGTCGTGCTTCACTCTCTTAAACACCCCACCTCCGCCGTCAACGGTGTCTTGATCGGCCGTATTTCCCCTTCAAACGATGCCGTTGAGATCGTCGATGCCGTCCCTCTCTTCCACTCTCACATCCCTCTTCTCCCCCAATTGGAGATCTCCCTCTTGCTGGTTATTTCTCTCTCTAGGGTTTTCTGTGTTTTTCTTATTCAATTTTGTCCCCTTACGGTTATTTATGAAATTATGCATACAGACCTATGCTTTTTTAAATATCATATAACATATTCAATTTGTTTATTTTTCTTTCTTTCGGGTGTCAATTATTTTTTGCGTGATTCTCAGCATTTTTTTAAAAAAATCTCATTTTTTTGGTGGAATAGATAGAGGAATATTTTTCTGCGAAAGGGTTGAACATAGTTGGCTATTTTCATGCGAATGAGAGATCTGATGACTGTGAGCTTTCTGGTGTGGCGAAGAATATTGGTGACCACATATGCCGATACTTTCCCCAAGCTGCTATTCTATTGGTATGCTGTTGAATTTTTTGCTAATTTTATTTTTAATTGTCTACTTTTGTTTATCAACTTTCTGCTCCTTTTCAATTCTTCGCAGTTAGATAACAAGAAGCTTGATGCTTTGAAAAAGAGCAAGGACCGTAGTGCCATAATGCAGGTTAGCAATACTAGTATTTGTAAACCTCATTCATCAAAGCCTCTTAACATTTTTTATAACATCACTGCGTTTAACTACTATATGAATTGTTTTTGGGATTTTTCTACATGATATGTTTGATCAAATCATTTAATAAATAGAATTCCTCGTGGGCTTTTGTGAATGGACGAAACAAACTTTCTGTTTATGAAATCATGAAAACCTTTGAACTCGTTAGAATATGTGTATCTTCTGTAGTCCCCTTTTGCATTGGACAATGAGCAGTTCGCATATGTTTGTTGGTTTCCCCGTCTTGTTTTCCTTATTTTGGCCCTTCATTGGTTGTAACATCTCGGAACTCATATTGGATGGAAGCAAGACTTAAAATTGCACGCTTGAATATTGTTATATATATTATGGCACATCCAGAAAGCACTTTTTAACTTTTCTCTTAATGAAAGAAGAAACTCATGAACTACTTGTTATATAGCTAGGTTGCAAGTGTTTATACTATTTTATATGGTTCCCCCCACATTTAGAGCCATATTTTTGTTGGTTACATTAACCGAGATTGCCTTTTTCTTATGGTTTAGCTTTATGTTAGGGATACATCTAAGAACTGGAAGTTGGTTCAGTCAGACGGGAACAATCGATTCTCTCTCAAAGAACCATCGGCAAATCTAGTCTTATTGGACTATATTGAATCACAGAAATGGAGTAACATTGTAGATTTTGATGATCACCTTGATGACATAAGCAAGTAAGTGTTTTTGCCTTGCACATTCCTTTTTTTCCTTAGTTGTTTCTTTCCTCTTAATTTGTGCAGTGATCATTGACTTTTTCCCAATCTGTATTCCATTTTGTTTTCAGGGATTGGCTAAACCCAGGGCTCTTCAACTGATCACAGCCCTAGTTGTCTCCATTTTTGCCCAATTTACTTTGCAAGTGGAAGATGTTTAGGCTTATTATGGTGCATACGCTGGATTCTTGATGATGAACAATTAGAAAATAGATTTTGACCTTTGGAACGCTGTTTCATTAAACTTTTTCAGATGCATAATAAGCAGGATATTTACCACCCGTCTGTGAAGGATTTTGGTTGCAGAGCCAATTTTTTTTTATTGGATGTTATATATTATTATTGATGTTATTGCTTTGCATGTGATGAACTTTTACTTGGTAGAAACAAAAGAACCCATGTCCTCCGTTATCTTAGTTAATCCATTGGTTTGCTTACACTTTTATGGTTGCAATGTATTCTCTATTAAGATTTTTCTTGGGTCGAATATTTTTTTCAGATTTATCTTTGTAATATTTTTTTCACAAGATAAAATTTGCTACACACAACAGGAGCGAGAAACATTGATAACATTGTAAATGATCACCGGAGGAAAAAATGAAAGCAAACATTTAAAAAAAATTATTTGCAGTAAACGGTATTTTAAAAGAATTTATAGAAATTTTATTAAAAAATTAGTTTGACTCTCAGATTTTGGCTTATTTAGATAATTTTATAAAGTAGTTTAAAGGTATAATACTAAATATGAAAAATGTTTTTTAAAAAATTACCATAGAAATTTTCCACTATTCCTGTCAATTCTCTAATTTTTTTAAAAATTTTTATTTAGTGTTAACCAGTAAAATCATCTTTGTATTTTGTAAGTTTGCACTAGTTTTTTTTTTTTTTGGTACCAAAAAGCACTGTCATTACAAAAAAATTTAAATTTATTTTAATAAATTTCATAATTAAACTTAAGACATAAACTGTCATGTAAATAAACTTTATTTAATATGCACTCTAATTAAGCTGTTTATTCAAACGCCCCATAAATCTTCAGGAAAATGTTGTGAAAGTAAATTAGTGTAATGCAACATGCACCGTTAAAGTCTGTAGAACTGCAGATAACTGTGAAAGTAAATTAGTGTAAGAAACGGAAACATAAAATAATGTACATGCCAACGGTAGCGAATACGTGTTATTGAATTAGTTTCCCATTATTTCAACCACTAACAAAGAGTTGATGAAAAATAAAAACTCCTAACAAAGATGTTTACACCACCGTGAGTTTCATCTGACAGATTTCATGCAACGCTAAACTTATATTTCATTGAATAGAAACCAACGATCAAGGTAAAACATAGTATTTGATATACAGGATTTTGGTTGCCTTGCTGAAATAACAAAATGTAATTCTGTACAGCTTGTTCAACTTTCTATTCTATTGTATTTCTACAACGAGTATAGATAGATGGTATTATGTTGAAAGAAAATAAATAATATCAAGACATTCTGTACATTTTTTATGAGCAATATTATGCCAATATGTTGAGAATTCAGTGAATAGGACATCCTGGAGCAGTTACACCTGGAGCTGTGGGGCATCTAGCCAAAGGGCAGTGATCATCAGCTTCTAGACCCCACCATGCTGGACCAGGAATATTATAATTTTGGAGTGCAAAATAGAGCAACACACCCATGAAAGCAACCCCAGCATCTAAAGCAGCTGAAAGAATGTATGTATGTCTAGCCCACCATGCCTTGAACCTACTATAAACGTAGAAGTTGAAGAAGATTCCAACAACCCCCCAAGTTATATAGTTCACGGATCTTGCTGGTGGGATACCATTAGCACCTGCAATGATGAGGGGCATGTTGATGAGTTCAATCCACTGGTGGTTGGGGAATTTGCGAGCAAGTAGCCACACTGGAACAGGAGCAAGTAGACCGATGAGGAAAAACCAATTCATCCCAGGATAAATGCCATCCTTTGTAAACATTCTCTTTGGCCCTACTACTCCCCATATGATTGAAGCATTGTAGAACACATCATCACCAGGGCATGTCCATGGACTACCATTTGGCAATGCTGATTCATCACAGATGTTTGGAATAGTTGAGAGAAGCCACCATGCTGTGCCAAAGTACACCCCTGAAGCAACTATTGTCCCTACCAACTAAGACAAAAGAAATGGCTTAAGGTTCGATACGTTGCATTAAAAAGTTTTATGTATTTTTTCAAGGCATGTTTTCACATCATACCTGCACAATGAACATAGATTTTGGAGGAATTTTCATGTAGTGGCCTAATTTGAAGTCACCAAGGAACCCAAGTGCCTGTGACATGCTGATGTACCCGTAAGTCTTGAAGGCTACATTGGCAAGGGGCCTTCCTGGGTAGAGGTACCCAATTATCAATTCTGTAATCACATTGAGTCCGGTTTGCTGCAAAACAAGTTACTGTATGTTGAGAAAGAGACAAACTTTGAAGCAATGACAAGTTGTTTAAGATGTTGAAAGAGGTCCAAGGCACCGCATGTATAACTATTTCTATTTGAACAACGGACTTTACCATATTTGTTGTTGCTTGAATGACCCCAACTGGCAAAGTGAAAACTAATGCAATTGCTAGAGAAAATATGACTCCCCACCACGGCAATTGGAGTTGCTTGCCAAAGCCTTCGCAAGTTATCAAGGCTACAACAACCATTAGAACTAAAATGCTGACAAACCACCATTCAGGTACTTGTTCATAGTTTCTCTTCATAATTCTGGTGTGCACATCACCAAGTTCTCCTTTTAGTGCACTTGTTGTCTTCGTCCACATACGATAAATCGTTCTTTCAAATAGACAATCGACAGAACAATTAGATGGTTTATTATACAAAATGGAATATATATAAACAATTAGTGATATTGTTCTCCAATCAAAATTGACCAGTGTGTCATATTTCATCTCGGTAACTAGTGTTATATTTTGAGAACAGAACTGTTCGAACCTATAGCACTGTATCTAAGTTTTATCGTATACATATAGAATTACAAATCAGGGAAACTTACTTTCCATGGAAGAGGGCAACATGTGAAATAGTGGCGGTCAGAGTTGCAAAGCTCAATCCATAGTCAAATGCAAATGTGATACTAAGATAGAGCTTGCTGTAATTGTTATAATTATCTATGTCAATATCAAAAGTCTTAGCATTCAGAATCCGACTGACATTATATGTTGCACCAGTGGAATCAAAGGTGTGAGAACTAATAAGGGGGAACTTTTTGGCATCATATAAGTTATTCCAATAGGCAATCGGAATCAGAACATAAATAAACAACACAAATCCAACCAGCATGTTGAGGATGGCAAAGCCAGGAACAGCCAAAGGACTGCCCAAAAAGCCAGCAACTGTGTTCCAATCAAGGCCAAATGAGCCAATGCCAAGGCCTCTCATGCCTGAACCAATCTGTTGAGCAAGGACAGAATCTTTCCAGATATAGCAAACAAAGGATATTGTTGATATTGCCTGGAAGAAGTAGCCTGGAATTACATAATAAGCAAAACTTGATACAAAGACCAGGAAAAAGAATTGCAGCCTAGTATTGCCTCCTTTAGGCCTTTTCTCCTTTTCATGAAACGCCCTGCCATTCAACAATTATCTGTCATTCACATATTGAATGCTATAAATCCAAAATATATGACAGTCAATTACTCTTCCTTTGAAAGCAATTTTCTTGATTCGTTTAAAAATATTAACAAAATTATTTCTCAAACAGGCAACAAAATATCTCAAAATTAAATGGGTGATTAGCTTTTTAATACCTTTCATCAATGAAAAAAAAACAAAAATTTGCAATAACCACCAATGAAATACCTGAATAGAGACACCTGGACGAGATTTGAAGGCCACCACATGTAAGGGGAGTCAACAAGGAATTTTCTGAAAATCCCAGCCCATCCATAACCAAGCATCTAAAAATTCAAGGACGCGGTTTAGCACTTAACCAAATTTCAAAATGAATATTCTTTTGATTAACCATCTTATTATTTAAAAAAATTACATAAATAGCCAAATTAACATTTATTCACCTGGGTTGAGAGGGCCAACAAAAAAGCCGCCAGTGGATGGATGCTCCTGTGGTAGAAAGCCTTAACAATTGTGATAATGTTAATGGCATAAACACCACTAGATCCAGCACTAGCAAAGATGGTGATAAGTGCATGTTCTTTCAAACTGAAAGGACCAGGGTTCAAAGAAAAAGACCATTTTGTAAAAGGGAGTGGAATTGGCTTGGTGGGAAGTGTTGCAGCCATCATTTTCCCAAGTGGGAGAGAGAGAATCTGAGCTGACACAGAAGAAATGAATAAAGGGTTGGTTCTGTAACCAAAGAATTGGTTCACAAATGACAGGATAATGCATGATGCCAACCCCAAAGTCCATGTCCTAAATGTCAGTGCTGGCTGTGTTGGGTCATCGGTTATTGGAACTGTAAGCCTCACTTGCTCAATAGGAGAATCATCCACCTCTTCATCATCTGTTTAACATATAGTAATATTTATTATGCCACAACAAAAAATGTTATAACATAAAAGTTTAATGAAAGTTAGCTAACCACGAGAATGTCACTAACTGATTAAGAACAAAACATTAGTATATGTCAAAAGAATGTTGTTACCAGCTATGACAACTTTGGATTGGTGATGATTTTCGACAACCCCAGCCATTGCAGCGGGATAACGTTGAACTGTGTTGTTGTCCCTCTCTCTCTCTCTCTCTCTCTCTCTCTCTCTCTCTCTCTCAGTTCTCACACCAAAATGCATTGCTTGTCGGTAACATTTTATAGGGAAGTGTGCAAATGCCTGGCGTTACAATGTGAAGCCCATCTGTCCCGTTTTGCGGTGTTGATTCATTTTCTGATGCAAAAATTATGAGTATCTATTACAAAATTTGGGCTAAGCGAAGAAAAATGCTGCATTTAAGGATGAATCTTTATATTTTGGCAAAAGCTGTTTCGTGATTCTGTCATAATTTATTTGCTTCGCTGTAACGCCTATATTTTGTTATTGACTCTTTTTAGTGCTTTTCCCTCCTCTTTAAGAGACATTACTGCTCACATTTCATTTCAAATTAACTGGTTCTCCAAAATAATAATAAAAAAAATTATATCAATTTAACATTGCACGAAATTAAAGTTTTGATTTTTTTACTGTATGCTTAAAGTACACGAAATAAAAAAAATACTGAAAATAAATATATCTTTTATTTCAAAATCATAAAAATTATTTAAAACAGAGTTTTGATGATAATTTAAATTATCTAATGAGGTGCATTTACTATTTCTTAATATGTGTCCCTTCACGATGTTAGAAATTCTGAGAGTTTATATAAAGTAAATTTTTATTAAAATTTATAAAATTCAATGTATTAATATTATTAGATATTATAGTATTTAATGAAATTGTATTATTTATTAATTTTTTATTATCAATACAATTGTGCAAGTTAAGAAAATTGATAAATAAATAGTAAACTTAGATTGAAAATTGCAAATTTCAGTTTCGTCAATTCTTTAAATTATGTAATATATTGTAATTTTTAATAAATATTATTATGCATAAATAAATAAATTACACTGGTGATATCCAAATAAAAACTAAACACGCGTAATAAACTAATATGTTGAGTTTAGTAGAAGAAGCCAACATTGGCAGAAAATCGAATCACAATTTGAATTTTTATTTAATATTAATATTTCATGTTTCTTGTATTTAATATTTAATTTAACGTTTATTTTAAAAATAAATTTTAAAAACATTTTTCATCAATTTAAATTTTAAATCTTAATATACTATATTCAATTAAAAATTCTTTAAAATACGTTCAATTTTAAAATTATTATAACTTTAAGAATCTTAATCTAAATTAAATTTTTAAATTAGAAAATTGATTCCCTTTTTCTTAAGGGGTAAACTAGTGATTGTAAAGTTAAAATTATTTTTTTGGAGCCCTTTTGCTACCTTTAAGAGACATTACAAAGGCAGTATTTAAGTAGCACGAATGATACATGTTGAGTTTAGTAAAATGGACCAACATTCGCATAAATGTGAATAACAGTTTATATTTTATTCGATCTAATTTTAAATAGGATTAAAAAAAAACCTAAATTATTAATTTTAAATAAAAAATTTATTAGGATTAATTCTCATCTTTGTTAGGTTACTAAATTTTTCTTATATTATATATTTTATTATTTTTAAATATTATCTCTTAATTTTAATTTGACTTGAATTTAAAATATTGATATACTATACAAAATTGACATTTTTTTTTGTCATTATATATTTTTTAGATAACTTAAAATATATGTTACTATAATCTCAATTTACATATTAACTTGGTCTTTAAGTTGATATTAACTATTTAAAATATATAATATTTTATTAAAAGTAAAGTATTTATTTCATTCTTCAAATAGAAATAATCAGTATAATAACCAATGTTAACAAAATCAAATTGTAAGAATCTAATCTCTTCAATTTAATGCTCTCCAATTTCTTTCCTTTTTATACATATTTTTACTTATAATCAATGTTATAAATGGATTCTTAATAAATTTGTAGAAAAATAAAATTGATATATTTTAATTTACATGTTTAATAAATTTGTGTCTTATTGAAAAAGGAAAATATCTTTTTTGAAATTAATTAATATATTATTATATATTCTTATAAAATGTTTTTCTGTAGTTTAAATATTAAATACTGTATATAGATATTAAATTAGTTATTTATTTTATTCAATGTAAAGTAGAATATTAAAAAATAGTAATACATAAATACACAGGAATTTTTATAATTTTGTTATTCAATTACCGAAGGAATCATCAAGCAGTCAATTAAAGAGTTAAAAAAAAAGAATAAAGGAAAATATGGTTATACTAAAGATTCATTGGAAATATAATTTTTATTTTTTCATTTTATGTACACGAAAAATATTCTTTGGATGAAACTTATAACCATTGAATGAATGATAATTATATTATACATATAAACATGTGATTATAAACTGGTTATCCAAAAATGATAATTTTTTTTATAAAATCAAATTTTAACTTTATATTTACTTATTTAATAGATTGTTAACTATTGAAATATTAATATTCTTATAGATATGAAGAAGGTGGAAGATGATTTGAACAATATTAAAATATCTCTTTTGGGATGTGCCGTATTTGTCGCATTCAAATATAAATGGGTTTTAAAATACTAATCAATTAAACATTTTAAATAATATTTTATGCTATAAATTTAATCACTAATTTATGATAATAAATTAAAAACAAATTACTTTAGCATATTATACTAACAAATTTATTCAATACAATTTTTATAATTATTAATAAACCAATAAATTTCAATTTTGTAATTGGATCATGACCATTGCTACTCTGAACCTTTAAAAATTCAATCCTTGGGAATCTCACACAACTTGATAGTTAACAAAAAGAAGACAAATATAAAATTCTAAAAAAATAGAATTAAAAATTATAGATGCTAGAAATCTTATCTTTCCCATATTTTCCAACTTTGAGTTAAAAATTCAAAGGCATTATTAAAAGATGAACAATGAAGTGCAAACCGTGCAATTGTCACACAAAAATGATTGCTTTGCCTTTTTAATATGAACGCTTCGTTTAGTCAATTTCCTTATTACTAACCAAAAATATCGTCAACATTTTCCGTACTACTTATAACTGAAATTAAGCATTAGTCTTAAGAACATTAAATTATATTTAAATGTATATTTGTACAATCTTTTCTACAATAAAGAGAATAAAAATTAAACAAATTTAAATTATTTTCGATTAAAAGTAAAAACTATATCAAAATTAAAGGATCATGTATATACACTAGAAAATATAAAAAAAATGGTGGTGGATACATTAATTGTTAATTTAATGAGTTATATTATAATGTAATAACCTAACCAAACCATGCATGTGGGTGTCACGTGCAGTGTGTGATTTCTCATTTATCACAATCAGACGTTACATTTGAAAACATATTAATGTTCACATGTTTTGTCAGTTTTCTAAACATGTTGAGAGCATCCTATGAGTTCAACCTTTTAAAGAACAAAATTTCACTTTCTTACACATAATCACACTGTTGCAAATGCATTAAGTTATTGAATTACAATTCAAATTCTGATTTGTCCAGTTAATTTTCGCAAACTCGTAATGTGTTAAATCAAAGTTCCCTAATCACAGTTTAAATTCTCACTCGTCAAGTTAAATTTTGAATTATGAATTGATGTGTATTGAATTATAAAAATTTTATATTTTTTTAATATATTTTATAAGAAATAATTAAATGCAATGTGAAATGTTGATTTTTTGCAAAATACATATTAGTGAAATCAAATTCATGCATCGTAAAATTTAAAGTCATTTACGAATTATCACATGACAAGTCAAACCATATCGAGTCATGTTATTCAAATCATGGATTAAACTATGATTAATATATTTAAATGTATATGTTAAGATATGAAAATCGACATTAAAATTGTTATTCAAATGAATATAAGTTTAAGGAATAGTGTTTCTTCTGAAATGCAAATATCGTAGTGATTGTGATTTTTAAAGAATTATGACAATTGGGCCCAACTAAATAAAAAGGCGTAAATGGATCAGTCATAGGTTTGAATGGGCCACTTCCACTTTCATCGGAAAAGTAGAAAGATTTCGTGTGTGTTGGGCCTAGTTGCTTTAGTATCACAAAATAGGTGAACCCTGTTAACTATAAACACAATTTATTCTCATTTTTTTACTTCGAAATTAATATTTATTTTGTATATTATTTTGGTATTCAAATTTTAAATAATAATAAAAAGTGTGTTGTTAAAATTTTTTTTAATATCAAATTTATTTACTTTTAATTTATACGAAATTATGAATAATTTTTTTATAAAAATTAATAAAATCATTTGAACAAATTGAAAATAATTTATATGAATAATTAAATAATAAAATTAAAAAAAATATAATATAAAATAACATTTACTTATAAGAAATTTATCTATTTTATTATTTAATTTGTTATTTCTATAAATATTTATTAAGAATTTTATTAAAATTAAACCTTAATCATTTATTAAGTGAATGAGATTACAATTTTTATAAAAACTTATTTTGATAAAAAGCTAGATTTCGTGTCTTTTATTTTTAAACTTAAAATTCTTTATTATTATACTATATTAAAATTTAAATGCAAATCCGACTCAAGAATATAAAAGACCTAATTACATAAAAAGTTTTAATAATTTAGACACATAATTTAAGCTTTTATTATCTGAGAACAGAATATGTTTGCTACGTGATTCTCTTTGTCAAATTAAAAAAAGTTAAAACAAAATTTTACATATGATTTGTTGGTTTTTAAAATTTAGTTTTTAAAGAGAGATTAGAATGGAATTTATTTGGAGGTAAAAATAAAAAAGAAGTGAAGGTGTAGTGAAGGGTGAGGGAGAAAGGCATCATCATAAACATAAATTGGTGACATGTAATATGTAACAGAGTTGTGGAATTGTTGGAGCTGATGGAAGTGATGATCTGTAACCATTTCCTATATTCACCACTCTCTCTCTTATCTTCTTCTTCTTCTTCTTTTTCTACACCTTTCTCTACTTCCTCTTTAAGCCTTAAATTCTCTGCTTCATCTGTGTCTTGCTCTCTCATGGAAGATACACACAACAACCATGGCCGCACCAAATTCTTGGAGTTTCCCTTTGTTTCAGGGGCCCACAAGAACCTCATGGTTGATCTTGTTTCAACACTTGAGAACCGCTTTAACTCTCAGCTCCTTCCTTGCTCACTTCCCCCTCATATTCAGCATTACCAAAGCCAGAGTGGTTCTGCACAAGCTTCCCTGCATATTAGAGCAGGCCACACTAACTCCCCGGTAATTTCCCTTCTGCTTTCTGCTCTCAAAATCATTAATTTCAATTCTAAATTTTCAATTTCTCCCTAGTCTCTTCTAGCTCCCAAATTATTCATGTTCTCTTGTCAATTTCTTGTCTCTCTTTTTTGTTGATTTTTTGTCCTTTGCATGTATATTTTTTTCTATTTGACTTATTTTTGAGTGGCTGATGGCTTTTTGAAATTTTATTTTGTTAAATTTTTGTCCTTTGTATTTGTATAATAATGGGCTGGGAATTAGGTACTCAATCTACAATGTCGGATTAGATACTGGAGCAAATGAGCATGGTTGGATTTTTGTCCTTTTCTGTGCTTGAATATGAATGGCACTGTCAGCTTAGTTAATGGGTGCCAACTTCTAGGCTATCTAAGATGGCTGAATTTGTTCTTTGATTAGTTGCAGCCTAAGTGTTGATTGACAATAATGATGTACTACTTATCTTTCTTAAATAGAGAAGATCAGTATTTTGAGGGCATCTTCAACTTCAGTGTTGGATATGGCTAATGCTAAGGTCCTAGCATCTAATTGTTGACCTTGTGTTATTATTTCTACATTTATTAACTTATTCTATCTGCATATGGCTAATGCTAAAGTCCTAGCATCTAATTTTCTCCACCCTTCCAACGATTTTATCTGTACGGAAGAAAAATAATTACATTTATATCCTTTGTTCTGAATTTGATCCTTGTTTGTCTTTGTCTCAGATAGATTTTGTATTGGGAAGCTGGGTGCATTCTGATCTACCAACAGGAGGGTCCTTAGATATAACAAGTCTCTCAGGCTATCTGAACACTTCAACTGATTCACCAAATTTTGTGTTTGAAATGATTCGAAGTAGTCCAACCATGCTAGTTCTCATTCTTGATTTGCCACCCCGAAAAGACCTTGTACTTTGGCCTGATGACCTCAAAACTTTCTATGAAGAAACTCAATTGGATACGCATAGGCAAGCTCTGGAGAGAGTTCCAGAGATTCAACCTTACTTCTCTTCTTCCCTTTACATCCGCACTGTTGCCTCCCCTACAGCCATAATGGTTCGAATTCAGACTGAAAACGGCGGAGGGGAACGCATGGAGGAGATCATCAGGAACCACTTGAACCACATTTCAAAGCAAGTGTTGGGGATCTGGTTGGATCATTGTGCTTGTGCCAAGAGAGAAGTAGGAGAGGCAGAAAGAGCTTATCTTAAAAAAAGGGATGGTCTCATTAGAAACAAGACTATCGAGATTGATCTAGGATCAAGCTTTCCAAGGTTGTTTGGTCCAGAAGTAGCAAACAAGGTGCTGGAAGCCATCAAGGAGTATTTCACTGTCTGAGATCAGATGCAAATTTATTTAAAATTGTTGGATATTCTCTATGTTACATCTATGTACCTAATTTCCCTGTAGTCTAGTGAGGCTGGGTTTTCTCTGAATCTCTAGTCAAATATCACGTCTGTAAATCATAGTTTGTCCTCATTATTGGCTGTGCATCAGCACTATGCTTATATATGTAGTTACTAGGGATGTGACTCAGAAATCTGGACCTAATTAATGCAGACATTTTCCCGTTTCTTAGTTGACATAATTTCTGAAAAAAATCTTAAATGTGTTGCTTAGATCATGCTATAAGAGCTAGTGCCAAGTTAAATTTTCATAAATTCACCCGATTAATCATAAAAGAAAAGTTTATTTGTCAAATCTTAATAAATATTATTAAGCTTATTCAAGAATTGCTATGCAGTATCCATTAAAAAACTTTAAATTAAAGATTATTATTAGTAAAGAATCAGCTTAGTGAATTCAGGCATCATAGTTTTGAGGAACCGAAAGCAATAAAGAACCATCAATATTTTATCTGCCGATCCGTATCAGATACTGTGAAGTGTATACGGTGGCGAATATTATAAATTTTTTAATATCCTTCACGCACTCATCAAAATTATACAATTTCCATGCACGTACGAACAGATATTTTCAGCACATGATTCTATTCCTTATACCTTAATCTCTCTGAAGTTAAGCATTTCACCTTGTCCCCAACTTTTTTTACCATATATAAGTATTTATTAAAAGCCTTAAATAGTACTTAGGGATACAATAAATCCAAATCTCAAATTAATACGAAAACAGCATATGATATTCATTGTTGAGCTTTGATGTGTGACGTGTGTCTCAGTGACATATACACACACTACATAAATTATGTACATCACAGACAAAACAAAAAGCAAAGAGGAAAGAAAATGTTAGCACAAGGAAGAAACATGGGAAGCAGATTCACCCCATTTTTGGCCATGCTCCTATGCTTTGGAATCAACTTGGTGCAATGTGAATATTATTATTCTGAGGAAACCTCAAAGGTGGTCATGTACGTGGATTATGCCTTCACCTCAGATGAGTTCAATGGAAGCTCCATTTTCTCAACATCACACAACTAGTGATGGGATTATTGAGTATAACATAACAGTGTTTCGTTAGTAAATAATATAATATATCAAATGTTACTAAATAATGATAATAAAAAAAAAGTTACTAAATAAGACTTATTTTTTTCTCCCTTAACTTTCTGTTTTACTTTTCTTCCCTAATTCCATTTTGAATGGTCATGTATGACAATAGTAGATACAATGAAGCCATTAAAATTGAGCTCGTAGTGAGGGACATATATAGGATGCAAGAGGTAACGTGTTTAAACCTCATTATCAGTATTATGTAATCAATATATCAATAATAGATACAATAAGCCTTCCAATTAAGTGGAAGTATAAATATTCTAAACTTTACTATGAATTCCATGGTATAATTGTTGCGTGGTATGTCTTAACCATATTACTCATTCAAAATATTGGAACCATGATCCATTGAAATTCAGTCTCTTTATCTTCGATTTCTTTCTTTCTTTCGTTCGCATGAGTTATGTTCATTTATTGGATGCTTTTTCCGTTTTATCTGGGTAAATGTATAGTTTAATTAATTGACATGTGTTATAACAGACAAATGTACATTTTCTGGTGTTGTTCTTTTGGCTGTCACACCACATCTTTTCATTAAATATTTAAATGAGGTGAATCTCCTTTCTTAAACAAATTAACTAAACAACTGTGATTTATTACGGCATCGATCCTTAACATGGAAAAACATGTCATTTGGCATTATCTATAATTTTCTGACTTCTGCGATGCTCTTCTTTTCTTTCTTAATGTAATCCTCTATCAACCAGCATCTCTATTGTTGGCCACCGAAATCTTTAAGCAAAAGGAATAAGTTTATCTTTTATCTACTGAAAATCACGCACTAGATGTGTCTTCATAATTTAGGAAACGGGTATTTTGAAATTCATTTAATCCACATTCTTTTATAATTTTTAAAGATTCGGAAAACAATTGCCAATTGCATACTTAGAATATTAAAACTTTCATTTTTAAAGTGAAACTTCCTCATCTCCGTATATGTACAATATATGCTGCTGCAATTAACGTTTTATATTACTTGTTGCCCATATATTAAGCTATTAATTATATAAATGAGCTCCCAAAGTCCTAATACTACTTTATTTTCCTTTCTAATGATGACCACTGTTCAAAATTCGCAGGGAAGTTGCAACAAAGTCCAAAAAAGTTGCATGCAATGTGAAGTGGACAAAACAAAGCTAGATTCTCTACAAAAAGGGTACCCTCTACCTTTCTGTGTTCCACCCGCTATTGGTGAACTAGTATAATTTTTGTGGGCAATAGCTTAAGGAGTTGAAGGGATCATTGTTCAAAACTCATACGGATTTTATTGAAAATTTCTCAGCTTGTTAGTTTTCAATCTTGTGTTATCACAGAGATAACATGGGTATTAGTAATGAGGAGGCAATCAAGCAGTTGCAGTCCCTTATGGAAAACTGTGAGCATTCTTCTGTTCTTTTATGATCCCTATTGATTTGTTATTGACAAATCTCTTCAACTGCTTTCTTGCTAAACAACTTTCCCCTCTTTTGGTGCAGTGGATGAGCAACAGAAAAATACATTCCAGGTTAGGTTCTTCAGTCTTATAGTTTGCTTGATCTCAGGTGTTGAGAAGGATAATGACAAAAATAATAAGTAGAAGTCATAAGTTGATGATCAATAACATGGAACATGGTTATATTTGTATCTACTCATCTTGAATAAACAAAATCACCATAACTTTTATACGTATCACAAAATTTTAGTTGGTACATTTCAACTTCTAAACCCAAAAAGTATATTTTATGTAGTTTAGAATCAGAAGCTGACATAATGATTGCAGTAGATGTATCCCGGATTTTAGTGATCATGTAGGAATATAAAGCCTTGCTTGAAGCAAGTGAAAGTAGAAGGATCGGAAGCAGAGAGGTGAAAACTTTGCAATCTGACAAAACAAACATGTCCATATATATATGTTGCTTTCGTCCCTTTGTTATATAACTAACAAAGAGACTATAAATGATCAATTTTATCAGAACAGAATACTACGGAAATATTCCTTTGTGTTAATTTGATTTTTGATTAGTCATCATGAAGAGAAAATTTGTCCCGACAAAGACTTTCACTTCGGGCGTAGTTAAGAATCATTGAATAAACGAGAAGTTGTAGTGTGGTTCATGTATTTTGTCAGCATTTTTCTCTTATATTTAGTAAATCTCTAAATTTGGTCGTACTATATTAGCCTATCATTGCTACATAATGTGTTAACCAGTGAGAAAATTGTTTTAGTTCTTTGTGTTCTTTTTGCTACAATCATCATGAATATTTCCTCTTTTTGTGTTTCAGAACATGCACCAGGGTTATCCAACTGAAACACTAGTTCGGTTTCTCAAAGCAAGGGACGGGAATGTTGCCAAAGCGCATAAAATGGTTAGAATGTGAGCTGTAAAAGCTTCTTGTTGGAAAATTTCCCAAGTTGATTGCTTGTAGAACCATTCTTGATTCTTTATCTTTGGATGTACACACTTTGCTAACGGTTTAAACTATCACAGTTAATTGATTGCTTACAATGGAGGGTGGAAAATGAGATTGACAATGTCTTAGCGGTGAGTTCCTTTACTTTTCATATTAGCATTGAAATAATATTGATTTTGGAACAGCATATGCATTTTAAACTATCCTGATTCCTTCCTATTATGGATAAACAACTTACATAATTGAGGACTGTCACCTTCATCTGTTGTGTAGATGGATAATTTTTTTTAGTCCCATCAACCAAGATTTTTTTAAAATTTATTTTTTACCTCAAAATGTTATGTATTGAGATAAGGATGCACGGCATTGCCTAAAATATAGGAACCTTGTTATTGCTGATATGAGAGGTTTGGGTTAAGCCAGTAAAATGAAATTTAAATGGTCACTGGAGTTATTTGACATGCTTCCTTATTCTTATTCAAATCTATGCATCATTCTTTGAGCATCAAATAGATGTCTAGTATATTTCTTGATCATCGTGAATTCATATCATAAATGTTCTTCATTGTTGAAATTTTCTCCTTTTGTTTTTAAAGCAGAAGCCAATCCCCCCTGATTTGTACAGAGGTTTGCGAGATTCTCAACTCACAGGAATGTCTGGTGTTTCAAAGGAGGTATTCTATGGTTTGGATAGATCTAATAAAAGTTTTGATTTCAGGCATAAATTTATTTTGTATTCCTTCTTCCTCATGTTTCTTCCCTGCCTTTAGCCAGTATGAATGATGTTATTAACTACAAAGAGATGGAATGGCCTATTTATTTGACTGTATAAGCATTGCAGATGATCAATAAAGATATAATCTCTTACATACAAATCGAAGATGATCAAGAAGAGGTCATCTTTTACATATAACATACGTGATTGCTAATTTATTTTATTTTTGGTTGAATAATGGCAGGGTCTACCTGTCATTGCTGTTGGGGTTGGACTCAGCACATTACATGAAGAGTTTGTAAGGACCTCATCTCTAAGCCATCATAATCCAATCATTACAATTATATTCTAAATTGCCAAATTTTCGTTCAGGACAAATACTATATACAGTCACATATCCAAATGAATGAATATCGGGATCGGGTGATTTTGGTGAGTTCCTGGATTTTTTTCCTCATAAATTCTCTGATCCGCTGCTCGCTTATTTGGATTTTTCATTGTAGCCAACGGCTACCAAGACTCATGGACGATACATTGGCACCTGTGTAAAAGTCTTGGACATGACTGGTTTAAAACTATCAGCACTAAAACAATTGAGGGTATGCCTGCTACTTAGAAAATTCCATTATCTTTTAATATACTTTTATATTAGTCCCTATAATTGTTAGTATCAATCACATTAGTCTTGACATTTTTAAATCTTTATTTAGGGTATGTTTGTTTGTACTTTTAAAGAGTTAACATACCCTTAGTCTTCGATTTTGAAAAAAGTTATTCACTTTAGATATAGTTACACCTTATTTTTCAGTTGCGTTAAAGACTAAAATGATTGAATTCAGAGACTAAATGATAATTTAAAACACTACAGATTAAAGCGATCAATGTTTACAATCTTAGGAGCTATTTTGAATCATATGGGAGTTCCTTGATAGGGGATTTATCACAATTTTTTTACCCCCTCCACGCACTAGATGCTTTCCAAGTTGAGGAGTTGACACACTCTGTTTGTTCACCTTCAGCTTTTGACTTCTATATCTACAATTGACGACTTGAACTACCCAGAAAAAACAGACGCATATTATATCGTTAATGCTCCGTATGTATTCTCAGCATGTTGGAAGGTTTGTGTCTATGTTAATGTTTGAGGAGTTCGGACTTTTTACTTCATTATCATATGCATAATTCAAAATCATGATATTTATAGCTAAGCTCCTCTTAGCTATTACTTTAACAACAAATGACAGGTTGTAAAGCCTCTTTTGCAAGAAAGAACAAGAAGGAAGGTCCACGTGCTGAAAGGTTGTGGGATGGAGGAATTACTGAAGGTAGAATTAGCTTTACTTTCAACTATAACCTTGACCCCTCATATTATACACCCTATATATATGAGGTTGCCTCTTTGTTCTCTTGACTAAACTAAAGTCACATTAATAAAAGAGAAATTAAATTTATACAATCTTTTTGTACAATAAAGAGAGATAAGATAGTTAATGTAATAGAGGGAGATAGAGAGAAAAATTAATGTTATAGAAAACGTTGAATGAATAGTCTAATTCTTAATAAAATTAAGTGCAGCAGTTGGATTTTGCCCCTTAGATCAATGTGGTTTACTACCTCTCCATTATAGAGTCCCTGCATATCACGAAGCTTCCATATTTCCCCATCTTTTTTATACTTTTTGTTAATAATCTCTGTCATGGATACTTGAAACTTAGTACTGCCAAATTGAATTCATCCATTCTTACTAGACAGTGCTTTTTAAAATTGTGAACAGGTTATGGACTATGCATCCCTCCCGCATTTTTGCAGAAAGGAGGATTCCAGGTTACCCCAAGATTATGCAGCTGGAAATACTGAAAATTGTTTCTCCTTTGATCATGTCTTCCATCAACAACTCTATAATTATATCACACAGCAAGTTATATTATTGGAGTCCATATCACAAATTAGACGTGGTTCTTTCCATGTAGAGTTACCAGAGCCAGACCCAGATGATGCCAAAATAGCCAAGACTATAGAAACTGAGTTCCACAAACTGGAAATTCAGAATGGCCTAACTAACTGACTAATGATCTTGTAGCTCATGGTCATAAAACCCGGAGAATCCGGAATACACTCTTTCGATAGAGCCATGTTTAACTGTTGAGTATTACATAATCCATTTCAAGTAGGAGGGTCATAATTCTTGTTCTATATGTTAGTTATATTCAGTTATTGGATGTCATATCAAATGTTATCATCCTACTCATAATTCTTGTTCTTTATGTTGGTTATACAAGTTATTGAGTGTAATATCAAACATTTGCATCAAGTTGATGCTTTCACGAAAGAACTTCTAATCTAATTCTATAATTACCTCGGAATGATGAGCATAATACATTTGTTCGATGTTGGAATTAATACAATTCATACAAAATGCAGAAGTGCTCAGAACTGCGTCTGCCACACAGATCATGCATGGAACTAACATTCCATTCATCAGCTTACTAAAGCAGTTAGAAAAAACGTTTTTCCTCAAGTTGATGGGTTCTATAATATCCTGCAACAAAACTTAGTTTTACCAAAGATATTAATATTAGCCTAGGATGGTTAAGCCATCATGTAATGACCTACAACTCCATTTATCAGAAATATTCACGCACTCTCTTTCCCTTGAGACAACCAGGACCTAGAATTAGCCTGAACATCTTTACGCAACTTCATATTATATTAGGAAATTTATTTATCAATCACGTTTTAGGTGAAACTAGGGTTGCCAAGCAAGTTGCATTTAGGTCTAGGATTAACTAGCAAGATTGAGAAACACCAAAACTTTACATTTAATTGAGAAAGGTTACAAAATCCAATTCTACCTAAACAAACTGTTAGTATTTAATTTGAATATTCTGAGGCTAAGGTTTCTTATATGTACAAAATAAGCTAACTGGCCTCGGCCAATAATATTTTTCAAGTAGTAAAGAACACACATCCAGACTAAAGACTGAACTCCCACTCAATTCCCTGCATGTCCAGTAAGGACTGATCTAAAGAACTACACTAGCATCTGAAAACATGAGGCTAATATATGGATATAGTGAAGCTTAAGTTATCTGAACCGCTAAATCACACAGCCTCTTATCTCAATTGTTTGTAGCAGTTATAGGCAATGGCGACTGACACAGCAGCACATACAACAGCAAGAGCAGCATAAGTATCTTCTTGCTCCCAGCCGTCAAGCCATGTTGTCAGGGAATGAAACTTGCGTGAAGCCCCTTTGCCACTATTGATCCGAGAAATCAGAGTCTCGCTGCTCTTATTATCAGCTAAGAGCTTTGCCTCCGTCTCAACAATATCAGGGTCCTTTATCTTTAATACATGATTCTGAGAGAAGGAAGAGTTTCTATTCTCTTGGCAGCAGCTCACACCATTTGATTGGCAGCAGCTCGCTAAATTGTCTTGAGATCTAGACACTGCAGTGTTGCAGCAGCTAACAAAATTATCTTGAGATCTACACACTTCAGTGCTTGCTACTAAATTTTTTATGTCATCCAGAAGAAGCCTCTGTTCTTGCTTTTCAATCTGTTCATTTTCTGATAAACCCATCTGACCCCTGATGGCAATGTTCAAAAGAGTAACAAAGAACACAAGTCAGCATATGTTCCAGTGACCTATGATCTAAAGCTCTCATAACTCAGCAGCCTGCTACAAACTATTATCTTAACTATGTAAAGGATTTTAGTAGCCTAATTTCAGAAGAGAGGGAACCTATCACCTGAAGGATCATTGTTTCCCAGTACAAAGAATCTAGGGTTTCTGAACATTCTGAAGTGGAGAAAATAAAAGCATTGCAAGAGGAATTGACCATCATATATACTTCATTTTAGTAATGACTTAAATTTGTAGGATAAGTTCTTGGTGCGGAGAAAAAGCTTTATGAGAGGAACTTGTAAATGGAAAGTTTAAATGGTTAACATTCAACAATGGAACTGGCAGGTCACAGATGCCATTTAAAGCATATGGAGCAAAGCTGTCATACCGTCAGATCAAGAGTATGAACATGCCACTTGTTACCTGACCATAATCTCAATTTGAAAATATGGAAACCAAAGTTGAATTAAGGTATTATTCTGACTTTCAGAACAAAAGATAAAACCACACATTAAACAATTGACAGTACGAGATAGACCAATAGGGGAAAAGACCATTTTTGAAAAACAAAGCTATGTCTTATTATTTGCAGTAAAACTTCGGACAAAGAACACAGCCATCCTCAAGGAGTGGAAAAATTTTGATCAGTTGATTGTATTAAAACTAATTTCTGAGAAAGCTTAGAATATTGCCAATTGACTCTTCTTTTAATGTTGCATTTCCATTTTCTAGATATTTTGACTGGCAAATGACAATAACTCTTTCAAATATAATTAAAATTTCACCTTTCTTTGTCTACTCAGACTATGTAAAATCAACTTCTAAACCTACAGGCCTAGCACCTACACTCAAAATGCCAAGAGCCAGTGGGAGAGAGATCGCCCAGCTGTTGTCTTTTAGTGGATGTAACTTGAAGTGAAACACAACCATCTTTCCAAAATGATAAAGAAAATAAAGCATCACAGGAAAATAATTACCTCCATAATGAGTCTACAATCTCCCCTTTTATGATATGCTGTTGAAGCAACAACGGTACATCATCTGGGGTAACATATCCATACCTAGATAATCAACATAACAAACAACGGTATTTTGGTATTTCCAGCTTCAAAATAATAAATAAAAAACTTCAGTTAGCAGAAGAAATAGTAACAACCATTAGGTATTCTCCTTACCAGTGCCCAGTGACTTCTCCATTCATGTCAGATATAAATATAATGACATTTCCGGCATACTTATGTCCCCCAATGTGTGAGCACGGGCTAACAAATACTTTACCTTGAAGACAATGTAATTCAATCTCTTCCCTGAATCTACTAACCAAGACAGGTCCACAAACCCCGCACCTGCGATCCCGGGATCCATGTGAACACACAAAAACAAATGAACCTTTTAACGCCTCCGGGGTTCCGGGAAGCCATTCTCCATCCTTCACAAGAACTTCTTCAACAAATGTTTCAACATCAAAATGCGTTAATCTCCTGCAATTTCACTAAAACCAGTTGACAACAACGATCTAGAGGGAGAAAAATTAAAAAAAAATCAAAACTTGCAAAACAAAAACTTATACTAACCTATATCTGATCATGTCAGGAAAGATCAACACATCCCCATTAGATGTCTCAGTCCCATCATGCCCCTCACAAATCGTCAAGCGGTTCTACCAATGTCACAAGTACAACACATGATTACAAAGAAAACATTACAAGATGCAACATTTTCACAATAAGCACTCAACAAACACATAATAATTATGAAGTTAAAACCTCACTAACAAAAAAAGAGACACCAAAATTCACATCACAGAATAAAAAAGTGAAGGGCTTTTTAGCACCTCCTTCTTCATATGGGTCTTCCTTGCAACAACAGCAGCATAAAGCAACCTGGGCAAGCGATCAAACTCTGCAGCTTCGATGCGGGGTGGCCAAAAGCGAGGGTTTTTGTAGCAGAGGAAAACATGGCGTTCGTAGAACTCAACGGTGCCAACGAGGGGGCTCTGGCGGAAATCGGGGCGGGAGAATCCGAAGTCGGCATCGACGGAGGAGTCGCCGGCGGAGAGAAGGCCGTCGTTCTGGAAGCTTCCAGAAGCGCTTCTTGGGTCTGTGAGGTAGCTGTCAAGTTGGTCGGATACAGTGATGGGTGAAGAATGGGAAGAAGATGAAGGGATTGTGAATGTGAGGGCTTCTTCTCTCTCTCTGTTGCTGCCCATCATCGTCAAATCGATATAGCGCAAGTGAGTCTTTCTCTTTCTCTCTCTAACAGGACAGGGTTGTTCTTGTTGTGTGAGTGAGTGTCTCTGTTTTTTTGAGTTTGTGTGCTCTCTCATTCCTCCTCTTTCGAGGGGTTTGATGATGTTGGACGGGGCTGTGTTCATGTGTTGTCGGGACTAGCCCTTGTTGGTGGAATCGGGTCATCCATTGGGTCATGTTTGATGGATCTATTAATACTAATAGGAGCATGAGATTTTAGGCAAATCTTTGACCCAACAAAAATAAAAAATATTTTCGGCAAGTCAGATTCTCTAGAATTGGAAATTTGTAATTTCCTTTTTTAAATTAGTTTTCAAATACAGATAATAATAAATTTTTAATGGGAAATTATTTTTTATATATCTTAATAAAAATTTATTACCTATAAATTTTTATCATGTATTATATATATTTAAAATTTTTATTTATACACGTTAATGCTTAATTTTGTTAAGTTAATATCTTTCTTTAATGGGTAAGATTTCTTAAAGTTTTTAGAGAATCCCGATTTAAGGTATGTATAATTTCATTTATGGAACATTTACACTTTTCAGTAATTTGAAAAGAAAGTATTAAATAATTTGTATTTTAATTACATGATTTATTTAACATTTTTTTAACATATATTTAAGATATACAATACAATTTTATGCATGATAAGTTTTTTTTATTGAAAATTATACAGTAATGCCAAATTCAACGTATTATTGTCATTTTAATAAATATTGACTATTTACTAATTTCTTATTATATATCATTGAACACATATTAAAAAATATTTCTTTAAATACTTGTTATGTGTAATTTTCTTAATTAATGTATTGATAACAATGTTTTAGAATTTTGTAAGTTTTATCATGATTTAAACATTCATAAAAATCATTTACGTTTAAATTATTTTTAAATATTTCTTAAAGTATTTTCTTAATCTTTTCTTTATATCTAGGTATTATTAGATTTTTATAGGGCCATCTAATTACCAAATATATATATATATATATATATATATATATATATATTAGAATAATATCAATAAATATTTTATAGGATCCGTATTAAAGCGGATAGGAAACAAAAAATAAATAAATATCAAATAATATACTTCATGATTTTTAGTGCAATTTTATCATAATTTTTTAAAATCCTCTGTTAAACTAATATCCTAACAAGATCCTATTTTGCAATATAAAAAATAAATAATGCAACTACCTAAAAGATGAGATTGTTTATTGTTTGGCGTGATAACCAATAATCAGGATCCTTACATGACAACAGTGTTTGTACTGTCATCACAACATTCATAGAATTTATAATCAAAATCATTTTTGATAAATTTTTTTTTTGTCTTGCCCGTAGCTCTATTTAAAACTAGTAGATTATCCTTTACCTGATTCACTGATTGGTTCTCTTGATCCATGTCAAATTACATATATTTGTACACACACACATTGGTGCTTCAATGTGAAATATTTTAATTTTTTATAACATTTTTTTTATTTGTAAAACGTTTTATTGGAAAAACTGCTTGAAGCAGCATCTCTCTTTAGCATCAGTAACAGTTTATTTACTTTCTCTTTATCAAGAAGAGAAATTCTAACAATGCATTGTTTTTTTACATATATGTTTTTATTGTATCTATGTAAATCTCCCAAAATAAATTGATTCAACTCTCCATCAAACAACATAATTCACAGGAAATTTATCCACTAATAAACAATGCTAAAAAGAGTAATAAACAATGTTTTATTAGGCATTTGATGAAGCATCAAGTAACTAATTGGAAAGGAGAACGAATAGAATAAGACATATGGAATAATATATTATTTTCTTTTGAATAATTATCATTATTATAATGCTTGCCATAAAATAGTTCATCATACTACCAAGATATGAAATAGCAATGTACAATAATCTATTACTCAAGTTCCATTATAAAATAATTGTGACCAAACTACTAGCATTTCAAAATTATCTTCCCTCATACTATGTTGACAAATATCTGATCACATTGGCCTCAGCTTTTTGGCATACAAGTCAACATGTTTATCTCACATTCATAAGCTGCACAAAAGCAAGAGCAAATTTCATGCAGTATTCTCCCCAGGCAGGTAAGAAGGAGATGTTCCCTCAACCTGGTTCTTTTTCCTGTGGAAGATGCCACTAATACTAGGCAACAGAACTTTCTTTGAAACTGACACCTTCTCTTTTTCTAGCTTCCTCATCTCCACTTTTTTTGGAGGAGAGTTCTGCTTTTGAGTCCTATAGTGCTGAGGAGATAGTTCTGGTGTTTCAACCAATTTTCTAGCTGCAGCTTCTGCCGCCTTCTTCTGCTCTCGCTCACGCCATTTTCTAAGCTCACTCTCCACCGCCCTCTTGGCGGCTTCAGCCATCTCAGCTCTTTTTAAGGCCTCCTGTGTCTCTGTCTTTATATCCCCAATCTCCTTTTGAGTTTCCTCCAACCTTTTGAGAACATCACTTTCACTAGCCTTCACAGATTCAACCTGTGTTGTGGCTTCAGCCACTTTGATGTCTGCTGATTTATTAGACTTCTCAACCTTACGACTTAGGATTTCAAACTCCTCCCTTGAGATTGTAATTTTTGCACTAGCTTCAGAAGTTGATGAGTGAGCAGCGCTAGTCGTCTCAGATAAGATCCTGATCTGATCAAGAGCATTTGCCTCTGTTGCTTTTGCTGCTTCTGCTTCTTCCAATGCTACTTTAAGCTTTACTTCAGCATCTTCTAACACGAGTTTGGAGACTGCAGCTTCAGTCCTCAATTCTGTTGCCATGTTCTTCATATCTTCTGCTTCACGCCTTGCATTTTCAGTTTCAGATGACAACTGATTCAGTTGCAAGATCATTTCCCCTGACGCACCTCTAGCTTTATATTCTTCTGCCAAGTAGAATTCAAGCTCAGACTCATTTCTCTTGAGTTCTACCTGCAGATTCCTAACAATGGATTCAGTTTGGGATTCTTTCTCCTTCAATTCAGACTGTTCTCTTTTTACATTCTCTAGCTCCACTCTAAGAGATTCCACCAAGCTTCTAAGGGAGTTTTCCTGTTCTGTTACTTTCTGTAGTGATTCTTTAGCATCATCAAGCTCCAGGGTGACACTTCTCAAAGAGTCCAAATCTGATGTCTTTTTATTTTCTATTTGCTTTTGGAGAGTCGCAATTTCGTTCGTTGTCTCAGTCAGTTGCATTTCAAGATTTTTGGTAAGGTCTGGATTGAATTCCCTTTTTAAATCAAGCACCTTCTTTTTCGATTCTTCAAGGGTGGATTCATATGATTGTCTTAGAACATTTTGCTCAGCGAATATCTCTTCTTCATATTGATGTGCTTGAACAGATGCAACCTTCATATGCTCAATTGAGTCCTGTACAGCTAAAATTTCTTTGGAGAGTTCTGACGCTCTTTCGGTGTTTGCCTTCATTGCATCTTCAGCTTCTGCTGCTTGCTGGAGGGCAGAAACTCTTGCTTCCAAGGATGAATCATACCCTTGACGAATTTTCCTCAGTTCTTGCTTTGCAACATCTAGTTCTATAATGACAGATGCATACCTTTTAACGGCAGTTTCTAACTCTTCTTTCCAAGCACCATTTGTTCCATCAAGATTGCCACATTTTTCTTCATTAAGCTGCTTTGCTAGATTTTTTGAAGCTTCTGTTGCTTGAATTGCTGATTCTCTGGATTCACTCAGAACTTTAAGCTTTTGTGTCAGATCCTCAGCCTCTCTTTTAGACTTTTCAAGCTCCACCAGGACTTGAGCCTTGGTAGTTTCCGCATTCTTTAGCTGTTCCTTCAATTTTTTCAGCTCTTTCTGGGCTGAGTGAAGTTGTGTCTCCTTGGCCCAAACACTCTAATTAAATAACAAAGCTTGTAAGTTGTAATATCCAATATTAAAAAGGCAAGGTACATTCACAGTTAACATTGAAAAAATCAAACAATTTGAAGAGATTGTCCAACTAGTTCACCTTGAAGAGATTTTTTTTTCCCACTTTTTCAATAACTGATTATCTAATTTGAAGGCAATACTTTTACATAATGTCTTCAAAACTTGTCACAGAACCTATAAATCCACATGAACTCCAATCTAAACCATAGAAACAACTTTCACTAATGTGGTAAGTGGCAGCACGTCATTGATGAATATGATACATGTTAACAAGGACTTGTCCTCAGCTAAAAAGGCAAAGCACAATACTGGATTATGTTGAACAAATTGTCAAAGTTTGATAACCAAATTATAATATAAAAGAATTTGAACTAATAAGAACAAATGTTTCCATTTTTTTTTAATATTTCACCATCCGCCAAACTTTTTCCATCAGAACAAGTAGAATCACAAATTTAGATTCATAAATTCTATACCAATTCTAGAAATGAATTTTGCGCTAAATTTATTGCTCCATTGTACTTCATATATGCAACTTCAGGTATAGTTTTACAATTAGCCTATGAGATTTGTAATTTATAACACATTAAGAATACAAAACTAACGTTACCTCAGCAGAATAAGGTTTTGGCTTCTTAATGGAAGGTTTTTCGCCAGAGAAAGCGCCTTCACCAAATAGAGAAACAGCATCTTTAACAGATTGAAAAGGTAGACTGGTATCAATCTCTCCAACCTTTGGTTTTGTTGGATTAGGCGAGTTAGTAACACTTCGCTTGATTTTGGCTACCATAGTGCCTTTTATTTAAATATTTATAATATTAATGGCCTTCGAAGCCAACCTGCTAAAAACGCAACATGTTACAACTTACAATACCGAAACAAAAATAAAAATACATAAAACTCAAAAATACCACATATCAGAGATCTCTTTTCGAATCCACACAAAAGCAACCACCAAATAGCTTATTCAGACATTTTAACAAAAACCCACGAACAAAATCGCATCAAAGTTTCTATCTTTAGCTGAATCCCCAAGAAAAATCGTTAAAAATGTTCCAAAAAAAAAAAACTTTCAAGGCCTGCCACTTGAAGATTTTCAAGACAAAATAGAATTTCTGGCATTGAATTGCAGAGTGAAATCGCGGTGAAGAATCTTGATATACTTGAAGGAAGGGAAAGAGAGAGAGATGGGTATGTATGAACAGAAAATGTGAAGCGTGTGTGTGTTTGAAGACAAATTTTGCATTAACAAGTAAGGTGGACAGAGTGAAAAGAGAATAATCATGTGCAATCGTTTCTATTATCAAGATTCCACTCACTGAAGTGCTTCTAATTCAAGTACCTTATACGTTCTTTAATAAAATTACTTTTATGCACAAAGCATTATTATGGCTTTGTTTGAGAAACGTAACGTAAGATTCTGTCAGAAAAAGAGTTGTAGAAAAGATGGGTATGCCACGTTAGCATTGCCACTTCCCCCGTCCAAGAAAACACTTACCAGTCACAGTGTACAGTAGGAAAATTTTAATTAAAAAAGGAAGAAAAATAGAAGAATTTTTTTTAAAAAAAATGTAAAAGACGGTGATAATTGAATTAGAAAGATGGCAAAAAGACAAGCTCTTTTGTCCTTTTTCACAATGTTTCTCAAACTTTTGCCAGCAATTATTGGCGACGCTCATGCTTTGGTTCCCCTTAGATGGATCTCTCTAATTTTCATTATGTTAATTTTTAAGGTTTGTACCCATTTAATTGCTGATTCAGTGAGATTGGCATGGGATTCCATTTATATTTGATATATTTAAATGATGGACAACTTTCTTCACCTTAATCATTAGGGTGATTTTAAAATAATAAATTCTTATTACAAAATAAATTATATATTGAAATAAAAATATTAGCATATAATCTGAAATATATCATTTTATGACTTTATTGATATTTGATTTTTAAGTATTTAAAAGTAATATTTTTATTAAATTTGATATCAAGAACTAATTTCAACTTTTTTTATATTATAATAAACTTTGAATTACAAAAAGAAGCTACACTAGTGTTAAGATTTTCTTTCATGGGAGAATGATTTGTGGATATCTTGGGTCCAAAATCTCACAGAATAACATGGCGAGTGTATGTATAAGTCACTTTCTATTCTCTGGATGGTACTAATGGTGGGGTTTCGAAAAGTCAGCTTGACCTAGAAATGGATTGGAGTAGGCATTGGGCAGCTATAATGTATTTAAAGCTCTATTATTCGTGTTTTATTATAGTTAGTTTTCTACTACCACAGCTAAATCTCATTTATTGCTTTACATGTTATTTCCTAAATCTATTTACAATTTTAATTTAATTTAAATTTTGATATACTGTGTCAAATTAAAGAAAATTTTAAAAAAACTATAATTTTAAATTATTGTAATTCTAGTAAATCATAATTTTAATTTAATTTCAAAATTTTGAATTTTGTCATACGATTTTAATAAAGATTGTCTTGGTATATATATATGATTTATTTTCATAATTTTTTGCTTATTCTAAAAGTTTTTCTTTAATTTATATCTATTTATATAATAAAATATTTATTATAAATAATAAAAAATTAATTATATACTTTTTAAATTTTTTATATACAAATTTTATTTAAATTAAAAAAACGTTCTATGCAATGTAAGTGCAGATGATCACTATTTCAGTATGACCGCAGCGGTTATTTTTGTAAGTGCAGATGATCGTTATTCTTATCACCTTATGGAATTACAATGACAAATAAGAAGAAGCTTAAATAGAATATTTGACACTTAACTGGTTAAGTGTTGATTCAATAAGCGAAAGTTTATGTTAAAAATTGAATCCTAAAATTTATTAAAACAAGTTAAACACAATTATTTTAATAAGTTTTGAAAAATTTTAGTCATGACTAGTTATTTTTACAAATTCTTTCAAACATCTTCCAAGTTTATCTAAAACACCATAACAAAGTTCTGACCTTTTATACAGAGAAAAAGCTCTGGTATGGTATAGAGAAATAGAAAAAACAAATAAACAGAATCTCCCTCATTTGACACGAGAGAAGAAACGGAAGAAAGAAAAAAAGGTATGGTAACCATGATTTTTTGAAGTGAAACTGCAGAGAGAAAACTGAGCCATTGTTTACATTTTCCTTAGGGCCCACAATTCATTGATCAATGGAGCAATCAGTGAAGCTAAAGGGGAACCCTAAAGAGTGAGAGAGAAGAGAGGTAGCAAAAATAGACAGAGTGATATAAAAAGAAAAATGGAGGGTCTCTGCATGTAAAATTCTTCTATGTTTAACTTCAAGCTAAAATTCATCTATGTTAACCAGCAACAAGGCAATAAAAAGGGTTAGTATTCTATATCGCATTATAGGTATAGTAAAAACGTTGTATATGAATAACATGAAAATATATTGTATAAATATAAACTTATAGTTATATAATTTAAAAAAAATTCTTTTTTGACACCCTAAAATGACATGCGAAACAGGTGGAAAAGAAAAGAAGAAAAAGAAAAGAATGTCAAAAAGAGTGTATAATTTTAAGGTTAGTTTTTTTTTAGGTTACTGTTAAATCATGACAATCAATTACCATAGTGAGAGTGACACGTTAACCCATGCTCCAAGCTGTCAATACTGTCATCTATTTGTCAAGCATGAGGCCGCAAAATTGGTATTTGGCATGATCATAGCCAGCAATAGTGGCGATGATATGATGATAGCACTTGACTATCTTGCATGGCAGATAAATTGTGATACCGTGATAAAATATGCATGATCCTCATCATAAATCTCACCTAAATCAAGTACGCTGGGCAGGATAGGTTAATAGCTGCATGGCCATCATTATCACCATTTTTCTTAAATAAGGGTAAGATTGGAGAGTAAATAAGCGAGTTTGAAATCATGGTAAGTTGCAGATGAAAGTCACTTAATGCAAGCACGATTCAACAAATAAATAGCTACATATTACATTTCCAACTGGGCTAACGTTAAGCATCAATCTACAAGATAATATCATTTCCGGGTCTCCATACCCGTATAAGTTTGTCATAGAATGAACAAGTAGCCACTAGTGGTTTCGTTTTCTCACCTCTTTGATTTGCTTCTCCTTTCTGCCAGTCTGCTCCGTATGCAAGAGAATCATGTTTCTTGTAAGTTTCCACAATTTCAGCTTTGTCACCTTTAATGGCAACAATAGCAAAACCATTGTGCATACAGGCAGCCAAGACCAGGCCAGGAATGAAGGGGTGGTGCTTCACCCTCCAAACTCCTCCCCCTAACCTAATTGAAGTCTCATTAACGGGTTTTGAGATAGATCTTAAATCCCATACCCTCAAGAATTCATCATAGCTGCCGGTTAATAAAATATTTGGGTCATGAGGACTCTTTTCAATGCAACAAACGCCCATTTTGTGGACTTCAGAGGTCTGAAATACCATATTGGGAGGACTATCCCTTAGATCCCAACAACTGAACTTACAATCATCAGAGCCAGTATATACCAAATTTGGCTGGTGGATATCAAAGGAGGTTGTCCAAAGTTCAAAATCATGTGCCTTCCACTCTTCCTGTATTTCCAGCTTGGATTCAAGAAGAGATACAATAGATACTGAGCCATCAGAAAGCCCTACTGTGATGGATGTGGCTGAAGGGTTCCAATCCAAATAAAGGCACATAGAGTTACTAATCTTTTCACTTGTCATCTCTTTTAGATAAGCCCCTACCATAGAATCAATAACAAATCTGAATATAATGTGACTGAGCAAATTAAAGAATGAAAGTTAGATCTCTTTAGCAGAATACAAACTTGGAAAAAAAGATAATATTAATGTCATCAATGAATCCATCAATAATTGATCAACAACATATCCTATAGGTTGACAACTTTTGACATCGCCTTTACATGTAGACGAACCAAATCTTAATGCCAAAATTAAAAAGAATAGCCGCTAACAAAATTACAATGTATGTGGAATTGTTATGAGGTCAAACAATAGGCGTAAGAAGTATTGCAGTAATCATACCAGTATGCAAGGAATAAAACCTTCCATTTAAAAAGAAACAGTGATAAAACAGACCCAGGTTATAATCCTAGAAAAAGCCATAAAAGGGAGACACACATGATAGAAGGATGCCATAAATAAATATGGTAATATGGTTACAAATGTTATCAAGTTTGATATTTTCATTCAAAAAATAGTTTAATAGAAATGAATCAAGGACTAAATCCATACCTTCCACCCCATTACAACCACCCTCCAGCATTTTAATTCTCAAGTATCCATCAGCATCTGCTTGAGCCAAAGAAGGACTCGCATGCCCTCCACATGGATTCCACTTTATGTCAAAAATCCCAGAGGTTTTCTCACTATAAACCATGTCAAGGTGGCCCAAGTCCACATCAACATTGAAGAGAAAAATGCTCCCATGTCTACTAGGCTGGCCACCTTCTAGCAGTGTGTAAGTGGAAGCCGCTAAAACATTGTGACAGGAATCATGTGGACAAAATTCCACAGCATCAGCATTACCCTCTAAATAGCACTGTGCTATGTCCATGCCAACGAAACAACTGCACAACTAGTATAACCGCCGCAACTTAACCATTACACACATAAGTAAACCACGGACAGTGGAAAACTATTAGAAATCTGTGTTAAAAAAAAATAAAAATGAGAAAATGACATCAGTTTAAGCAGAAATATTTCAATAAATTATCGATTGCACATTATCACTCTTCTATACACTGAAACTCAAATCAACTTACGCTGAGACAGAACACGTGACAGATGAAAAAAGAACAAATTAATAGATTAAACAGGATGAAAGTTGCAGAAATTTTGAAAACACAAAACCAAAAGAGAATCGTAGATTTTTATGACAAAAATGAATGGTTGATTATATAAAGTTAGAGGATACGAGACACGTACAAATTCGTTGAAGAACCACGCTTTCTTCGAAGGCAACTTCAAAGTTTCTTTCCCCTTTCTACACTGAAACGTGTGAAGCTATGGAACACTTTTTGTTTTTTTGTCCACATATATTATAGGCAAGTAAAGAAAGGACCAAGTTAGGCCCAACAAGAGACCAAACGGGGCAATAAGCCCACTTCCAAATTGTATTAGTTTGACATACTGATTTAAACATACTTCTCGACAAAAAAAAATAAGTACTTATAATTTTATAAAATATAATAAATGAATCTTTTAATTTTAATTATATAAAAAATTTATTCATTTATTTTCATTTTAAATAGGTTATGTAGAAGTAGTATCGTGCTGAAGATAAAAATAAGGGAGTTAAAGAAGGGTTTTCTCTTATTAAACAATTTTAGAAGAAAAAGCAAAAAATAAAAATATAAATGATGAAAAGAAAATATTGCAAAAGGAATCCTTGTAAAAATTTATTTCAATATTCATTGGCCCAACAAGGTCACAAAGGTAACAATTATTAAAATTGAAAATATATGTAAAAAAAACTTTAAATATTAATATGGAGTCAAAGACATAATCAATAGCAACAACAATAATAATTTTATATATTTTCTTAATTTAAAAGATGTCATTTTATTAAGAAAGGATTGTAAAAGCACATATGATAAAATATATTAAAATTTCAAATTGATATATGAAAGATAATGTCAGATATATTTAATTTAGTCTCAAAAAGAAAAAATTAAAATTAAATTTTAAATGTGAAATTTATTATTTATTTTAATTTTTTGCTACAATTTATTAGCAAACTCTCACATATATAACAAAAGGTAACTAAAAAATATTTCATTATTGTCTCTCACATAACCTTTTTTATTTAGAATGTGCACAAAAATGAGAATTTTTCAGTTATTTTAGATCATAACATTCTTAGTTAACATGATTAAAAATACATTAACATGTTGTATTAAATTTAATGTAGCATGTATTTTTATAACAAATTTTAATAAAGATACTAAAATGAATAATAAATTATATTAACTTTTTAAATATCAAATAGAAGAACTTCTTATCTTTTGTGATAAAAATTTAATATTTTAGTGAATAAAAGAAGATGAGGATGGATGGAGGAGTCAACTACAACTAGTCATAACAAGCAACTTGTTTTATATCTCCATTCACCCACCAGCTTCAAAGCTTTATGCACTTTGCTTGCTAACTCAAGCCACGATAAAGAGAAATGACGATTAATTGTTTAATACTTATATAAGTTTTAATAAAAAAAACAATCAGTAGTTATTTATTTATTATTAAAATTATATATATGAAGAATGATTTTCTTACATTAGTGTAAGTTTAAAAACTCTTACACTTAATATAAATTTTTTATTTAATTTAAATCTAACTGTCAGTAATAAACTATAACTTTAAATTTAAATTAAATAAAAAGTTCAGATTGAGTATAAGAATTTTTAAATTTACACCAATTTAAAAAGATTATGCCACTTATTTACACAATTTTTTCATTCTTAAACGATATAAATGTATTTGAGCTTCCTTTTTCACCTGAAAGTGATTGAATATTCCCCATAATCCTACAAAATCTGAGAATATTTTGTCATTTTGTGAAAACTAAACAATAAGAGCCCTGCTTAGTGTACTAGCTAATAGGAACAATATTATCAAACAGAGAGAGAGAGAGAGAGAGAATGGGAGAAGAGGGTTTGTTTGAAGCAAAAGAAAGAAGGTTGGGTGGTGTTTACAAGGTGTTTGCAGGGACGATATTTGCAGCAATGAGTTTGATTTGGGTATACAGAGTGGTAAACATGGCGAGCATCACGGAGGGAAGATGGGCTTGGATTGCTCTTTTCTTTTCGGAGTTGGCTTTTGGATTCTATTGGATCACCACTCAGTCCACTCGTTGGAGGATTCTCTATCACACTCCTTTCAAACACACCCTCTTACGTAGGTTCGTTACTTTCTTCATTTGCATGCACACTACTGTCTAACTCGATCTTCATCTTCCCAACCTCCCCATCAATGGTTCCACAAGTAAATCACCTTCATAAATGAAGGATTTGCTTCACGCAGTTATATTTACAATTGCACAAATAAAAAGTAATAATAATCAAAGAAGAGATTTTGAAAACTTGTAAAAGTTGCTCTTATTTTTCTGTCTTAGAAACACTTATTTTGGAAACAATCTTCAAAACTTCAAGTGAAGACAGCGTAATCAAACAAGTTTTTTCGTTTTTGAAATAAAACAAACTTAATTTGCTAGTTTATTTCAATGGGAAGAAGCGATGCTGTTTTTTTTTTATTTAGTTTTTTTTAACATACACATTTAATTTCTATAATCAATATTCATTTATAAATTATTTTTATATTTAAAATTTTATATTTTAATTTTTATTTTGAATATCTTATTACATTTTTCTTTTTTCTTATCAGTTAAATTAAAAAGTAATTTTTTATTAAAAATATCATAACGATAGATGTTAAAAAATAACAAAAACTCATATAAAGATTAAATAAAATTTTTTAATATAAAAAATAATTCATAAATAAATATCAATTATAAAAATTAAACTTATATTGTAACTTTTGATTATTTTATTTTATTTTTCTTACAAAAATAACATATAAGTATGTGCAAGAGGACTCTTCCTTAATTCAAATCTCCCAAACATGAATATTTTTTTCTCTCTACTATTTTTCTATCCAAATAGTTGGCAGGACCATTCGTTTCTATGTTAATTCAACTTGATTTAGATTCAATGATATTGAGACATGACTAGATGTACTCGATTTACAAACTAAATGTATTAATTTTAACATTGAGTATAACTAAATCATAAAATTAATAAAGTATAAAATTAAAATTAAAGTGTATCTTAAAATCTTATTACTATCATAAAATTATTTTAAAAAATATATTTTAAATGAAAAAAATCAACTCAAGTTGAAACAACCCAAAATATACACAAACTTTTTCTTAATATATATATCACCCCTAAATGACATGCAAATTAAAATATATAATTTCTGTATATTTTGATTTAATATTTTAACAAAAATGCAAATTACCAATTAAGGTTAAGAACAAACGACTGTATTAGAAACATTCTAGGAAAAGAAATAAAAAATAAAAAATAATAATACATCAAATATAAAAAATAGTATAAAAATATTATTATTATAAAAATTATATTAAATTATTAATGACGGTGGTTTGGCGGACCATAGCCGGGTCAGACGATGACAGCTTTTGCCTATTTATTCGATGTGGGAACGTTGAGGCCAGTTTTTGCTTCGATCTTTTATGCCTCACAACATTTGTAGTGTAGTAAAAATTGTTAAACATCTTTTTGGATACACTGTGACTCCTAAAATGCCAAATGATGAGTTATAATGGTTTCAAAATAATTATATGAAGATATTGTTCTGCTACACTAACAAAAATAAAGCAAATAGAATAGAGAACAGTAACAATTAAGAGCCTCCAGCATAAATTTATGTACATTTAATTGTTATCGCTCACAGTTTATGTGTCACATTCATGTTTACAACTATTTCATAGTTTCAAAAATATACAAAATCTTTGATGGAGCCACGTTTGGCTAAGGAGTCCACACATTGAATTGGTTGGCTTCCTAAAGCACGTGTTTCATATGGATGTCGGCAAGTTAAGCTCCATATCTGTGAAATTTTGCAGCATCATGACTGAATGTGTGTTTGATAATACAGTCAAAAACCGTGAAACATGAATTATGAATAATAAGGTTAAAGTAAATATTCGTTTAAGGCCTCTTTAGAATCTGTTTGAAACAGCACTTCCTCTATTCAAGTAAAATTTTAATTGATAAATAGCACTAATAACACAAATTTTCTCCATCTTAAAACTTTCATTTACACTGATTTTTAACCTGTCTCCTTTATTATACATATATTATTAAAATAAAATTGTAATTATAATGAGTGGACAACATTAATCATAATCATAATTATATTTACAATACAGTTGAGAAGAAACATTTATTGAAAAAATAAACATTGAAAAAAAAGTAGAAAAAGATATTTGTTTCTTTAATTTTTCCAAACTGTCGCTATACATGATCTTCATTCCATGAGACACAGAAAAAACATAAACCTAACCAAACTGTGACCTTTAATTATATTTGATTTTCTGGTAAAAGTACTGAAACATTTAGGCATATTTTACAGATATGATGAAGAGAATTTACCTGCAGTGGACATTTTTGTATTCACAGCTGACCCATTACTGGAGCCTCCATTGATGGTTATTAACACAGTATTATCAGCAATGGCATACAATTATCCTTTGAATAAATTGAGTGTATATCTCTCTGATGATGGAGGATCGGAATTAACATTCTATGCTCTCTTTAAGGCCTCCATTTTCTCTAAACATTGGTTGCCATTCTGTAGAAAATTCAACATTGAACCCAGATCGCCCGAGGCATACTTTGCCTCCCAAAATTGCAGCAGTGATAATAATAGCACTGAATATGCCCATGCATGGCTCTCCCTCAAGGTAACAAGCATCATGCATTGTCTTATCCTAAACATTTCTATGTATAAAAAGTAATATTATTTTGTTTAAATTATTAATATGGGTAATAACATAAGTAATATTATCATAAAATTGCACAATTATATACTAGTGTGTGTATCAGTTTAAAGAACAGTTTAATTATTTATTCAAATTTTAAGTTATATCCTTTATACATTTATGTGATTATTTCAAAATTATATTTTCTATAATTTGCTTTTTAAAGTTAAAAACTAAAGATATATGTTTTATTTTTGTTTCTTAATTTATTTGGTTAATTCTCTAATCTCACTCTGTGATGGAAAATTTCTCCATATTCCATTACATGTACACCAGAAATTATACGAAGACATGAAAAGTGAGATAGAATCAGCAGTAGCAAAGGGGAAGGTTCCAGAGAATGTGAGGAATGAGCACAGAGGATTCTCACAATGGAACCCGAAAACAACAAAGCAGGATCATCAACCTATCGTGCAGGTATCAACATTTTTTAAAATTCACATTGAAATGAACCTACATTTTTGGTTTTTAACTTTGAATATAATGTTTGTTCTTCATATTATAGATGATAATCGATGGAAGGGACACAAATGCTGTAGATGAAGATGGAATTCAATTGCCAACAGTCGTATACGTGGCACGCGAGAAACGACCAAATTACCCTCACCACTTCAAAGCGGGAGCTGTGAATGCACTCGTGAGTGTAAAATATTTCATCTCACTTATACAAATTTTATATTATAATATCAAAATTTATTAGAAGGATGTATTATTGACATTTTTTAATCAACTGACTGATATTAATCATCAATGCATATTCTTATTATATTTTTAATTCGTATCACATACAAAAAAATTATATATTCTAAATTGTTTTAGAAATTATAAAATTTCATGTATTAATAATACTAAATTATATATTATAAATTTTAATAAAAAATTATTATTTATTTTTTATTATACATCTTTAAGAACCCAAAAACTAATATTTTTTTTGCTTATGATGCTAGGTGACCAAAAAGGATAAAAATAAATGAGAGATACATACTATACTAATTTTTAGTGATTTATATATACATATACATATATATATATTTAATGATTATGATTTTATACTTAGAAGAGCCAACCTATATTTGCCTAGTACTTTCATTTTTCTTTATGTCATATTACATCAAGTTTTGTTTTGCAGATAAGAGTATCATCAGAGATAAGCAACGCCCCTTTCATCCTCAAATTGGACTGTGATATGTACTCAAATAATGCAGATACAATTCGAGAAATACTATGTTTCTTCATGGATGAAAAAAAAGGTCATGATATAGCTTATGTGCAATTGCCACAGAGCTTTAATAACATCACAAAAAATGACCATTACGCAAACTCTTTTGTTGTGACCAATGAGGTGTGTAATAATCTAATGCAATTGCTTTAACCTACATATATAATCTACATATAGACATGAGGGTGAACTAACGCTAACACATGGTGTTGTGTTTGATTTGCTTATATGCATATAAAGTATGAGCTTGCTGGTATATCTGGTCATGGAGCAGCCTTGTATTGTGGAACTGGATGTTTACATCGGAGAGAAAGTCTATCAGGAACTTCTTTGAAAGATTACAAAGCAAAGAGGGTCATAAAGCCTAAAACAAAAGATAATAGAACAGTTGATGAATTGATTGAAGCATCTAAGGCTTTTGCCACTTGCAACTATGAGCAAGGCACTCAATGGGGGAAGGAGGTTTGTGTTTGTGTATAGCTTTTTACCTCAGAAATTTAGATAATTGGTAACATTAATAAATTTTGCAGATGGGATTAGTATATGGTATTCTTGTGGAAGATGTTGCTACTGGCCTCATAATCTCATGCAGGGGTTGGAAATCTATTTATTACAACCCAAAAAAGAAGGCTTTTGTGGGTGTGGCTCCAACAACCTTAGATGTGGCTTGTGTTCAACATAAGAGGTGGTCAGAAGGCATGTTCCAAATTTTCCTCTCCCAGTATTGCCCTTTCATGTATGGACATAGGAAGATAAACTTGATTGTACAAATGGATATTGTAATTTTCTCTTTTGGGCTCCAATGTCTCTGCCTACTCTGTGTTATGTCATTGTTTCTCCTATTTGCTTGCTTCATGGCATTCCTTTGTTCCCGCAGGTTGTCTATCTTATGGAGTTAATCTGCTATTATTCTTTAAAAGTTAATTTTCTTTCACTTATTCCCTCTACTTCATGTTTTTTTGCAGCTTTCAAGCCTATGGTTACTTCCTTTTGCATATGCATTTCTTGTTAACAATGCCTATAGCTTGTGTGAGTATTTGAGTTGTGGGTCTACTACAGCAATGGGTTGGTGGAACTTGCAAAGAATGAAGCTCATCCATAGGACCACCTCATACCTCTTTGGTTTCATTGATGTAGTGGCCAAACAATTAGGACTATCGCAGATAAACTTTGTTGTCACGAATAAAGTGGTTACTGAGGATATCCAGAAGAGATATGAGCAAGAGATAATTAATTTTGGAGGCTCTTCAATCATGTTAACCATATTAACAACAGTGGCAATGCTAAACCTTTTTGGTTTGATTGGAGGAATTAGGAGGATTTTGATGGATTTGGAATTCAACTTAAGCCAATTGATGATGCAGATTATACTGAGTTCATTGATAGTAATGATCAATTTACCAGTTTACAAGGCACTTTTCATCCGTAGTGACAAAGGTTGTATTTCATCATCAGTCATGTTCAAGTCCATTGTTTTAGTTTTATCGGTCTTTTATCTTGCACCTTTCGTCTACTAGTATTTTCCCCCTTACAGAGTCCAACATTGAATCTTGAAAGTGTGGTGGACTAGTGATAATAATCTCTAATAATTCCTATTTTGATTTTTATTGGCTTGATGCATTAAGTTTGTACACCAATTATTTTGATTGAAAAAAATTTCAAATTGATTCTTATTTAATAAAGAACTCTTCAGTTCAATTTTTTAAAATAAAATATTAAAATTAATTTCAAAATGCATGAATTATTATTATTATAATTTTTTAAGTTCTTCTATTAATTTTTTTAGATGTAGTTGTATTAATTAACTCTAATAAAAATAATTATGTAGCATATTAAATGTAATAAAACACTTAATTAATATATGTTAATGTAAATTGTTTTGCAACACTTTCTTCTTTTCAAAATATTTTATTAAAATACAATTAATTTTTCTTTATTAATGGTAAAGTAATAAAAATTGAACCCCATTATTTTTTTTAACAATATCTCTAATAATTAAAGTTATAAATGCATTAGGAATATTGGATGACACCATTTATAAGTAAATTATTATTATTGTTATTAACCTCAATTTAAGTACATATGCAATAAAAGATAATAGTTAATAATTAAATTAACTCTTTAAATGTGTAAAATATGAGTTATTAAAAATCATAAAAGATAGAATATAAGTATTTTATAATATATTTAAATTGACATAAAATATATTCAAATAAAAATTTATTTCGACATTGTAAATTGTAATTTTTATATTAAAATATTTGTTAACTTTATTTTATAGATTTTCAAACACCTATTGAATAATATTTAAAAAAAGACAACCATAATAAGACTTTATTTGCATAAATAATTTAATACTGATACCAGATTAGTAATTTCTATATAAAACTACGCTAAATTTATCTAAAAGTCGAAGGAAGCACTACGTTTTAAAATAACTGATATACATATACGATATTGTAATTCCTTGTCAAAAAATAATGAAATAAATTTTTGCAACTACTTAGTGTATATATGTGTTATAATATAATTTTAATTATTATTCAATAATTTTTTATTTTATTTATGAGAGAATTTAATATACATTCTATTGTTATTCGAAATTGAAAAATTGTAGAACAAAAATAAATTGAATATTTCAAAATATACTTCTTTAGAGAGAAAAAAAAAAAACCAATATCATTATCCAAACATAAGAGCCAAACGGCAACAACATTAGGAATCGAAAATCATAGAAAATAAACATGGCGCAGGTTCTGCACCTGGGTTTGCCTTTCATGGCAGAACCTCAGAAAATTTCTTCTTCTTCTTCCAAATCGTTGAAGCTTACCCATAGAACTCACAGTACCAACATATCCATTCCTACAAAGGGTAACAACAACAAACCATACTCTTTCATTTCCTACGACAATGCTACTTGTTTCTCGATGCTTCGTTCACAAAAAATTTTGAAACTTTCAGGTGGTGCCAACCGTTTGCACAAAACCCAGAAGCTGAATTTAGAGGTTTCTCCTCATAGAGCTGGTATGTTCTGCTGCTACGAGAATGTTCCGAAGATGCTGAATTTAGAGGTTTCTCCTCATTTGTTGGTTTGATTTTGTGTATGTTGTAGTGTCAGCTGTTAGATTGATGAGGATTGAGCTTGGTGGTGCTTTTGCTGATCTTCTCAACGAGAAAGGGAAAGGTTCTGGTGAAAACGAAATGGGATATGTTCAAAGAACTCTTGGCTTTCGCACTCGAGAATTAAATCATCACGATCTTAGATTGGTTTGTTATCACTTTCAATCCTGTTCTCTGCTGCACATGCAACACACCATGTTCTTTTATTTATTATTTATATACTGAAGGCCCGGTTAGAAGAGTTCATAGACAGTTTGTAGAAATAGCTTTTGACTCTCCTAAGCTTGTTTTTATAAGATTCTTGGTATAACTTATCACATTAAGTTGTTTTCAGCTTATTTCAATAACGTTCATGGTTAAATTTATGACAAAAAAAACTTAATAAGTGTTTAATTAAGCTGTATATTCAAACACACTCCTAAATGTTTTTTTTTTTTTTCATATTAAATAACTTAAGAATTGGATGCTTTGGGAAACAACTTTCTACTTTTATGAAAAGATGAAAGTGAGTTTCTGTTACCTTCTATGAACATGGTGTATGGCATTGGGTCACTTATCTTCATCTGGGGTTAAGCTCAACTGTCTCTGTATAGTGTTTGGTTTACAGTTATACTGGGGTGTTGATCCGTCCTTTCCCCAACTTTGTCTTGTTTGATTTTGACCGGACTCTGTATGGCGTACTATATCACTCCTAATTAGATTGATTATAAGTATTTTGATTTCTAAACTCCCTTTTATGTCACTCGGAATCCATGAACTAATTGGTTGATTATTTCCTTGTTTCATACTACAAATTACATAGGTTACAGACATTGTTGGGGGCACGATTCGTTGGAGAAGATATCTTGATCATCTCATCAGTTCGCTCTGTCATGATAAAGATATATCTAGCATGGAACCTCTTCTCTTACAGGTGACTTTGGGCTCTATACTTCTTAGGAGCATGTTTTCATGAGCCATCAACTAAGTCAATACTTCATGTACAGCACTAATAAAAGGAGAATAGAAGAAAAATTGACCTAATGTTCTAATTTTGTTGAACACTGCTCAGTAAAGATTTTGTAGGCAAACTTTTTGAAATAAAGACAACTGGTCTAATCATATATTCATTGGTCGTAGTCCATATATTCTATGGACATATTATTACTGATCTTAGTACATTGTTTGTTGCAGATTCTACGAATTGGCTTCTATGAGATTGTCAAATTAGATATGCCGCCTTATGCTGTTGTAGATGAGGTAGTTTTTTGGCCCATATACATGTATATAATCCTTGTTTCATAATTGAATAGATTGGATTGATGTTGCTTGAGGCTTGAGCATATATTGGAAAGAATCTAATTTCAATAATTGGATATGAATTAAATTTACAGTTGCAAAAGATTTTCATTTTTTTCATTTGATTTTTTTAAATGTTGTCTGCCATTAAAGATTATTTTTATGATTACTTGCAGATTATTGATTTGAAATTCAACTTATATTTCATTTTATGAAGATATATTTTAAAAATAAAACCTGATGTCATGTTATTGTTATTGTAAATTTGATTGATTAATTTTAAGATTTTGGTTCAATAAAATTTATACTATAGAACGTGTTATTGGTTATTCCTTTTTTGTGACTGATGAATAATGAGTGGGTTGAAAGTTTTAATTATTTTTCAGTGTCCAACCTTCTCTTCATTGTTTTGTCAATACGCTGTATGACATGCAGAACGTCAAGCTTGCTAAAGTTGCTCTCAGATCTGGTGCTGGAAACATGGTTAATGGAGTCCTTCGAAAGCTAGTTGTGCTTAAGGTTTTACATTTTGCAGATTACATATGTGTCAACTGTGTGAGTAGGGAACTGTGAAGAATTTATCAAATCCATTCATGTTTGGCTTGCAGGAGAATGAAACTCTTCCTTTCCCCAAAGTGGAGGGTGATGACCGTGCCCAAGCACGTGCTCTGGCAACTCTGTACTCACATCCAGTTGTGAGTGTCTGACTTCCATCATTTTTTTGGTACCACTTTAATTCTTATGGCAGATCAGGAATGAACACATTTATTTGTGCTCAGAATCAATGCAAGTATGGGTATGACATAATCATAAGATGTGCAGAATAGCTCGAAACAAGAATTTCAACAAAGAATACTTGAAAAACTTTATGCTTAATACTTGGGTTATACTCATTTTCTACCAATCTCTAGCATGCCTAGTGCTGGTGGTATTTTGTTAATATGTTGTGGTTGTTATCAAAGCATACTTGACAGGATAACTTTGAAAAACTGAAAATTTTTATTGAGGTGGAGGATTGTATTTCAGATACACTGCAATAAAATCTATATATCTCATATTGCCATATTGAATGGTGTTTTCTAGGTTGTTTATACTTCTTAGACATATCATTGGTCAACCATAAGTTTAAGTTTGTTGTACCTAAGATCAAACGCTTAGATATATATCCTAAATATCTGTCCCTGTTTTGAGCTCATAACAATTTTATTTTATTTTTATAAATCGCTGTATAATGGATAATTAAGTGTCCAGCCAGCCAGAAAAATATTATTTTATTCAAATTTCAAACTAACAATGTAAATGGTAATAGAAACTTTATGATTCACCGAACTTGATATTGTCAAAATAAGGAAAGCAAAATTTAATTGGAACATTTTCTTATTGCCTGTTTTGTAGTGGATGGTAAGGAGATGGACAAAGCATCTTGGCCAGGAAGAGGCCATTAAATTGATGATATGGAACAACAGTGAACCCAGTTTCAGCTTAAGGCTAGTAATGTTTCTTCCATTTTTCTGTGCTCCACACAAAGTAGCATGTAAAACAGACAAAAAAGAACTCAAGCTATATATTTGTACTAATTTCAGAGCAAACCGTGCAATAGGTTTTTCAAGAGATGACCTCGTCAAGCAGCTCAATGGATTGAAGGTGCTACCACTTTCATGATTCAATGTGGCATTGATTTCAGCTTATGATACTATTAATTTTTGTTGTATTATTTTAATGTTGCTTTGAAATTCAAAGATTCCTGCTTCCTGCAATTTCTTTTGAACGAATTCCTGCAATGTCGTTTTATTACTTTAATGTTATTTGTGCACATTAGAATTATATTTTACCTCTTGTTCTCTGTATTATCTTTGTCTACATAACTAACGGACATACGCCTCTTTTATTAAAATCAGGTCCCACACAAGCTTTCATTGCATTTGGATGAATTTGTTCGTCTCAAAACTGGGTTGCAGGTATGATAATGAGACATTGGGTTGATTATTAGGATGATTTCATATGTGAATTTCCTAACTAGAATAAGGAATTTCTAGAGTCAACTACTGGTTAAAAGAGAAAAGCTGTGTGGACTGAACTATACAATGTATATTTTCTACCTTGTGATAGTGTGAAATTGGGTTTTAGGTTGCTACTGACCTACTGCAGGTGCATCTTTTCCTTTTATTCACATGGGAGCCATTGAAGTAATGTGTGTCTTGCTGTTATTGTCAGTTAGCATGACTTTCTCATTTAAGTTGACTATTTGTAGTTTCATATTTCAGACTGTCATTCATGCTGGTCTGCTCAAAAAGGGTTTATGTTCAGTTCAGGATGAAAGTGCAGGTCAACTTGTCATCTTTTCTCATAGAAGGGATGCCTTATAAATCTGTAATATCTTGAGTTTCTTTTTCCTTCTTTTGCATTTTACTTGGAACTCTGGTCTCTGCTTAACATGATCCAGCAGGAATATTGCATTATTTATATGCATTCATGTTCATGTATTAGTAGGACCATAGTTTCTTTGTAAGATTCTCTTGCGCTTAATGGAATGTGAGTTGCCATGTATTGCACAATATATTAATTAAAATAAAAATTTCCAGTTGTCTTTATTTCCCTTTTTTAATTTGCCTAGTTACCAATGGCCCTTGCCTTTTGTGTATACTATGCTTTACAGGATATATTAATTAAAATAAAAATTTCAAGTTGTCTTTGTTTACCTTTTATAATTAAAATTTGCATGGTTATATTCTCATAAAATGTGTCACACATTCTTGATTGCAGGTCTGGTAGTTTCTGTTGTGGATCCCCAACCTGGTGAAACCATCATTGATTGTTGTGCTGCTCCTGGTGGAAAAACACTCTACATGGCCTCTCAACTAAGTGGCCAAGGTATTAATTGCTCTAAGAGAATTTATTGAATTCATGTTGGATTTCAGTTTCTTCAGAAACTCTAATAAATTTTCTAACTTGCTGATGCATTGATACTTGATATACTAGTTTCTTGCTTTTTTACTTTACCACCCAACCAAATTAAGCATAAAAGGTAAAGCTTGTGTTTTCAGGTATGGTATTTGCAGTTGATGTAAATCGTGGTAGGTTGAGAATTCTTAAAGAGACAGCAAAGTTGCACCAAGTGGATGGTGTCGTTACCACCATCCATACTGATCTTCGTACATTAACTGTATGTTGTTTCATCCATACTCAATGTTAACTCGAACATTGTTTATTTAGTTATTTCTTATAGGTTTTCTTTGGATTTCCCAGGATGGTGAACCACTTAAGAGTAACAAAGTTTTGTTGGACACTCCTTGCTCTGGACTTGGTGTTCTTTCCAAGGTGCTTGTGTTAAATAGGTTATGTTTACTCATTGTTATTGTTTTCACAAAATCATTCAGTGCATGTCCCTTTTCTTGTTTTAATCTGTTTTTATTCCTTGTCTTCTGAAGAGAGCGGACTTGCGCTGGAACAGGAAGCTGGAGGATATAGAAGAACTGAAGAAATTACAGGATGAGCTCCTGGATGCAGCTTCCACGTAAGCCAGAAATCTTCTTTGATGTTCCCTCACTGTTTGTGTGGTGCGCGCATGTGAGGCATATTGACTAATAGAGTGGAACATTTTAATATTCCCTCATCCTAAACATGTCAATTCTCCATATTCTTAAAACGCTCACATAATGGTTGCTTATCATATAATGGATGAAGGCTTCTTGTATACTTAGATGATAACTTGAGTATCCAAATTTTAAAGTTAGATTGCACTAGCTGAAATTAATCTATGTCATGTTTCCCTCTCATGGAACTTTTTTCTTCTTCTGCATGTGTAGATTGGTAAAGCCTGGGGGAGTATTAGTTTACAGTACATGCTCCATAGATCCTGAAGAGAATGATGAGAGGGTAGCTGCATTTCTTGTAAGACATCCGGTAAGCATTATAACTAGTCACTAATATTCTTCAAATATAATCATTTTTGGTTTCAAATATACTTACCTTTTATAATACTTTTAATTACCATTGAGTATTTATCGTGAATTTTACATATCATTTATCATGTTCATCAGACATAACTTCTTTGCCCGCTGTTTCAAGTGCCAACAAATCCTCCTTTTAAGCTTGGTAATGGGCTTGCTTAGAGAAATTACATACTATATATATAGCAATGGAAATTGTTAAATATCTTTTAAAGTTACCTGGGAGTTCTAATTTAAATATGGAAAGTTAAACCCTTTTGTGTCATGATTAGGTCCTTATAAACTTTCTATGGCATGATTAATCTAATATTCTATTTAGACACATAACTGTGTGTGTTTGACAGGAGCAGCATGTATATCATTCTCTTTGGAGTTGAGTACTCTTGCATCCATCTCATTTTTCAAGTGCTAACATATCATTCTCTAAATTTCAGGACTTCCACATTGATCCTGTAGACAGATATGTTCCACCTGATTTTGTGACACAAAGGGGTTTCTTTTTCTCCAACCCAGTTAAGCATTCACTTGATGGATCCTTTGCAGCTCGATTAGTACGAGCTTTATAAAACGAATTTCGGGAAATCAATCCTTTGTGGCTCTATCACCAATTGAATGACATTCAATGAAAAATTAAAAGGCTGTTTATGAGCTGCTGTTCTGTTCTGTTCTATCTCTCTTCGATCTTCGCCCTTCGAAACCGAGCTTTTACCTTAAGTGGGATGCTTGAAAAGATTTATACATGAGACTGTCAGCAAGTTTTATTTCATCATAAACTTTGGAAGGATGATGAATTGATGATCCTTAAAACAAGTATGGAATGTCCAAGCTTCAAAGATTTCTCTCCAAATTCATGTGGGGCAATTACCATAATAATTATTCTGTTGCAGCAGAATATGCTGGATAGGTACTGCAGTTTGAGAGTTACTGTAAATTTCTATGCATGGCAAAGGTTGATTTTGAATGCAAGTTAGAAATGAATGTCTATAATTTGATATTTTTTAAGGTTACAAATAAACATGTTTACTTGGCGTAACATTTTCCTCCCCTCGGGGTATCATCAAGGATTGTCCAGTCCTAACCGTGCTTTTTGTCACTGGTTTTTCTAACATATGCTTGTAAATAGTAATGTTGTTTTCAATCGATTGGTTTCTGGTTAGTTTGGGCCTTGATCCGCAGTTTATCTATAATTTGATCCTTTTAGTTTAATTTTTTACATTTTTTTAATTATTTAAATTAAGTTTTTCATTCACTTTTAAGATTTATCAATAATATAATAAAAGTATGATATATTATTGATTTGTATAAATTAGTAAAGAAAAATGGATAAATATTTCAATAAAATAAGTTTGATTATGTTTTATATATTTTGATAATTATTTTTTTAAAAAAATTATACATCTTTTCTTAGAAAAAAATTGTATAAATCTATAATATGTTCCATATTTGTTAAATTTAGTTAATTATTGGATAAAATATTAAAATACGATTTAATTTGTACAATAAATTTTTTTATAGAATTAAATATGAGCAGTACAAAGACTTAAAAATGTAATGAAATTTAAAATAGAAATGATATTAAAATGATTAGAAATTAGTTATAATTTACTTACTGCAAGCAATAAATCAAACGTGTAAAATCAAATTAGGTAGCAGTTTAATTCTAATATGATCATTCTTTTATAAAATAAAAAGAAAATTTTTGACAAGAAAATTGTGTATAGTGAAGATTGATTGGATAAGCAGAGAGTAACAGTTACGTTGGCTGCGTTTACATTTGGCTTATTGGAATAATGCGTTGCCATGCATAGGCTACTGGTTGTTGTGCTTGTGCATGTCTACAACGTGGCATCCAAACTATGTTTTTTCTCAGAACAAACAAACTCTCTACAGAACACACATCATAGAGACACATTCTCAAACGCCAAAGCTCCAAGCTATGATTTTCTTAATATATAGTACAGGTATCTTCTGGAATAATTAAAAGCTGTCATATATTTTATATTTATAATTTTTCTAATTATTAAATTTTTTAGTATAATAAATATATATAATACTTATTGTATTAAATAATAGGAGAATTATTAATAAGATTTGTATGAATTAAGATTGAGCTTAATCAATTTTTAATTAAGAGAAGTAAGATGTAAAGTAAAAAAAGCAAAGTTATCCTTTCAAAAATTTAATACAACTGTATTTATTAGAACTCAAAACAAAAGATTAAATTAAAATAACTCATATATTCACATGTCTGGGGTTAGTAATGTATTATTTTAATATATTTTTAATTAATGATTAAAATTTTATTTAAAGATATTAAATGAGATGTGAGAAACATTAAATATAAAATTTATGTATTTGATAAGAATGTAATAGTTTTGAAGAATAGGGATATGTTAAAAAGAGAATGCATTTCTCTTTAATTAATTACTTAAGAAAATGATGCCCAAGAACACGTCTCAGCGGTTTGGCTAAGCTCTGTAATAAATACATAAATTTAATTAATTACAGAGCTTAGCCAGATCGCTAAGATATATACACCGTATGATGTTGAATTCAACGACCTTGATTTTGTATAAGAACCGCTACCTATCTGCGTTGTGATGCATTCCTTTCACACAGAGTTTTTGTTTGATACGTTTTTCTCTCCTCACTCTCGACCCTTCCTTTCGTTCAGGTGCCAAAAAAATGTCTTCATCTTCCCTCTCCATTACTCCATCTTAAATCTTCTTTACAATGCTTTTTGCATTCTCTATTCCCTTTCTTTCTCCCTGTTCAACCCTAGTGTTCTTGCGGTTCCTTGATCAATTAGATCATTTGGACATCTCAATTATTATTACAGAGAGAGAAGCTTTGATCTGTGAAGCTGCTTTGGGATGAGAAAATGATCAATATGCAGGTGAATTCATGCTTCACTTTTAACTCCTGTTCAAGCAAGAGCATCATGTACTAGTAATCTGTGTGCTGATTCTTCTCCCATTTATAATGATTATATATATACTACATATATCCTTATTGAGTTTTACATATTTCTAAGCATCATCAAAGATTGCACTAGTAATCTCCACACAAACACACATATTATAAAGCATCTCATTGAAATATAAGTTTGCATTGATATATGTTGATTACGATAAAATTCAAGGGTATATTCAATTACCTTTACTTTTTTTTCTTTTTTGCAAAAAAGGCCTAGATTGTGAAGAAATGCGTGGATGATCGACTAAAAATTAAAGCATCAATTTTGTTCTATGATCAAGCAATTTTCTGAAAACTATACTGGCAATTGATTATGATCCATCGTCAAGAAATGAAAAGATTATGTGTGCGTGCGTGGCCCCATAAATTTAATTATAATCGATAATTTTTTATTTTATTGAGAGACCAGTTGTAAATATAACATTAAAGAAAAGTTTTTTAAAATTTTTAAAGTATTTCTCAGGATTAGGGCCTGGACCATTTTCTGAGTAATAGTATTATTTCAAACTTGACCTCATTATTATATGTTCAACTGAAGTCCACTTTATTTAGATATCAACTACTATCTAATGAATTTATCTTATTGTAGATCTAAACTTCGTGAAACAGAAAATAATGCCAAAATAAATTCTGCAATAATTACATCAATGTATATGAATATATTTAGACCAACGATTTAGTAGTAAACGAAAAAAAAGGAAGATACAATGCATGTTTTGACATATGAAAGTTGCACATGCAATATATGAATGGTCTCATCCGAATACCTTTCTCATGCTGTTTTTGTTTCATAATGCACAGTGAGAACTTGATCACGAACAGTGCAGTAGAATGCATGTCTTGAACGGTTTATTGGCAGATGGGGATTGTGTGATGGGATATCTCATGTTGACAGAAGAGAGAGAGCACAACCCGGGAATGGCTAAAAGAGTTTTTGCCATTGTTGGGAGTGTGCTCTCTCTTCTTCTGTCATCATCACATGCCCTTGCTTTCTTGCTATAGTAGATGTGTACATGCAGCACTGTCTTCTACCATTCAAGGTATGTGAGCCTTTTCTATACCTGAGGTTGGATTGGTTAATATATATATGTCGTTTTCAAAATATTGAAATGGTCCTCATCATATCAAATATGATTGAGAATTAATACTCGAATTTAATAGGATACTTCTTTAAAAAATTAAAGAAATAGAATTTGAAAATTTTATTTCTACTTTTGAAAACATAAAAGTCACAGCTGAGAATTGGTTTTTAAAATATATGAAATAGAAGTATTCCATGAATTGAATTTTCTGTATCTTTAAGTATTGAAATTTTTATTTTTATTTTTTTAGAAAATATTCATTCAACATGTTCTTTTCTCCCTTTCTAGGAATTTCATAGATCAATTATCTAAACGGGGAAGAAATTAACAATCTCATTAAATAAAGTTGTTTAGTTACCATACACTTAATTTTGTTGCTAATCATGAGAGAAATGAGTACGATTTGTGAATAGCCGGCCTTGAAATGAGAGAGGAACCAAATCAATCAACAAGGAGAGCCAATTCGGATTCTTAAATAAAGGAGAGTAATTGTTGCAATGCTAACACCCCCCTGGTGGCTACACAAGTATAAGGAAGATATATAAAAGATCGATTATGTATTGTTATTCTGTTGGAACCCTTTTTAATTTAGTTGGTCTAAGGGAATTAATGTGTCATGCTGATATTTCAGCTGAGAAAAAGACCTCTTCCTTTCTTTTCCAATTCCTTTTGTTTTGGTGGTGTCACTGCTTGTCACATATCTAGTTTTGTATATAACATGCTTTTGATGAAAACGAATATGCACCACACATAATTGGTAGAAAAACCCTTACGTATATTTATGTGTATTTTACACCGAATCTAAAACTGGAATAAACAGAGACATATGGAAAATTGTGATGCTTACATGACATTAAAATTCCTGGATTCATGACTGAGAAAAGGTGGGTTTGGAATGAGTTTGTTCTCCAAACGTATTTACCCTGAAAGGTAAGAAATTTAATATATTTTAACGACTAAACTCAACTAATACAAAAAAAATAATAATGAAAGATTGGCAAATTTACTGTCTAAAACGAGAGATATATAACAAATCGTTTTCAAATTATAAAACACAGCAAATATAATTTCTTCTGATATTTGCCATTAAAATTTTGTTATTCCCTTTTTTTTTTTCATGTATTATCAATTCTTTACGTCCAAATCAACTACCATGCATTTTGAAAGCGTGAAATAAGAAGGCGGAATTAATTTTCAATTTACCTAGAATTAGTTCTTAGGAACTGACCAATGCCATTCAAGCATTTCTAGAAGGGGCTTTTTATGATGATGGATTAGGGCCCATTTACTAGATCAAATAAAAGAATAGAATAAGATACTTTTTTAATCTTATCATATTTTTAAGTGTCGGTTTAATCCATTAAATATAAATCTATTTTCTAAGCTTGTATTACTCTTGATTGTAAATTTTATGTGGTGAGATATCTAAGTTAGAAATAGATAAAATAGAATAATATAGTATATATAATTTATTATTTTAGTGTACATCGATCAAGTATAAAATAAAATGAGAGTTTGTTCTGAACTTATTTTATTATATTTTAATATATCCAACTTTTATATTATATTGTTTCTTATCTTATTAACAAATGGCGTCATGTGGTGTAACTTATAAGATTAATTATGAAGATCTATTATTAGATGCTGGCATGTTTTTGGTGTTATCACATGGAAGAATGGTCAAATGTTGTCTATAATTTTTAACCCTACTATAATATAGGATAACTCTATTATATTTGTCAAATCACATGAAAACACTTGAATAGCTCAAGTGTACAGTACTGCCAGCATGTGCGAAATCTCTTTCTAGCTAGAGTCATTAATGCTGCAAGGTTGAGTTGCAATATTGGCCATTCTGATTTGGGATTTTGGTTTGGACTATGGTATGATTGGGCACATGATCGAGTGGGACACTATTCCATTTCTGAGAGAATGGGTTTGTGGAAGACCATCCCATAAATTTTGCGTTGGATCTATTTGGGGTTCTGATTGTGATTTTGATGGGTTACTTTTCATTGATGCTTGGGAGATTGAAGAGTTCACAGGAACTCAATCAGGTGGTGATTCAAATTAATGGTAGGTATTTCTTTACAATGCTGCTGGTGTCTTTTTAAAAATTATTAGGTCTCATATATATATAGAAAGAGTCGGTTCCTCATAAAGTAATGAATTAGAGTTTAAATCTCTAACAAAAGAATTGTTTATATTTAATATTCATCTAATATAGGAGCATGATCGTCTTTTATGAATACTTATTGCTGAATTTTTTAAAAGATGAATAAGAGAATTTAATATATTTTGCTCTACGTTGTCACAACTACTTACAAATATTTCTTTAATTAGAGCACGACTACAATTGCATCTGCTCTCACAACTTTAATTCGGAACTAAATTTTAAGAGTCAAACATTAGTTCGTAGGAATTGCTATAATAATACTTTTAATAATCTTTAGCTTATATTCAAAGAAGTTGAGAAGTGAGAACTCCTAAAAAAAATTTGAATTTTGAACGTTAACTGTGGTTATAAATGTGGACAAAATGGCCTCGCAAGATAAATAATAAGGACAAAAATATTGCATCACAGGCAAAATGTAAACAAATGCAATTGAGTCGTTTCTTCTTACTAGATACATGGAAATTAACTTGTAATTGTGACAGCGAAGAACAGCATAGCAATTCAAAGAGAGAGATGAAGAGAAGAAACTGACAAAAGTGTATTGTAGAAAGAGGGAATTGTATATTAAAAATTTAAGTGACGGTTTTGGAATAGACCGAAGGACTTAGCTTAATGGTTAATTAAGACTTAAGAGAGTACTCCTTGTTACTAGTATTTGAACCTTAATTAAATCAGCAATTAAGATAATTAATATTAATATTCTCCAATTAATGCACCTGACCCGGTGATATCTTAAAACAGCACACTTCCTTAATCACCAACTCTTGGCACATGACCCAAGTCAGACCCTGCATATTATCGATTACATTATAGGATCTTGGTATGTGTAGAAGAACTTGTATCTCTAGTGTGTGATCTATTCCTTTTATATTTTATTTTCCTGGGAAAGCTGATGGGAAAGGAGTATTATTTTTAAGATTGTAGGAATCGAAACGGGTCTATTTGCACGGCTCTATCCTCTTAATTCTTACCACTTGAGCTAGAATTTTTTAGTTCATGACACAAATTAGCTTGTCAATAAAGATATTCATTTTGTAGGGAAATCAAAGTTAGCGCTCTTATAATGCTTAATGCCTTATTTCTAGATTCTATAGTACATGCATGACTTTTTACATAACAAAGAATAGTCCTTCAAATCATAATAATATATGCCTTAGTGACTACAGACATGTATGTATGATTCTATTTACTAGTTATTATTTCAAACAGCTTCAGCCTTCAACTGTATGATAGTTTGTTCAATTTTGACTTCCTGTTCCTACCCTTGATACTGGTTTAAACTTCTGATCAAAGCACTTTGCTTATGCTTCTGCTTCTTGGAAACAAGATGGGTGTGATACAATGATATTAGGCTTTATATCAAATTCCCTCATAAAATGGTCTTTTCCCGCATCTGATACCTGCTGAACTTGAATAAGGTCTTTGATTGCTTCAGGCATCGGTTAACCTATTTAGTATGAGATACGATAATGATTTAGTTTAATAAAATCAGAAAATTATAAAGTGAATGTAAATTTGAGCTGCTTGAGAAAAGATTAGCAAGAGAGATAAGACTACAAACAAACAAGGCAAAGATGGACTTCATTTCCTTGCTAGATATGCGCTTCTTGTTATTAGATGTGAATTAACGGCCCCCCAAGATAAACAAATAAATAATTATACAACTTGATTTTGTTTCGCTTGTAATAGTTATACATTCCTCTCAAGTTTCCATCTAATTATTAATTAATTGGTGCACACACGTTATCTAATATGTCTGTGTAAAAATGTTGTGCTTAATTACACCCGTTAATACGTTAACATAGTTTAGTGAGTTTGATATGTACTAGTTATAACGTAGTCGAAGTTTTAAAAAAAAGAGGCAACAGAAAATTTGACAGTAATATAAAATTAATAACTGAAAATACGTTAAAACTAAACTCTAATTGATATTATATTGTTAATTACTATTCACTCAATTTAATTGTACATGCATTTAATTTGATAAGACTCCTATTTTAAATTAATTGTCACTTTAAAACAATATTTTTTATATTAACAAGGTTTTTTTTTCTACTTCCATCCTTAAACAAACAATCAATGCAGTAGTTTTCAAATTTCTTTATTTTTTTTAACAGTCAAAGTTCTTTCTGCATTGCACGTGTAATGATAAAGCACATTACACGACAACATAACTGATTATACTCATTAAATGAATTATTATTTTTCTAATATTTGTGTAAAAATCTTAAACGGAAGTTAATTTAAAACGGAGGTAGTATATAATTAATAGAGAGGAGGATACACAGCAAAACACAAGCTCAATACTTAATACATTTATTGTTCCATACTTGCATTCATGTCGAGACAATTATTACACATGACAAAACAACACACATTATTTAGTCCTTAAAATACGATAAGCTTAAAAAATATACTTTAAAAGAGAATACGTTGTAACATTTCTCTTTTATACATATATATTAGAACATAAAATATAACACAGAAAGTCAACTACTACTACTCGACAAATGCATTACTTCCATGGTTGTAGTTGTTTTGCCACATGTCATGAATTAAGCAAAAGGGTCATAACAAAAGTTGGCCATAGTAGCATTGCCGGAGCCACTTCCACCTGAGACACCATTGTAAAACCCACCCGAGCCACCATTGTAAAACCCACCCATCTCCAATGTCTCAGGAAAAGTTTGGAAAGGTGCAGGGATCACAGGGAAACCGGTAGCAAAAGAAGGTGGTGGCGGCGGTGGCACGCGACTGGGGAAGCGCGCAGCAGCGTCATTTTGACGTAAGCGTTCAAGGTAAAGGGAGAGAACCACAGCATAGTTGTTGAAACCTAACGTTTTCAAAGCACGAATCAGATCTTCACCCGAAACCGTTCTGCGATGCTCGAGCTGGCATTGGTGGTTAGCTTCACTTGTGATGAACCCAATGAACTCAGTCACACACTCCAACATCGTTTCCTTCGATTCCTCCGTAACTTTTGCATGCAACGGAAGACCCTTCCTCATCAACCTCTTCACAGTCGCTAGTGGCAGGTTTGGATTCTCTTGAAGCGCCTCAGCTGCAGGCGCTTGCACCGCCAAGTCTTGGTTGTTCACTCCAGAACCGTTCCCATCTTGCAAGTCTAAACTCACTTAAATCGTGTAATTAATCATAATCCAACTATTTCATTTAATACAATCAAACTAGTCATTAAATTAACAATTAGTTAAGCAGAAGACGACACCAGCAAGTTCTGAATGAAGTTGCTTAAGAGGGTAAATACAAAGTGAAACCGAAAACAACAACTCTGATACGAAAACCTAAGAGTAATGAATGATGGAAGCGAGAAACATGGATGTTTGTTCTGAGATCCAACGTTAAAGTTGGCAAATTTTGTCTTCACCTGTCTCTCTTGCGGGAATTCATGCTTTCTCCAGGAGCACCTTTTACTATGTCCCATATGGTAAAGTTCACCCAAAAAAACAAGCTTTTCTTTTATTATCACTTTTTTAATTGTTAAAAATTTACTTTTGAAATGGGTTTTTCTTTAGAAAAAAAGATTTTTTTTAAAAAATATATATTATTCAATGGCATTAATGTATTGATTGATGTGCTATTTTATTATTTTAATAAAAGATATTTTATATATTGTTACTCTTAGATACACATTAAAAAATTTTATATATATATATATATAGTATAGGTTAGTTCAAGGAATTTATCATTAAAATTTTTTTTTTACATAATCTTCAGACTATTTCTTAGAAAAATAAATTAACAGGTATGTCCTGCAACGTAGAATTATAAAATAAAATAAAATAAAAAAACTCTTTGTTGGAAAACCATTGAAATCGAATTTCAAGCATAGAATTTTAGAAATGATATATATAAAAAAAAATAAAAAACAAAATTTTCAATGTTTCAGACACAAAGAAGCAACAATCGTGGCACAGAGAGTGTGTGACCACTGCAAGAAAACCAAATCCTCACACACAAAAAATTAGAAAAAAAAAAGATATAAAAAAAAATTACCAAAACAACATGCAATAGAAAATTAACAAAAAAAAATAAAAATTGAAAGAATAATTATAGTGAAAAATGATCAAATCAAGGTAAAACGAAAACATGCATACATTTAACAAGTTTGCATGTTTAGAAATGCTTACTCAAGTCTGAAATGAGAGGCTGGGCATTCAGAAAGAGAGAACCTTGATGCTCCATCTCTTCTCCTTAAACAAAAGAATCAAAGTTTTTCTTTTCTTTCTCAATCTGCTTCTTCTGTGGTTCCAGTGAGTTGAATTTATAGAGGGGAAAAGATGATCTAATACCCTGTGTTATAATTAAGAGATTAATATGGTCTTATTTTTAGGATTCATTTATTGTAGTGAAATGAAAAATTTAATAAGTTATAAATAAGTGGATAAATTTAAACTATAAAAATATGGTTAATTAATATCACATTTAATTCTCAATTTATTTTACCTTTAATTTTTTATATTTTCATATTTTTTATATTATTTTTCTTCTACACCGAACTCATTAAAATTTTGCTTGGAAGTTAATTTTAAGAGAAAAAGAAAGAAAAAAAATTATAATAATTAATCTTTGTGAACTTTTAAAGGTGAAATATAATTTTATATTTTTTTCAAAATTTTTATAAATTCACGTTTTTAAGTTCCTTAAGTTAAAAGCTTCTTTTATTAATTTTTTTATTATTTTTAAATTTTTTTATTTTGTTTTAACGTTTTTTAAATAAATGGTTGTTGCAGTATTCTTAAACTTGAACTTGAAAAGCATTAAATACTCCTCTAAATTATATTGATATATTAAAAAATATTTATTTTTTAAATAAATCACTAGTTTTATTATTAAAATAAACCGTCGTAATTATTAAAAGAGTATAAAATACAATTCAATTGCTAGAGTATTATAGAATTTACCTTTAAACAAAGTTTAATTAAATATTTTTAATAATTTTTTAAAAAATTATAGTTATTAACATTTAACTACAAAGTGATTAGTGTAAATTTTGTATTTAGCTTCTAGATAGATTAGGTGTAATATAAAAATTGTCATATATTAATAAAAAATTAAAATTTTTAAAATATATTCAATATTAGATGATAAAAAATTATATAATAAATTTTTGTTAAAATATATAAATTATTAAAAAATTCCTAAATTTTCCATTATCTAAATTAATTGAATCATTTTAAATTTTTTTAAATTGAAATTCACAAGTTAAAAACTCATATTTTGAGTAAATATAAAAAAAACTGAAATTTTTTTATAGTAAACTCTAACCGGCCCTCATATCACAAAAAATTTAAATTTTATCTAAATTGCAGAATCTAATATCTCAAATAATTTGATATCCTAAAGAAATTTATTAAAATAAAAATTTTAAAAATTATTAAAATAAAATTGATGAAAAACATACTTGATTATAATAATTAAAACATAAAAAAACTAAATTAATTCAAGCAGGGACTAAAAACGTACATTAGTCATAATATAGAAGATACAAAAATAAAATCAATTTAAAAAAACTTAGGAGATATGTTTAATAAGATTGAATTAAATTTTTGATCTGTTATAAAAATTGCACAATTTAAAATTAATTCCTTATAAATTTTTTGTTATGATATAATATTTTTCACAAACTATCGTGTGTAGTCTCTTTAACTAAGTGAACAATATAAGATGTTATCTAGATCACATTAATTAGAAAGATTAAAAATAATAATTTGTGAAAAAGTATAAATTATATTTTAATAAAATATTTTATGAGAATTAAGTTTAAATTTTTTAGAAATTAAATATTTAATTAAATAGATTAATAAAAACCATATTGTCATAACATTTTTTATTTAAATAGCATTTACTTTTTCATGTATTATTATTTTTAATTTTTTTAACTGACAGTTTTTTAGATAATATCAAGTGTTATTTTTAGTTAGACTATATAAGTTAAAAAAATTAAAAATAATAATTCATAGATTATATTCTAACAAAATATCTTATAAAAATTAAGTTTAAATTATAAAATTTGTGTAAGAATCAAACATTTAACTAAGCATATTAATAAAATGAATGTTAACCTTCCATTAATAAAAATTAACATTTTATATTTAAATTGAAATTGATAGGGTAAAGTTACACATTAATTAAGAGCATTTATGTGATAGCATTATATAAAGTAAATATTCAATGAAAATATTTATTAATTTATTAGTGTGTTGAAAACATAACCACATTTCTTCATTTAGTAATTAGAAGAATTTATAAAAATAAAATGCACAAAAATTTAGAGTTATTTATATATAAATTAAGTGATAAAGATTCTATTTAATGTTTCAGTTATTAATTTTTCTTAACTTTCCCACGTTTGTTACTTTTTTTTTTCTTCATATTCATTAAAAAGATTGTTTTAAATTACTTAATTTGATTATATTAATTTGTGAAATCAATCAATGATAATCAGATTGGTGTAGTATTATAGCTAATTTTTACTATTTAAATTTAAAAGAATATATATATATATATATATATATATATATGGACAAAATTTTCTTATACTGGTGTAAATTTAAAAACTCTTACATTAAATTTGAATTTTTCATTTGACTTATATTTAACGAGTTATATTTATTACTTTACTGATTATTAAATGTAAATTAATTAAAAGATTAGTGTAAGAATACTTTACTGATATATATATATATATATATCTTAAAAATTTATAAGTTAAATCTCACTTTATATTATTTTTTTCTCTTCTTCAATTTCATATTCTTTTAAATAATTTCTAAAATTTCATAACTTAGGTTAAACAGTTTATTTCTACGTTTTCAAATGATATCAACATAATATATAGCTATATTATTTATTGAAAATAAAATATTAAAATTAATTATAGATTTTTATAAATAATTTAATAGCTAAAAAACTTAAACAAATAATATAAAAATTAATAATTTTATTATACAAAATCTCCTCATGTTTCACATAGTATCATTGGAAGGCTAAAGAAAGTCACTATCGTTTTGAAGAAATTCAGGAACTGAAAAAGAGAGCATTGTCTAGAGTCAGAAGGATGTTCTTATTGAAGCAATTTATCGGATATTTTTACATAAATCATGATTAGTTGTTTTAAGATTCTTGAGATCGTTTGCACCAATAAAGATTGAATCCATGATATCTAATTTCTATTGGGGCAAAAGCAAGAAAACGAAAGTTTATATAGTTTCAAAATCATTAGATTTCATGGAAGAAGCTTTGTAAAAGCAAGAAAAAGAAGGTTTTGAAGTGTTTAATACAATGATATTAGGCAAACAATTGAAGGCTCCTCGAAAGCCAAGATTCCATAGTCTTTAAATTGTCAAACAGGCCAACTTAGGGTTTGAACATAGATAATTGATTGGAAGATTTGTGTGGAGAGAGCATAATTGGAGCAAAAATGTTTTTGGGAAGGACATAGATCATTGATTGGAAGATATGGAAGGAAAGTGGAGATTTTTTAATTAACATAGATGGCTTCTTTTACAACCAAGACTTCAATGTTAGATTCCAAACTCCATTGATCCTAAAATGTTGTAGTTGACATGATTATAGATGAGGGAACCAAATCTTGAGAGTAGAAATTTATTGACTCCATCTTCATGGTTCACCCATGCGCAGGGAAGAACGAAATTAAAAACATTCCAATCCGTGTGCATTTACTACTGATATCAGGAAGCAAGATTTGGAAATTGAGAATCCTCTCCATTTCTAAAAGAACAGCACAGATTAGTTCATTGTTTACATTTAACAAACTAAGTTTATAATTCATTTTTACCATATTATAACAGTAAATGTCTCAACAATCCCACAAATAATATTTTTCCGGGATAAAAGCAGATCACATACGAAGTAACATAATGACAATACATCTATGAAGCATTCTTTTTCCAAACTACATCATTAGATGAACTTAGCGATGCATATCAACCTTAACATGTTAATGCTCATCAGCAAAGTCCAATGGCACATGTAAACACAAATTGCTTTCAATATATATGGCCTTCTAGTGTGAACGTGGAGTATGACATAATATAATAGAAAATTGGATTACTCAGAATATTCTCACACACTAAACACTAATTAGCTGACTATGACCACAATCTACATGTGAAATTGGTCCTCACATTCTTTAGCCAATATATAAAGCAACATAATTCTCTTGTAGCTTCCAGTCACAGGCCCTCGCGTTGTGGAAAAAGACCCTGGAATAAGAATGATGGATTCTTGAATACATGCACTGAAATTAGATTCTCACACTTTCTTATCAATGCCCCTTTATCTATATAACTCAGATCCTATATGACACCCTGCAGTCAAGAGAGATATCTTATAACAAAAAGCTAGTTTATGTTGAGTAACTTCCTAATTCCTATCCTACACTATGCCATATATAGGATACAAGTTTTCCTTATGAATGTGGTCAATGAGGTGCTATTGTTGGTCATTTTTCTACTACTGTTTTACTTTCAAATCTATGTTAATTTCTATTGACTCCAATTTTCGTTGGTGTGTTTTTACTTTTCTCCCAAAGTGAATGCTGTTTGAGGAATATGCTGTCCATCCTTTTACACAGAAGCAAGAGCTCTTCAAGTACGAAATTGATTTATGCTACGCAAAGTTAGAAAGGTGCTATGCTGACTCCCTCCACACCAATCTCATCATTTTTCTAGGAGCAGTTGAGTTATCTATATTTAAATAGCCATGATATGGACTAGTCTTCAAAGTCAGTCAAGGTCTTGGACAAAAATTGATTGACGTAATGAAATGTCATAAATGTTTCTTATGTCCCATCTTTAGCATAGCATACTTGTGGGATGTGGCTCTCTTGGGTCGAAATTCCAATAATCCCTTGACATAAAATAATCCTATGATTGGATTGAGATTAAAAAATTGCAAATTCAAAGTTTTCACCTAAAATTTTAACTTCGTTTTAAATTTTAAAACTTTCATCTTTGGACTTCCTTATTTACATACGAACAGAGGTTGTAAAGATGGTAAAAAAGATGTAGTGAAATCACGAATTCTTTTTTATTATTATTGTTTTTTTCTCCACTTAAAAGAGGCATTTCCTTGATAAAACTTTCTCACCTTTAACAGTCATCGTTGTGATGAACTCCATTATTGTCGATAGTACATGAGTAGTTATCTATATGAAAAAGACAGCTTCTAAGCCACCATGCAAACAAAAAATGAAAAGAGAAGAGAAGAAACACACCTTTAAAGAGAGAAAAAGAAAAAGTAGGTGTGAAAAGGAAAGGTTGAATGTTTAACAATCAGTTAGCACAGAGACTCATGCAAAGTGGTCGACATTTGTGTGCGTTGCTTCAATACTATGATGCCATACGGCACCACATCCTGTATTCAGTACAGAGAGAGGCGAAAGATCCAAGACTGTATTAAAACAGGTGCTGGTTACATATCAAAACAGGAAATCTAGAAGACTCTTTTCCTCTAAAGCTTTTGTCAGATCATCATTGCAAGCCTCATCATTTTACTCTCCACTCCTTTCCTTCTTTCTTCTTCTTATAAATTAATTTTTCTAGTCTGAAGTAAAACATTACTAGACGAGATGTTTCCACCAAAGTTTCTGCCAGTTGTAGTAGTTGTAACTCTTTCGTTATTAGAGTCCAATTTTCATTTTGAAGCTTATGGGGATGAATTAGGTGATGTAATCCCATCTCCAAGTTCTTGTGAGAACTGTTCCAAATGTGATCCACCTTGTCAGCAGCAAGTAAATCCACCACTTTCTGGTTATCCTTCTTATGGAGCTTCATCACCACCATCTCCTCCTTCTGGCTACTATATATATGGTGCCCCTCCACCACCTCATGAAGCAGGCCACACCAAGTGCCCTCCTGCTACAGGTGCTCAGTGTTGTACCCCTCCTGCTCCTTACACTTATGGATATGGTTATGGACCTCCAAATCCTTACTATGCACCTCCAAATCTTTATGCGCCTCCAAATCCTTACACCTATGTGCCTTATGGAGAAGGTCACGGCCATGCTTCCATGATTCTGCCAATTCTAGTCCCCCTTACCATGTTTTTTTCTTCTTTTATTTTTCTCGTCTGAATTTGACTGCTTTTTGTTGTTTATCATCGTTGAGTTAGGGAAAAAATTAGTGATCCTTGTAAATTGGACGTCGTGTGTAATATATAATAAATATCTGGTTGTCAATAATAATTATAGATGCTAGTGTACCATATTCATCTTGTGTTGCTCCATGTGGTATATACCATGGCAAGATCATCTACTAGTTCAATATCCATTAGTACTATAGTTTTAGTTAAATTTCGTTTTATTTATACTCTCGTCGATAAATATTCTTTTATGCAAATTTGTGAACGCAATTTTACGGGAAAAATACTTTGAGAGAACAAATTTTAGAACTAATGTGCCACACAAAAAAGATATTAGAACTAACGAATTGTCGAGCAGATTCAATTGACACATGCCACTTTATGCAGTGAGCGCACGAAATTCTTCAGCAAAAAGGTGAAAAATTTGTTAGGATTGTGCTCATCATATGGATTGTAACCCGTCACACACCGCTATATATGTAGTATCTCTTGTATCAGTAGCATCAGTGGTTCTCTGAGGTGTGCATACAAAATAGTAAGCAAGGGAACACGATGTGTATATTTGCCTCAATATTGCATATAACTACTGGTCTGTTAGCATTTGTCCTCACCTTACTATGCTGCCGACACTCTCAAACGAAACAATTAAAGTTGTCAACTTGATTCACAGCCATCGGTAGTAATTACGCAAATAATTAGCCCTTTTTGTGGTATTTTGACCATCAAAGACATGGTTAAATTCATGTAAACCTCATTTCAGTCACGATGTCCATCAAAGACACAACTTGGGAAGAGACGCGGACCGTTACATCCACACATCAGAAACTATACTGTATCAAACAACTTTCAATGCTAAGTGAAGATTGATAAAACACCGTTAGAATTATCCCAGTCCAACGAACTTTGACCATTGACACAATATCTTGTATCTCCCCTCAGCAAAGCTTGCAATAACTATTTACCAATTCATGTCATGCATATTTCAAGAATACTTACCACTTGCACTTTCAACTCCTGATCACACCCTATCATGACCATTATACATGTATTTAAGTCATAAACAAATATATTATTAATCAAACAGTGTTGAGAAACTAACTAAACGCTTTAAGATCTAACATAAGGATCCCCCCGCCTCTAAATTAATTAACTTTCCCTTGTCCATTAAGTACCCAAGAGTACATTTTGATTCAAGGCCTCCAGCAATAGCAGAGAAAATTGACATTAATACTATCCTCAACTGCATGATGCTTATGCATTCAGCTATTGATTTTCTTGCTGTTGCCTCCATCATAGGTAGAGAAGTGTACCAACTCAGAATACCAAATGGAAAGAGATATTTACAGTAAAGATTATAACAATAGGAAATTACTTCTATCTGCTTCCTCTTCTACTTATGCATAACTAAACTGTCAAAGAAAAACATCATTTGATCTCCCAGGAATAGGTCAAACTAAAAACCAACGATGTAAGAACTAAGAAGAGAAGATAGATAGAGTGTAACTGATTGACTAACATACAAAGAGCAAAAAGAATATCAGACTCGCCATCAAATACTAACTACATTATCCTTTCCATGGATATGTAAAATAGCCAAGATATGACAACTCAAAAACCATAACCATTCAGTAATTCCAGATATATATAACATTGAATTCAATTACCAATGAAGAAAGGGAGGTTCCTCTTTCTCTTCGTCTTACAAGAATTCAATCCTGATTTTTAAAGACATACTAAAATCCAGCAAAGCAAGAGAGAACTAAAATCTGTTTTGCAGAAAATTTCTAAGATTGCTACTAAGTGAAAATGCAAACTTTTCCACTACTATGCTGAAGTTGAACAAAAGTTATTTTCCTATACAAGTAAATCATCAATGGGTACAGGATTCAAAGAACTTGCCTATCAGCGGCATCAGCTACAATGGGCAACCTGGGGAGTTGACCCAGCAAGCAAGAAGAAGAACCATAAATCAAGCACACCAAAAGGAACAAGAACACAGTGCTATCCAAACTCATCATCAAATCCAATCCCAACCCACTTCTGGGATTAAACCCTCTTTCCAATAGGTCAGGGAAAATCAAGAGCACATCAAGCACAATTGCTTGCATTGTATTGAACCTGACATATCTACTAAAATTGGGGTTTCTAACAACAACAAAGTAAAGGGTCAAAAACACAAGAAACCCATTTAAGGGGAAGCTCTTGAACACTCGTATAGCAGGAACCAAAGGTTGAACAATGGCTTGAACAGGGTAGAACTGAGTGATAACATACTTTCCATATTGTATGCCATCAAAAAAGGGGTAGAAGTAACAAAGGGCTGAAATCAAGCGATCAGGAACATCAGCAGTGTCATTTCCATTGGATTTGGCAACTATAAGGCTTCTGAATTGATGGGGTTTTCTAAATTTCTTGGGAAGAATGAAAATTGTGGAAGAATGAAGAAAGGTAGAATGAAGAGGTTTGTGTGAGAAGGTGGAGGATCCAAATGTTACAGAGGAAAGGAAGGTGGAAGTGGCCATAGTTCCACAGAAAAGATTCAATTTTGGGAAGTGGGTAGAGAAGAAGATGAGGAAGGAGAAAGGGATAGATAACACTCGCTCGGAAAAATAAAAATCTTTGCTTAGGTTAGTAAAAAAAATATCTTATTTCTTTCGACATGCATAACACAGAATTTGTTTTTTCCTTTTAAAATGTTAGTAATTAAGGTACAGTTAATTCTAAAAAGTGTTTTTATTATTTTTAATTGCTAAGTTTGATTATAAAAATATTATTTTTTTAATTTTTTTTTAACATTTATACAAGTACAATAAAAAATAAATTTTATATGGTTAATTAATTAAAAATTATCTCAATTTAAAATAAGATATAAATTTTGATATATTTTGATTAATATAAAAATTTATAAAGGAATTAGAATACACAATTTACAAGCCATTTCTTTTTTATACATTTACAATTATAGTGAAGCGGAGCAAAGCAATGGGAATATGGTTTGCCATTTGTTTTTAAAATAGATTTTATATTAGATAAAATATCAATTTCAAGAAGTAGTAAATTTTTTATAAAATAATTAATTTTAAAATTGAGATAAACAGAAGATAAATTTTAATTAACTACAAGATCATCAATATTATTAGCGTTGTTCTTTGTTCCAAATTAGAGTTTCATTTTAATAATTTAAATAATAAAAATTGATATTAAAAATTTATCTACTAACATTAAAAACTAGTACACATTATTTAAATAAAGTTTTCTTTAGTATAAAGAATACACAGTTTTTCAAGACATTTCTTTTTTATACATTTACGATTACAGTGGCGTGGAGCAAATCATTTGGAATATGGTGTGTCATTTGTTTTTAAAATAAATTATATATTAGATAAAAAAAAATCAATTTCAAGAGAAGTATTTTTCTATAAAATAATTAATTTTAAATTTGAGATACATAAAGGATAAAATTTAGGGTAAATCCATAAATGTTGTTAGTATTGAAGTATCATTTCAATAATTTATATAATAAAAGTTTATATTGAAAATTTGTGCAGTAGCATTAAAAATTAGTACAATTTATCAAAGTGAAATTATAATTTTAATTGAAAAATCCATGCTTAAACTTTCAACATAGTAACTATATTTACATTTTACAAATTTGTATATTTTAACGTCTCAATAAAATTACTTCTTTATTTTGTTATGAAAATATCATTTAAAAAAATAACTTTTTATCTTGAATTCTACATAATATTTTAAAAATATTATATTTTTATTATAATTGTACTAAATTTTAATTACACTTTTGATCTCCATATTTAGATGTATATATATTTTTAATTTTAATTACTCATATTTAATTTTTCTATTTTTTGAAAGGTTCAAATTAAGTCATTCGTTATAAATTTAAGATTTTTTTGGTATATTCTATTTTTTATATATTTTAAAAATATTTTATATGATTTTCTTTATTTATAAATTAATAAAATATCATACTTTTATTAAATTTTATTAATTACTAAATAAAACTTTAAGGTGTAAGACTCAATTTGAGTATTTAAAAAATTTGAAGAATTATACATGAATAATTAAAATTAAAAAGACTAAAATTACAAATACATTAAATTATAAAGACTAAAAATATAATTAAACTTAAAAATAGACAACTCTTTATCTAATAATCATGAATGTTTAATTTTTCTTTTTCATCTTTTAAGAAAAAAAAAAAGAGCTCAATAATTAAATTTCTTTGATTATTTATAAAGTCCATAAAAATTAATTCATTTATAGTAAAACATGAGTTATTACGATCTTAAAACTAATAACGAAAAACCAAAAAAGTATTGAATAAAAGTATGATAAAATTATATGGTTTAATTAAAATTTTATTTAAATATTTACATTTTAGTTATAAAGTGTAATAAATATATTATATAAATGTGAACAGGGTTAAATATTATAATGTCTATATTTTAGTGTATACTGACCCATTCGATAGATGCAAACCCTATTTATTTAAGATATATTTTTTAGATATTTATTGGGCTTGAATTTTATTGTGGTTCCCTAATTTTTATATCTTTTAAATTGTTTAAAAGTTTGTCGAAAAATGATTTTAAGATATTGGTCAAAGAATTAAAATGAAAGTTATCATAAAAAACAGATTACATATTTTTAAAAAATAAACATTAATAATTAGCAAAAAAAAAAACATTAATAAGTGATTTTAAGATATTAATTAAGAATTTAAAATTAAAAAATTATTAAAATAGTTTTTAAAATGTTTCTAACGTGATTTTTATTTTATTTTTGTTTTTTAAAATATTTTAACGAGGAACTACTGTATTTCAACTAAAACATATTGTTTATTTATGCAAAATTATTCATTTTTTGTGTCTATAGTTTTTTGAAGTCCCTAATTTTGTTAAAGTATACGTTTTTTTAATTTATATGATTAGATAAGCTTCATTAAGCAATGTCGCGACATTTATAATATATTTAAACCTAAATATTTTATAAAAAAACATTACACTCATTTCAAAACAAAATAATGATCTCCATAACCCTACTTAATTGAAAACAATCTTTCCTCAGCATCAAGTACGATGAACTGGTAGAAATTGTTCAACTTTAGAACAAAAAAAGAAAACCCTTTAAAAGAGCCTATTTGATAAGTGTTTTGTTCATCTTTAAAATCTCTCTTTTTAAGCAAATGGATACTATATAGTATATACATCCCAAGCCCAACGATTTCCCATTTTCATGCTATATGCTTTGTTTACATATCCTGGGCATGTCATCGTTTCAGCATGCATCGTCCATATATATTCTTTAACGTGAACGTTTCTGTGTTGGAATCATACTTTGCACCATTTTTTTATCTAATTATTGAATTCACGTGATCTCAATGCTTGAAAGATTTAACACCAATTTATCATCATAAAGTCTGGTTCATCATTTATCAATGTTCAAACCCATCAAAGAAACTGGACTTGGGAATAATCACTGGTTATTGCTTTTGCCATACGGATGAGTATAGAAATGCCATTATCTTAACCTAATATCTATCTCTTCCCAATTACTATACATCCCCACGTTCTTAACTGTTTATAGTATTAAAATGAACGTAATTTGCATTTAAAAATAACAAATGAAAATGCATCATATCATAACGTGAACCTTACTATATAATAATAATAAAATTAATGGATACCATTCACTAAGAAGGGGTAAGAAAAGGAAAGGAATATTTGAGTAATTGGATTGGACGTAAATAATAAAAGATGTGGTACAAAAAAAGGAGAAAAGAAGCACTATTTAATTCTATCTTAGAACAGTAACAATAACACTAACCCAGATTGGGATGGAAGAAGTGTAAAGTGTGTACTTACATGACAGATAACAGAGTGCTGCCAATCACCAATGACATTAAAATCCAAACTTATTTTTTGGTGTAATAGAATTCACTGAATGCTTCTTCTCACAAGCCCCCAAATTAGTCTTACAAGCTACAACTAAAACTCTTGCATTTTTATCAATTTTTTTTTAAAATACAAATGAAAAAAAAGAAGGGAAAAAAAAGGTAGTGGAGAGCGCACACCACATCTACCTGGGTCTACCCGCATTGGATCCAGCGGAAGGATAAGTGGGCCCGGGCTTACCCAAAACAGGAGAACCACTACCACCAGTGACACCCACTTGATGAAACGCATGAGAACCGTACACGTGTCCTTGGTGCATCATCATCCCTCCCCCTCCTCCGCCCGCAGCGGCCGAGTACTCGTACACGTTCGCGACGGCGGCGTCCTTGTCACGTGCGGCAACGGTCTTCTCTCCCTCCATCTCCCTAAAGCGTTGAAGGTAAATCTTTAGAGGCTCAACGTAGTCCTCGAAGCCCAAGGTCGTCATGGCCCAAAGTAGGTCGTCGCCGTTTATAGTTTTGCGCTTCTCTCTCTGGCACTTGTCGGAGGCTTCGCCGGTGATGAAGCTGATGAACTCCGACACGCATTCTTGCACCGTCTCTTTCGCGTCCTTTGAGATCTTGGCGTTCGCCGGAAGCGCCTTCTTCATGATTCTGCTAACGTTCGCTATCGGCAAGAACCGGTCTTGCTCCCGGGGCGATAACTCGCTGCTGTTGGCATTGTTTCCCGCGTTGTGCGCTCCTCCTGAGTCGTTGTCCGAGTCCGCCATCTTCCCCACTCGCTGGCTCCGATTCCAACTCGCTCAATGTTTGAATCTGCGTTGACTTCGAGGACAGAGTAATTTCGTCGAATTATGGAACGAGATGGTGATGTTGGTGATGTAGGGGACGGAGACGGAGACGGACGGACGGACGGCGAGTGTTCCGGCGAGGAGCGGAGAGAGGAGTGAAATGGAATGAGCAGGGTCCGTTGGATCGGGCGGGTTAATAAGGGTGTATCTGGTGGACACGTGGACCGTTGTGGACCGTTGTTAGTCGATAAGTGTATGGTTTCACGGAGGAGTTATGAGCCATGGGATTGGATGAGGGATGAATGATCTCCACCCTTCCTTTCGTATCTGCCACTGACTTGGACTCTCTAATCGCCCTCTCTCTATTTCCCCCATTTTTTATTTATTTTTTCCTCTTACTTTATTATATTAATAAATAAATTAGAATCTGAGTAGTAGTTTATGTTTATTATAGATTCCAATATGTAAAAATACATTGATAATCTATTTTTAAAAAGATAAATAAGAGAATCTTTCTATTTTTATGTTATTATGTATAAATTTGGTTACTCCAAAACAATAAAAGACAGCAGAGGATATTGATGCCAAACAAGTCGTCCATTACTCCATTCTCTAATTACTTCTTTGATTTTGTTTAGAAGCTTCTCTTTGAACCTTTCCATAAAGATTATTTTAATCTCCATAATCATCTAATATTAATTATTATTTTATATTATACATGTAAAAACCAAGTGAACAAGTAAGCGTAGTTTCAAATTCTATGCACGTTGTGTTAAAAAGAAAAAGGGGTTGATTAGATGTGTCGGTGTTGCTAATGACACGCTCTCTTGTACGGTGGGATCCTCATTCAGTTGCTATGCTGTGGTCGTTTAATGGCTTTGTGCTGTGTGCTGTGTGTTGTGTCCACACAACCAAACACTATTCACAAATCGCAATAAGTGCAAATGTGAATTATTATTCACTAAACGTTCCTTTTGTTTCACGATATTTTAATCTTTAAACTTTGACTCTTGTTAACTGTTATTTAGAAATTATTGTTACAAATTAACATGTTATTTTAAAAAATTTATATACTAAATTATAACGAGAATTTAATTAATTATTATTTAGAGGGTCCATGACGTGGAATGAATACTGAACAGTGGTTGGTGACTTTTACTTTTCTTCCTTTTGAAGCAAATTTGATCTTCGCTTAATCTATTTGGGCATAACGTACATGGCATATTGAAGCTGCACTTAGAATGGGAAGTTCACTGTGCAAGTACAAATTATGACCCTCCCAAATCATTGTCACGCTGACATTCAACATGTTGGATATTTCATCCATTGGTTTGATTAGTTTTTGGGAAAGAAAAGAAATGTAAGCTGAATTGATATAGTTAAAGTAAAACAACTTGGTGTGATTTATTAGGTTTGATAATTTACTAGTTAAAAGTTGTTATATTATAAATATAAGCAATAAAAAAGAAATATAGAATATGTTCGAATTATTTGGTTTGATAATTATTTTTAAAATGATGCATTGCAATTGATATATGAACAAAAGATTATTTAGTTTTATAATTTTCTTTTCAAACCAAAATCTCTTAAGAGAGGAGATAAAAATATTTGTGGGCATGATCAAGTGTTACCTCATAGATATTAAAGCAAAATGAAATTAATTTATTTTATTTTTTAAAAGAAAGCATATGGCATGTCTTCTTTTTCCCCAAATCAGTTGACCTCAACTAGAGAGACCCCACCATTATATGTAGCAATCTCCAAACTCCAATTGTTGCAAAGCACCTAAAGCTATTTTCTTGCAAGAACTAGTGATGGCCCCAATTCCTTGAAAACATGGTCACTTCTCCTCTCTCAAAATCTCACATCCAAAAACACTCCCATCTCATCACACATCAAATTCATCCTTTAATCACTAACCAATTAGAAAGAAGAATAAATTATAATATCATACATCGTAAAAGAAAATTAAAAAAATTATTTTTTCAGTTGAAATACACGCATTTCAATTATTATAATTCATGTTTGAGAGAACTGATAAATTTAGGAAGCAGCAGTTTCATGGGCACAGAACATTGCTATACATCATCGCACTATTCTTGTTTGTAATTAAATTAAACTCACCTAATGGGCTTCTTGAAGCTTTTATTTTAATGAATTACTCTTAAGCCTTTAATAAAATTCCACTTATACAAAACTAAAAAGCTTAAATAACTAAACAGTTCCTTAAATAAACAACACTTTTGTTTCTCCATTGGTTGCACTCTACAAATATTAAGATACATGAAACATATTTTAATAGCAGATATTTCATGATCGAAAATGTGATAAAACTTAACCTTATTCTTCTTGGACTAGGGGATTAACTTATATACCAGAAATAAAAGATAAAGAAGGTACAAGCAAATTGTTTATCTCCTGTTTTAAAAAATATTTTACGTACACTTATTTTAAGGCTTTTGGAATAAGTAGAACAATTTTACAACTATATATTGAGAAAATGTATACAAAATTATTTACTGGCTTGTAATAGTTTTTATCACCAGTGTCTCTGATTTTTTTATTTTTTTATTTCTACATATATACTATACATATTTAAGAAAAATAACATAAAAACTTATAAAATTACATATTATCGAATTCATGTTACGATGTTATAGAATATTATTTAATCTAAGCACTTATAAAGCTAATTAGATAAGCAACTTTTACATGTTATAATAAAATTAAGTAGTTATCTAACTTCAACCATTCAAATAAAATAATATTTAAACAATGTAATGTATGAGTGCAATTCATCAGATGTTACCTTATAGTAGACATATATATGTATACCTCTCTGCAAACGGTACAAAATATGATACATCACTTGCATATCAGCAACACACATAGGAAAAATAATTATAATATCGGTGCCATGTAATAAAAATCACTTTAAAACAGTAAATAATTGGCAAATGATTGATAAATAGATGCCATTGACAACCTCGTGGTACCACAAGCTGAATCGACAATTGGTCCATAACTTGTAATAAACGATGAAGAAGAAAATGTTCAATTATGACCTCCAAGGTAAGAAGATAATAATAATAATAATAATAATTGACTGCTAGTCATCTAACTTTTATGTAATATATTCGGTTTAAAAGAAGGAAAGGGAGGGAAGTAACTTTAACAAAAGGAAGAAATATTTTATTTAATTAATATAGTTTTTCTCTTTTAATTTTTTTTATTTTTTGAAAGAAATTAAAGTTAAATTAGAATAAATTTGAATTCTATCTCATTATTTTTTTTTAAAATATCTCTTTCCTTTCATTTTTATCCAACTATCCACTATGTTTGGCGCCGTATAATATTTCTAAAGTAATGAGTCTTATTACATGGTTGGGACTATGATCTTATGTGGTTAGTTTTTTAATTTCACAAAATCTTGACCATTTAAAATGTTCCATATTATAATAAAAATATTGGTGATGATTAATTGTGCACCTAGTGCAGTTCAAATTTTGATTAGGGTATCGAGTGGCATGTGAGAGTACAGAGCATTAAGTTATATACACACACCCACCCACATAATAATTTAATCATTTGGAGACATAGGCCTTTCAAATATACAAATAGGTGGCACTAGTTATAGTCAGTGGTCACATACATAGTGACTATGCATGTAGGCCTCCACTATTAAACATTATTAGGGGTTCTAAGTGGGTCACCGACTCATTCATCATTGGTTTAATTTCTATTCTTGATGTGATGTCCTTTACCCAATTTTGTTTCATATTTTGTTCATACTCTCTTGTTTTTTACTTATATTTCTCTTTAGTGATACGAAAACTAGAAGATATCAAATTCAATTGGGTTTCAAAGTTTTTTAACACACCAAGTCTTTACATAACTATATGTGATCTTTAAAAGTAACTTGTGTCACTGTAAAGACGAAATTTTACCCTAAATATATATTGGGTCTGGACTCTGCAATCCCTTGAAAAGGATTAAGAACACAAGTTAAAATTTCAACTTAGATTACTCACATTAAATTGTACTTTCCCATTTTAGAAATACTTCAACAATACTACTCTTCTTAATTTTAAAAGCTATACTCCATTTCATTGAGAAAGGAATCATGTTACACTTCAATTCGTTTTAATGTAAATTAACATCATAGAGATATCTTTCTCTTTCTGCTGTTCTCCATATCATCATTAGTTTTGAACTTTTGTCATCAAGACTGTGACTTTATAAATTAAAGATTTTAGATGAAGTCAATACCAACATTTAAAACTTTATTTTAATACTTACATGTGCTTAGATTTGACCTGACTATACACTTCATGATCAAACCATGGTTTTGTGGTTCCAAAAGCTAAACCAAACATGCTTTAAGAAGACACTTGTTCTAGATTTAAACCAACAGATGTTTTAAAAAGCAGACTTAGGAAGAAATAGATCAGACTGAAAGGCAATGGACTTGAGGTTTATGGCATGGAACTGATGGTGAACAAGCCACCCACGCGATAGAGTCAGAGATATACAAATGGTGTGGCTATGACAAATCAAATGATGCAGCCACAAAGTCTTAAGATTAAAACGATAAAAGACTTAACCCCACAGCATCATTACAAGCAATCAAAATGCACATTAAGGTGACAACTTAAAATGTTAAATATCTATTAAACTGGCAAATTGTATTTCTGAGCTATATTCATGGACAGTAAAACCCCACAAAATGTGTTCATGTCTACTTAAAAAACTGCAAACTGGCAGCTACAAAAAGCCTTCAGGCCCTGCACTAAATTTTGCAAATACTGTTTCGTTGTCTCATAGATTGGACGGATGCTAAGAATAAGTTACAACCACTTATATTCCACAAAGTGTACAAATAATGTACAACAGGGGTCAAAGTATACATTGTTAAACCTATCACCAAGCAGTCATATCTAATCCTCAGAGGCTTCTACGTCTTGGCCGGTTGATTGAGTCTCAGCATCCTCTTCATCATCATCATCTGCTGCATCAGCTAGTTTTGTCAGCTCTTCCTGAATAATGATCTTTATAGATGCCTTTCTTGGGGTGAGATCCACATCAAATTGCTTGGCTGAAAAACGGTCATCAATTTTGTTAGGCACCTAAATTTAAGCCAAATTCTTGTTTTTATTTTCACAAATTGTAAACTTCGTTTTATGTCCAATGTCGGTCATATTTGCAATGTTTGGCCTTTATTTTTTTTTATAGAACTCTTAGTCAGCTGTAGATCCTTAAATATCCAAGATTAGTAAACGGCTTTAGCTACAGTGGAAGATATGCTACAGGTTCCAAAATAATTATTATCAGCCAAAATTCACAGTCGCACACAAAATGAGGCTTTGCTCATAAAGCCACTAAAGTCACATCATCCGTAATGTAATAGTTGCAACTAAAAAAGGTATCAATATCATTATTAAAATTAAAACCAAAAAAAGGTAGAAGGGAACCTATACATACCAAGTTTCTTCAGAATGTCAGTAAATGTAGCCTGCAAAAGAGAAAGAGCTTTAATTTTAAACAACAGAAAATTTTCAGTGAAGGCATAATTAACATTAAAATCACATTAACAACTAACATAAATATAAATATCTAATTGAATATGAGTAGCAAACAGCATACCCAAAAGCGGGAATGGTAAAGTAAAACCACAAAAAAACAAGATATTAAGAAGCAGAATCAACACCCAAAAACTCAATCACAGTCAGTCACAAAACTCAGTTGTACAGCCAAGGTCACATGCCATCACTCGGCTCAATCACACATGAAAGCAAGGTTTTTGGGTAGAAGAACAGGTAGCTTTAAGTCTGGACTCTGCATGGGATAGTCGGACCTGGTGGTCTTTGAAGCATTGGATATATGTGATCCAAGCAATTCCACAGTCTTACACGTGATTCACCAATGATCCCAGAGGCTGGGATAAGGTAACAAGTAGAATGAATGATTCTGAGTTAAGAGTATAATAAAAACAACCAAGGCAAAAACCACATGGACACTATCATTTTCAAAGCCACAAGACATTCTGTAAAAATGAAAAAGCTGGCCAATCTAGTAGTAACAGCAATGCAAATTGTAATATGTTCCTAATCTAGTTTAATAAATTCCATTTGCAATGGGGAAGAACCGTGCAGCTTCCAAAATAATGCAACTTCTTACCGTATTGAAGTCAACTTCTTTGAGAATTTCACATGTTGCATCACGTAACTGATCATCACTCGGAGTTGACTTTTTGTTATTGCGTTTTCCTTTAGTAACCTTTTCTGCTTGATACATACAGAAAGATTTGGTTTCAAGTACACAAGGTAATGATGTTATGTTTAGACAAATGAGAAAAGTAAACGTGTTAACTTGTAAGATTGTATTGCTCATTTCAGCTAAAACTTGTTATTTTTCACCAATCACCAGAACATTAAAGGTATGCAGATCATAACATTTGTAGAAGAAATAATGAAAACAGGGATGGAGAGTTCATGATATCTACCAGTTTTCTCTTTGGAGGAAGATGACTTAGTCATGGTCAAGGTCTTCTGCTTTCCTCGTTTCTCATTTTGCTTCTTCCTTGAAGAGACCTTTGGACTTTCCTCAGTATCATCATCAGACTCTGAGTGTGTTTTCTTAGAAATTCTCTTTGGTGCTGAGCGAGATTTTGTTTCAACTGTATTTTTCTTTCTTTTACCTTTTGCAGCAGATTGTTTCTTTGTGGATGATGTTTTATTAGTTTTTCTTGGTTTCTTTGCATCTTCAGATTCATTATCAGAATCACTTTTATCCTCACTTTCAGATTGCTCTGGCATTTCATCCTCAGATTTGTCAGGAACACCATTTTCATTTTCCTCCTCATTTTCTTCATCTTTCTCTTCATCCTCCGACTCATCTTCTGTGTCAGTTGTACTCTTTACTTCATCAGCTACTGAAGAATCTTTATTTTTCTTCTGAATCTGGAAAACATACTGTAAAGGTTAGAAACCCAATCAACTAAGAAGTTCTCAACACAAAAGCAAAGTAATATTGCACATGCCATTTATCAAGCAATTAATAGCAGTATATGGTCATCACAAGCATTGTATTCATTTACTATCCTGGGGTAGCTATGCGGTGCTCAAACAAGTCTCATTAGATTTACAAGTGATGTCAAAGATATGCATTAACAAGACAACAATTACAATAAGAAATGTTACTACTAATGAACCACTAGATATAGCCTATAGTGCTATCCAATGATATTAAAATCAAGATCCTATGTAAGATTGAGAGAGGGCTGAAAGATTATAAATCATGTGATCATAACATGGATGGTAAATCCTACCAAAAAAATAATAGTATATTTTAACATAAAAATATAATAACATAATCAACTGACACATGCAATAATTACACTAAAATTCAAGTAAAGAATTTCAATGTTGATTTTACAGTTTATGTGTTTGTTGCCTTCATTTGGTCAGTTAGAATCACCCCAAGGATTTGATGGGCTTAACATCTCAGCCCATGACACCAATAACAGGTGCAACAATGCAATCCCTTAAGCTAGATGTCCCTTCAGCCATCATGCTGCCATGGTTGCCATTTGACACCACTAAATATACATTTTTAACTAAACAATCTAATGATACTCAAATTTCTCACATAAATCATTTAACTTATATATAAATTTATTAGATATCTATAAACAACCCTTTACCCCCTTCCCCTAGGGCCCTAGGTTCAAGTATGAGAATAAAACCAGTCACTACTAAAAAAGAATTATGAGGAAAATAGCAATGAAAATAACGAAAAACATGCAGAAGTTGGATAAACACAAAGTCTAAGGGCAGGTGAGACTGATATTCTACTACCAGACTTAAAACTTAGAAAGCACTAAACCAATTATAGTACATATCTTAAATCACATTTTAATTTCAAGTATCTGCTATTCAAGGAGTGAAATAGAACCTTAGCAGAACGTCTTGATGTTGTTCCAGATCTTGATGAACCTTGTCTAGTTGTGCGCTTGCGCTTTCTTCCCTTGGTTGACTGAGAAAATTGGAAAAGGAAAAATAATATGAATATGTTCCACCAGAAACACATGCCTTTAATAAAAAACAGAGTAACACAGTACCCTAAGGGAGAAAAAATCAAAAGGGAAATACAATAAACCTTCTCCTTTTCTGCAAGAAGCACATTTGTTGTGACTTGAGGGGTAACCAAAAAGTCTATTAGCTTTGCAATAATATCTTCCTGCTTACAGAGAATATTATTATCATAGAAACAACAGAGATGTTAAATCAAGCAAAAAGGCTTCACAGCAATAGATGCACTATAATTATTATTATCAACTGCATTAACAATTGTCTTAATCCATGCACATACTCAAGTATGAACAAATATAAAGTGAATTAGTCATATCATCCTGTATTGAAAAAGATCACATTTTTAAAAGAAATAACATGATTAGCAGATAAAGTTTTGACAGAAAATTACTTCCCATAAAAGTGTTAACAATTCACGCACAACAATTGCATCAGCAGTGCTAAAACAAACCTTCCTTGTTGTTGCCTTTGCAAGTGGTATGTCCAGCACATCACAGAATTCCAGCAACCTCTCCTTGTTACACTTTTCAAACTTTTCTTTTACTTTAATCATTTGTTTTTCCTGCCGAAACAATATTTGGTTTTAGAAGTTTAGGCAAAGAACTTTATTACAAAAACAATCATTCATTTAATGAAATTACTAGAAACAAGTCATAAAATCCTTCATTTTTTTATATTTGACTTGATTACAAATTACCTCATTTTCATTCCACACAAAACCAGAAAACCTTAATATATTGCTCTTCATTTGAACCGCCTGCAAAATATAAAAGCGTAAAAATGAGTCACAGAGGCAAAATAAAATCTGCATGACTTGCCAATTTCATTATCCCAGCTATGCGTAATCTTTTACCAGTCTAAGTATGCACCATCCTATATCCTTAACTACAGTGAAGGGGTAATATATATGACAGCCTAACAGGACAATAAAATATGATTGAGACAGAAAAAAAAAAAAATTGTTCAGAGTAGGAAATACCTTCCCTCTCCTACCAAAGAGGATGTTATGGAGCATTTTGATAGTATCATCAATCTTCCTTCTAGAGAATTTAAAGGCCACTGAAGCAGAAAATACAAGAATCACAAAGTTATTAGCAGTTCTGAAGAAGCAGAAACAAGCATCCCCTACCCATAAGACAAGAATTATTCCAGGCCAGCCTTTAAGAGAAACAAGAGATAAGCAATAAGCCAAATATTCTCTGTTACCAAGAGAACAATTTAGTGTTATTAGAGAGTCAGTGTCTAACACATCACAAAATCATGGCTCCAACCTGAAGCATAGATATTTCATTGGTGCTCCAAATTGGTTTAATATTAGTAGGAGCCCTGAATCGCAGAAAGGTGGGACTCAGCTTCATAGTTGCCAGTTCAAGATACAACTCATGAATCAGGAATCCCATTCCCATTTTACAAATTGTAATATTTGCAAATGAAATCATGGGATACAATGACAAAGTTGATAAAAAGCTAAAAAATTAAAACATTTCAGTTTTATGCCATCATACACCACCCAACAACTAAAATTTAATGCTTTCCTTTTCTTTAGTTTAATTTTCCATAATGAGCCAAATTCAATCTGATTATATAACAAAAAGTGCATTAATTTAGCTAAATAAATTTCATCCCTAAAATATAAAATTCCTCAATTGAGGGCCTACAAGTTTTCTTTGCACCAGAATTTTCATTTTATTAATCCATTAAATAGTGCAAGCAAATGAACTTGCCAGTATCATCATTAAGGCAGCTAAAAATGCCATACATCTAAATGGTCTACAGTTAAAGGCTTGATATTTAGTAGGAAAAAAGCATTTAAGAATTTATCCTTGACTCAATCAATAAAGTATAACCATTGAAGGGTAAATACACAGCTATTCAATCAACTATCTCCATGGATGGAATACTCTAAACCGTAACAGGGAAAAATATAAATCATATATGTCCAACTTTGATCCAGCATTGCTTGCCTGAAATATATTCTATTATATCCAATTCTTACACTGTTATTTCTAGATTTTGTCATAACACAGAATAACATAACATGCTGCTGACCAGTCTGTGCAATGACAATATGCATTAGGTTAACTTCTGCTGGCTAGACTAAATAGAAGGAGGTTTGTAAACCATAACAACAATAACAACCAAGCCTTATCCCACTAGGTTTGTAAACCATAACGAAAGAATAATTCAAACAAAGGCAAAACCAACACCATACCATTGGGTATATCTTTCAAAGGTGTACCACGACCCTGCAACATAAAAGCAAACTTGTAATATGTTCTGATATATCATACAATTAAGGTTAAATATGAAACTATAAATGAATACCTTTTCAATGTGGAATTCTTTGGAGGCATCCTTCTCAATGGATGTTACCAACCTCTCAACTGTTTTCCTTTCCCGCACAGGGCGATTGATAGCAGGAGTCCTGGGCTCTGTCTCCTTCAGTTCTTTTCTTTTCTTTTTCACCTTCTCCCCATTGATCTTTCCTCTTCCTCGCTTTTTCAAACCTTTCTCAACCTTAATATCTTCCACCTTATCTTCTTCTTTTAACTTATCTTCAATCTCAAACCCATCATCCTCTACTAGAATCTTCTCCTTTTCACTGCTCTCACCTTTATCTATAGGGATGCTCTCATCTTCTTTTGCATCTAATTCTGGTTCCTCAGCTTCAGCATCTTCCTTTTTTTCTTTATCATCCACAGTTTGTTTAACTTCAGTTTCTTCATCCAATTTGTCGTATTTTAACCCATCACCATCCTTCTTATTTTCTCCTGTCTCATTCACAGAATCATCTTTCTTATTTTCTTCTATTTCTTTCACACCATCATCTTTCTTATCTTCTTCTATTTCTTTCACACCCTCATCTTTCTTATCTTCTATTTCTTTCACACCGTCATCTTTCTTATCTTCTTCTATTTTTTTCGCACCATCATCTTTCTTATCTTCCTCTATCTCCTTCACACCATCATCTTTCTTATCTTCTTCTATTTCTTTCACACCATTATCTTCTTTATCCTTTTGTATTTCTTCCACATGATCAACTTTCTTATCATCTTCTAATTCTTCCACACAACCAACTTTCTTAAAGTCATTTACTACTTCACCATCATCAACTTTCTTATCCTCTTCTACTTCATCTTTCTTATCAACTTCCATTTCTTTTATGCCGTCCTCCTTCAACCCTTTGACTCCATTACTCTCCAACACTTTTCCTCCCTCAGATTTCAAGTCTTTCTTTTCACTCATATCATCTAAAGTTTTCTCTGGCACGCTTTCCACACCCATACCAATACTGGCCTTGCCCCCAAATCTACAAACAACTTCCTGCACACTGCTTCTACAAACAACTAAATCCTATCAAAGGTAAGAAAGAAAAACCCTTTAGTTTAAGAATGTCAAATAACACACAGCGCAAGCAGGCAGGATTACTAACCCTAGAATACGCAATATGCATACAAATAATCCCATTTCATATGATGGAAGATAATTTTAAACAGGTCCACATCTGAGAAAAAAGTTTTTTTTTTTTTCAACTGCTGTTCCAATTGAAAAAAAAAAAAGTCAAATTGACAACCAATTTCAATAAAAGATTATAAATTTGCCCCATCCCAAACTCAAAAAGAAAAATGCAGTTTACATACAAAAAATCAACAAAACAAACAGCACTCCCCAACTAGGAAGGAAAAATAATTGAGCTGAAAAAAACAATGAATTTAAAATTTGCAATAGTTCCTGACAAAAATCAGTAGACCAAGGTCACACAAAAGAAGGGCAACCATAGTCATGCCACTTTCAACCAAAAAAAAAAAAAAAACATTAACAGAACTGTACATACACAGTGAACAAAAAAATTCCAAACATCTGAGTATTTGTCTGTCAAACCCTGGAAAAATCACCCCAGAAGCCAAACAGAAAATTATGTCGAATTGTAACAGGGAGAAGCAAAGTTGAACTTTTTTTCGACAAGAAGCATTTTCAAAGCCCTAAAGTCTCACACATGAAAGATGCAATTTTTTCACTTAAGAAAACAGCAAAAGCAGTGAGAAGAGAGGGGATTTGAAGAACAGAAGCTTACAAATTTAGAGGTTGAAAGAGAACAGAACCATGCTTTGGATTTCTCAGTGGCAAGTTTGCTTGCTTCGATCTCTCACACACACTCAGTGACTCAAACGTGGGGTATTTCTGTCAATTTATATTCGGACTTCAAATGCGAATTAAATGCAAAATTTGTGCCACGTAGGACGTGCGTTTTACTGGGTTATTAATGAGACATCATCGACGGCTGAGATGTGTTGTTCGTGGCTACGTGATAGATCAACGGTTGTGATTTGAATTCCTTATAATTTTGTCTTTTCTCGTAGACACCCTGGCCCTCTATGCATGGCATCAAACCACACTTGTGAGCTCATTATTTGTTAATTCTTTTTAATTACTTGATTAAGGAGTGTTTATGATTATGTACTTTAATTCTAAATCGTAAGTTTTTCAAAAATCTCATTTGCTTCATGCATGTTGTGTTTTTATAATTTCTTGGTCTTTGTTTAATGAATTGCAAGTATCTTATGTAATGTTTGAGACATGAGTGGTGAAAAATATTTTCACAAACCAGCTAAATTTGATCCCTTATTATTGCGATAATGAATAAAATATATAACAAATACTTATTTATTTAATAAAATTTATTGCTATTAATCACTTAAATTCAACTTTTACCTAACAATTTTTTGTAATATAATACAAGTTATGACAAGTGCTAATAGCGTTTTTTATTTATTTCAATCATTCAAAAGTAAATATTTAACACATAATGTGATAAAATTAATGTAAATTTCCAAATATATTGGGTTGACTGAATTTTCAAAAAAATACTTAATTATTTAATTAATATTTTACCTTTGAGACACATTAATTGTTTCCATTTAAAATATCCAACCAAATCTTATTTTTATGAAAAATAATTATCAACATTTAGTAAATTATTAATTTATTTCAATATACTATATTTAAAAATATAATTATATTAATAACTAAAACATGACCATTATCATTTTCAAAATTCATTAATGAGAACAATACAAAAATTTCATGAATTTAAATAAAAAATTATTTTGATTAAATTATATTTTATAATTAATTAAAATTGATTGTAAATAGAATTTAATGAATAAATATCAAATTTTAATTATTTTTAATTAAAAATACAACTTATTCAAATAATTATAAACATTTAATTAATGCAAACTAAATAATATGTAAAAAGATGAAAAATAATACTAATATGGGAATTTAAAATTTTAAGTTTATAGATACAGTAAAAAAAAAACATTAATATCGGTAAGAGTTTAATTTCGGTGTGTTGTTAGGGTAAATTCTATTATATTATTAACCAATTTAAATATATCATAAAATTTATTATTTTTATTAATATAGTAATTTATAATTAAATGATAATATTAAAAAATTTATACTTTCAGTGTATTTAAATTAAATTTAATATTTATTATTATTTTCACAATAATTTTTATGGTATCTACATTAAAATGCATTTTTATAATATTCTTTAATTAATTGATAAGTCAAATTCTTACACTAATAATACATTAAAATTAAACTCTTAAATTCTTATATTACATGGAAGAAAAAATTCTTAAAGAATTATAATTATTATGTCTCTCGTTTAAAATGATTTACCTCTTTTATCATGTTTCTGTAGCTGTAATTTCAACACTATTTATAAATTATTGGAAAATATCTTATTCAATCAATTGATATATGAAGCAATATTGATTATATCTACTATAATAATTAAATTAATTAATTAATATTTATCAAATATTCGTACTAGGCTAAATAAATTTGACATGAAAAAAAAAACGCAATCAGATAGTTTTAGGGTTATTATTTTATCAGTGTATAAATGTTTGAGTCACACAAATTTTTCAATCTTTTTATTCTTTTTCACAAAATTTTTCTAATCTTTTTATTTTTTGTTATCTCCAATCTTAAATAATATTTTAAGATATTTATTTAGATGGATAAAATTAATATTAAATAAATGTTGTGTTGACTGATTATTACATTTAATAGTTGATTTTAATACACTAATTAGTAAATTATATATATAGAGAGAGAGAGATTGGTATTAATTTGTTATAATATATATGTGAGACAAAGCATTAAAGTTTATTTAAAACAATGAAACTATTTACTTAATTAATGCAAAATATCCATGACAACAAATTTTCTTATAAATTTTTAATATAGAATAATATATAACAAATTTGAATTATCATTCTAAGATGATTTTAATGTTTGTGCATTATACAAAGAAAAAGTATATTGGTTTGTTTAGAATATTTAATTATAATTATTTTTAAATGTTTTAAACAATAAAAAATTAATCGATTGTAAGTCTTAAAAATAATTGGTATATATATATATATATAGACTTAAAAAGATTTTAATATGAAATAATTTCTAAAAGAACTAGATTCTTCAGCTAGTTAAAATTTCTTGCTAAATATATTCATAAAAATTTTGACCCTTCATATAAGAATTTTTTTATAATGATGAACATGTATTTAATTTCTTAAAATAAAATAAATAATAAGACTCAATATTAGACCACCGTATTGTCTCTTCAAAATAAGAAAGATTTTTTTTCCTAAAACTATAATTGTGCAAAAACGTTCAATGTTTTTATTATTTTTAAAAATAATAATAATAATATCAATACTATTAGTAAATTTTTTTCAAACTTATAATTTTTAAAATAGATATTTTTAATATTTTGAGATTTTGTATAGTTTTAATAATAATGATTTGCTAAAAAATGGTATACTATCTTTTATATTTAATTCATCTCCATATAAATAATTTTAATTAATGGTGTAATAGTTTTATGCACTTTCTTTATATCTCACTTTATTCTTTTTTTTAATCAACGGTCAAAAATCAAAGAATATGTTTAGGTCCAAATGGTCTAACACCAATATCTACTCACGATTCATAGCTACTGTCGCTAGTTCAACAAAATGTTATATACAGTAAAATTCGAATACATCATTATTTTATAACATTTTTGTAATTTATATTTATTATTTTAATATTATAATACCATTTTATTAAGATGTCTAAGTTTATGCATCATTATTTTATTACAACCATGGAAAATATATGTATATAATTTGATTCAAATTATTTAATTATTTAACAATAATGTATCCTTAATTGTTTTGTTATTTGCGGCTTAGTACACTATGAGCATTATGTTGGAAATAAATTACCACAATGCAAACTTCATATAAAAAAATTACTTATCACCCTATATTTAATAATTTTTAACTCCATAACGTCACATGATTTATATAATTAATTTTAATTAAACAGTACAATATTCAGATTAAAATATGTAAAAAAATTGACTTAAAATATAAGATATATATATATAATTTCTTTTATCAGATCTATCACTTCCCTAGATTGATGGATCTATATTTTATTATTTCCAGAAAAGAACAATTAGAAAAAAAAGATTGTTTATCCACTGGTGAGACCAATTTTGATCCATTCATTGTTCATAAAATTCATGGAGATGCCAAGCATACACATTAGAGAAACAATTAGCATATTGGTTACCTAGAATATGTTTTGTCAGTGAATCACTTCATATATAGTGTTTTTTCATTCAAAATAGGCTTTGATTGTTTTGCAAGGAGTAACACATTGATTCATAAAATTACGAATACTAATTGATTTAATTCCTAAATTTACGAAAATAACATTTGCCCCTAAAATTATCAACGTTGATCAATATATTCTTTATTCTATAATTCTCTGAACTAGAGTTATGCAGGTTGATAAACTTTCTTGGATATAAAATGGAATAAAAGATCTGAAAAAAGAAAGGAAAAGAGGAAAAGAACAACAAAAATTAATGACCTGCACTCAAAAAAGTTTCTTTGTGGATTGGAGGAGGAGCCATGTGTAAAGGCATTCAAACAAAGATAATCATACAATCTGCTAAAGATTAAGATGCAAGTTAATAGAAGAGAACAAAATTTTGCTAAACATGAAGAAGGAAAATAGTTAATGGCTAAAAAACTAGACCTAAAATAGCAGCTTGAGATAAAAATTAGCAATAAGGAGGTCAATCACTAAGAACACATTGAGCTCCTAAACATGTTGACTCCTTCAATCTCTAATCTTGATGTTTGGAGGATCTCAGGGAAATATCAATCTCAATTAAATTTTCATCATCATTCATCTCATTAATTTCTGTCAAGAGGTCAGTGAGATCCTGTTGCTTGAAAATGGATTCTGGCAAGAACTTTGAAAAATTGGAAACAGGATCCTCAGTTAAACCCAAGAAGGTGTTATTTGGAAGTTTGATTTCAATCAGGCCATCCTCATCATCCTCATTATCAAAGTCCAAGCTATGAAATATATCCATATTTTGATTTCTATTGTGATCAATCTCAAAACTTTCGCTCATGATTGAGCTAGGACTGCTTTCACTATCTGATGGAAGTGAAGTATCTGACTGTGGATCATCTTGTTGCTCATACTTCTGATCACTGAGTTCAAAACATCTATCCATGATGTTTCTGCTTTCACAATCTAATGGAAATGAAGAATCTGACAGTGCTTCAGCTTGCTCTTCTCGCCCATGAGCAGTTTCATTTTGTTGGGTATGAGTAGCATTGTGTAGGGACCATTTTTTCTTTTTCAGTGAGACAAGGAACAAGGTAGATAGTAAAGCAATTAGTACTGTAAGAAGGGTAGATGAGGATTCAGAAACTGAAAAGAAAACGAAAATTGAAAATAGAACAAGAACCAGAATGGTAAATAGGAAAGTGGAGAAAGTAGAAGCCAACTTTTGACAAATTTGTTGCTTGGTTACTGTCTCCATGACCATTCACTGAAATATATGTCAAAGCCACACCAAAAGCTAAAAACCAAGTCACCCAACAAAGGCTGCAAGAACTACTGTTGAAAAGGAGAAGAAGATCTTTGGAAACACTGAAAGCAAGTGACTGAAAATTTGTTCAACTTGCACCTTTTTAACCCCTTAAAATAAGATTGTAACAGAGCAAAGCTAGAGAAAATTTTCAACGTGCGACTGAGAAACCTGAGAGTGTCAAAAGAGCCTTTTAACTGTCAGCTTCTACCCTTTTGCCCATTT